AATAATAAGAATTTGAAACCTAAGGAACTAAATAATAAAAAAAAAAAAAAAAAAAAAAAAAGAGGAGGAGGATTTGGCAATTGGCATGGTAGAGCACGTGTAACGAGTGACGGAAAGGTACCTTGAACATGGCAGGATGAACAGTCTTAAGTGGCTTAGTCCAAGATTGAAATTGGACTGGCCTTGCAGGCCAAGCCCAAGATGAAGAAAACCTCGGCTTTGATGCTTTACTTGGTTAAGTTACCTAAGTTTTCTTTTAAAAGAAAAACTTAAATTTGCAGTATTTTTGAAAAATATAAATTAAATAATCTATAAAAATTTAAATTTTACATAACATTTTAAAAAATATTATTATCTAATAATTTTATTTTTTTAACTACTCTCTCTCCTCAATTTATTTGAACTTTGATTTTATATTTGACAAAAACACATTTTATATTGAGTTTTGTTTATTAAATTCTTAAATTTTTATAATTTACCATCAATTTTCTTGATCCAACTCATCTGAAAATATCTATATATATACAACTTAACCCAGCATTTGATTATTTATTATTAATATTTTTTTTTTTTGAAAAAAAAAAAGCCGTCAACCCTTTCAAGACATGTCGACGGTTTCAACTTCATGTTACCGCTAACGGCTGCTGTCGACAAGTTCGAAAGCTGCAACGCATTGGCTGGAATCTGATCCAGGAGTCTCGGCGATTCACCATCTCAGTAGCGGAAATATTTTACAAGGTTTTCTTTTCAAAGGATAAAAGTTTCATACTTTCCATTTAGTAAATGAGAACACTCCCTTCTTTCTCTTTGTTTTTTTTTTCTTAAGTTTGTGATCGTGGGTTTTGCTCAAAAACCAGTATTGTCATCTGGGTAATTTATAGTGTCAGTTGCAATGCAAAATATGTTAGAAAATTATGGAAAAAAAAAGAGCAATTTTGTTAGTTAAAAGAGTAGCTAAACCTTTTATTTATTAATCGAGCACTGTCCTCTCTAATGATTTTTTTGTTGTGTTCTATTATTATTTTATTATTGTTTGTTGGATGAGTTTATAATCTTATGATAATAATTGCAATCTCAATTATTTGTAAGATTCCTCTGCAGCAGCATAGTTTGAGAAATTATTGGCGTTCTACAAATGTAATTTTTTCAAAACCATTCGATTGTGTGTTTGCCAATTTTCACTTAGAATTAATAATTCCTTAAAATTCTGATAATTGAGTACTGATTCTGTATTGAATAATGAGTTCACTCTGCATTTACTTTAAACTAACTATAATAACTGTTCTCATTCTCTTATATTTTCGTGTTTAACAGTAAATATTACTGAATTGAGGCATGACTAACTGAGCTTGAAACTAATTCTAACTGTTATCTTCTCCATTTTAATGTGCTGTTATTTTTAGGAAATACGCTTTTCTAACTTCTATGCGGAAAAAGCATGTTTACTGATTGGGTTGAGTCATATCAGCAGAGAAATAGTACATCGGTAGATACAGCATTTAACTAGGAATGAGTTAGACTTGCCCAAATTATTTGAAGGAATATCTTTGAATTATTCCACTTTAATCTCTGTCAATCAAGTCATGGAGTATTGGACAAAGATGTGCCACAAAAAGATTCTAGAAATTAGACATCACTTGCTGAAGCAGATTACGAATATGATGTTTACTGCTTTAGCAAAGGAAGCAATTATGTCTACCACTAATAAACCATGTGCTGCGTTAGACTCATGTAATATACAGGCCAAAATGTAAGATAAATTCCTATCCTCATTTGTTGGCTTACCATATTAGAGGAGTTTCAAATATCCTTTGACATGACTGGTTGGATTCCTTTTTAAGTTTTTACCATTTGGCTTGTGTAAAATGGAAGAGTGGCTGATGTTGCAAGTTCGAACCCATTTGGAGTCTGATTAATAGGCAAAAGAAAAAATAAAAAAGAAGATTGGCTAGGTTATTTTATATGTAAGAACCAAGGATTGGTTAGTCCAGACTAGATCATTCAGTTTAATTTTGATTCTTCTGTATGCTTATTACCATTTTAAAGCTTGAAAATATGTGAGCCATTACTTTCCAGTTAGGTTATGATTGTGCATATTTTACGGTGGAATATTTTATTCTTCTCTGTTGCATTGACGAGTCTATCTTTTCTTGGATTGTTCCCTCATTCCCATCAATATGGAATTTGTTTGTTTTTCACCTCCATGTCAAAAGTACATGTATTGTCTGCATATATGTGTGTTTGCTCCATATATTCTTTTAGCTGTATAGGAATCCAACTCTAGTCACCCCCTTGGCTGCACAGTATTGGAGATCCTGAAGTGACTTCATTCTTGCATAGTGATAGAGGTGACAATGCTGCTGGGGGAATATGCATCAGAGGTAGCCTTAACTCTGCTCTAAGAGGCACGCAATCTTGTATTGAACTGGCAGTACTGGTAAATATGTGTCTGTTTGTGCTTATATTTATTGAACATACCAGCATCAATAATATGTGATTTGTTTGTCCTATTAAATTTGCATATCACTTTACCACTTATATTAATTTGGAAGAAAAATGTGCCATTTTTCTAGAATTGCTTAGTGCTTATTCTTTCTCTTTATAAAGCCTGCAATCACTTACTCATATTATAGGTGCATATAGAAATAGATAGACTAGTGACATATTGCTTGCATCATTTTCAGCAAGTGTTCGACATACAGTAAATAGGACTAATTATTAATTTAGTGGGATAGTGACTAGTTCCTTTTGTTTCTCTTTTCCTGATTCCTGAGGCCATATTCTTCTCATCTTCTTTTGGATTTGTGAGATCTCCTGTAATGGGTCCCTTTAAAGAGTAATAATTGATGAGGCACCTTTGCTCAAATGACTTTTGATTCACCGGACCTTCTCCTACTGACCTAAAAAAATACCGGGGTCATTTGGCATCATCCTAGAATCTCCTTTACCTGTTATGGAATATATTAAAGCAAGAAAGGAACCTTCAAGTACATCAGCCTGGTTAAAGAGAAAGGTCCTTCAATAACTCTTCCTTTATTTTCTTGTTTTCAAACGTCCGGGCCACATGCCATTAAAACTTATCAATAATTTTTATTCCTTTCTTTGAATATGAACTATGAGTTTGCCACTAAGGAATTATAGTTTTAAGACAGAAGCAGATGCTTGCTTAGGAAGAACTGGCTGTTAAATTGGACCTACCACTAACTGGGGTCCATCTTGTTGGTCTTTTTTAAAGAAGTTTTTATCTACGAGAAGTGGTGATGGTAACAAAATAAGCAATAGGCTTTTTCACTGTCATCTATTTAACTTGCTGTTCATGAAAATGGAGATTGAGTCAACTCATTGAAAAATCTTTCAGTAAGAACAAGATAAAATAGATTATATTAAAAACATTCATGCAGATTTGTACTTTATTTGATATTTGTTTTTTAAATAGGACTCTTGATTGTTTAAAATATTACTTAGTACTAATGTTCTTCACCTTTGAATCCTGGGAAAAGTGAATGCAACAGACCAAGTGAATGTATGAATGGCACTGAGATGGCAATGCTTTGGGAGATCAATCATTGGATTTTTATTCCATTTTATCAAAACTCTTGACCGAAACCCAAGAAATTTGAAAGATCGATCTCATTCAGCTGACATTTATGATTTATTGTTGGCCATTTTGGCTTCTCCTTTTTCTTTTTCTTTTCTTTTCTTAGTGAAAATTACTTTTCTCAGTTTCATCCTGGATATGGATTACAGAGTTAAAGCTATCATTTCCTTTGGAATATATTTCTTTAAGAGAATTGATTGCTTTCATACTATAAAAGTTTTGCAGCTAGAAATACGTGGACCTTTTTGTCATTTCATTATATGTATGCATTTCTCTGTCTCTCTAACACACATATGTACGAGGCTAATCTTGTCGCGAGTACAATTGAGTTTTGACTAGAGCTCGAATTTCCAATCTCATAATTCTGGAAACGATTTAACAGTGCTAAGTCGAGCACTATTAGATGGTTAATTTTCCTTTTTTTATCACAACCACCATAAGAATAGAATGTGAATCACTTGCAGAATTCAAAAGCAAGTTCAACCATTATTCATCAATCATAATCCTGAAGTGGAAATATTTTTTTTTCCAATTTTTCTTTATAGAAAGAAAAGAAAAAGAAAAAGGAAAAGGAAAGACTCTATTCTAAAGATGAGAGGAAGATGAGTAAATGTGCAAGAAACTTGATTTTTTCTCCCCCCCTTTTCTTTTCCTTTGATGCTTGTGTTTGGTTTTGTTGAGATTCCATTGCATATCTGTGAGAGAAGATGTGCTTAAAAGGCAGGTTTTTGATATAGTGAATTGCGATTGATGGTACATGTTGTGGCAATTAGTGCCGTGTGTTGAGCGATTATCATGTGATAGGTTCCAATTGACAGTCTGTGTTTGAAACTGGAAGCCAAAGATTCCCCTGTAAGTGGATAAATCTCACACATGTATGTCCCTTTTTGGTTCATCTTTCAGAAAAGAATTTATAGTGTGAGGGTGGTCACAGAGGATACATAACATAACATAACATTTATCTTCATTTAAATAAGATGAGTTTTGATTTGATTTACCTTTTCTGTAGGATGTATGTTTTTTTATTTTTAAATAACAAAAAACATGACTAAGTCTTGGGTCCTAAAATCCAAGGATAGATTCTTTGATTCCTTCAGCCCTACAAAGAACAAAAAGAATCTGCCAATCACACTACACCCTACCCAAAAAGAAAATAGGAAAAGAAAATAAAAGAAAGAAAATTTTAAAAAAGAAATAAAAACCCATTTGATTTTCCCTTTCAGACTTTCAGTCACCACAAAGATATATCCATTATTATAGCATTTCGCATCAAACATATATATATATATATATTGTTTATTTTTCCTCAAAGCTTCTCCTCTGAGTGTAAGGAAAGTTGTATCCATTATTCATCTTGGTGGGGCTAACCTAACTCAGCAGGGAATCGAGCAGAATGAGAGAGAAGTGGGAAAATTGGAAGATAAAAACAAACCATACACTTTTCCTCTTTTCTCTCCTTTTGAGACGCTCTCAAATTAAACTGTGTTGCTTTCTCTGTTTTTGCTACATCATAGATTCTTTCACTGCCCCTCCTTTCAAGTCAAAGTAGAAAATACATTTTTTTCCTAAAAAAAAAAAAAAAATTAATAATGAAGAGCCACAGCTCATAGCTCATGGGCACATATTCCCTTCCAACATAACCCCACTCATGTTTCCAGATATGGAGTGAGAACATAGGAAACCCAACAACTCCTAAAATTATAAAGAGAAGGACACAGCTGCCACAATTGCTAAAAAGGATCATTGCCCATTTTTTATGTTTCACTCTTCTTCTAATTTTTCATTCTCAAAACTGAAAAAAAAGCAAAAGAAAAGAAGGAAAAATAATGGGTCTTCAAAATTTGCAAAATCAAAATATGAGCTTGGTTTTGTCCACTGATGCAAAGCCTAGACTAAAATGGACTCCAGAACTGCATCAAAGATTTGTTGAAGCTGTCACTCAACTTGGTGGTGCAGAAAGTAAGCATCTTTCTATCTATCTATCTATGTTCACTTGTTTATTTATAGACAGAAAAAAAAAAAAATTTCTACTTTCTTTTTTCAACTCTTAGTTCTTTCTATGAGTGTATCTGTGCAGAGGCAACACCAAAGAGTCTTATGAGAGTGATGGGAATTCCTGGACTTACTTTGTACCATCTAAAGAGTCACTTACAGGCATTTTCTCTTTACAATGATTGGATCAATCTTTCTTGGTTTTACCAATTTAGAAATGCAAAATTGTGACTTGTATGCTTCTTCTTGCAGAAGTACAGACTAGGGAAAAGCCAGCAATCACAATCACAATCACAGTCACAGTCACAGTCACAAACCAGCATTGAGAATAAGCAAGAAGGTGAGTTACTCAATTAAATTAATTAATAAAATCTTTTAGGAATAATATGGTGATGTTTTTTATAGTTCTTTTTAGTGCAGATTACAAAGAGATTCAAAGTGGTAATGGCGATTTAAGAGCAAGAATCATTGAAGGAAACCAAAATCCTGTTAATGAGTAATAATTTAAATAATCTTTATTTCATTGGAATAATCTGACTAAGAAAAAGAATTTTATACTGACTGGAAGTGTTTTTGTTCAACAGAAGCTTTCAGATTGCTCAAGCTCTCCAAATGCAAATGGAAGTGCAGAGAAAACTTCATGAACAGATTGAGGTAAAACCAAGAAATCACTAATCTTAAGTTCAAGAATTGAAAACATATTGATCGAATTATTAATATAATTTCAGGTACAAAGACATTTACAGCTGAGAATAGAAGCTCAAGGGAAATATTTGCAGTCAGTACTAAAGAAGGCACAAGAAACTCTCTCCGGATATAATTCATCTTCAATGGGAATAGAACTTGCAAAAGCTGAACTTTCGCGATTACTTTCGATGGTTAACAATGGATGTCCGAGCTCTTCAATGTCAGAATTAACAGAAGTAGGAGTTTCAAGCTTAAAAGACACAGAAAGGAAACAAATGAGGGGTACAATATGTTCAATGGAAAGTTCCTTAACATCATCTGAAAGTTCTGGAAGAAAAGAAGAAGATATGCAGCTAAAGCAATCTGCTTCTATTGAGATTCCTTTAATAGATATTCATCCTGGGGAAGCAAAGAAGAGAAGTTGTAGCAGCACAGTTTCTGAAGGTATCTGTGTAGAGCAACCAATGGCGAAAAGATCAAGAAGTGGTGATCAATTGAGAATATTTGATCTTAATAGCCATTATCAGAATAATGAGCTGGAATCAGGTCCTGAAGTAATAGATTTGAATTGCAAGGAATTTGCACAACTGAATGGGCGAGCCTAGAGCTCTGGAATTTCTATACTGGAAGTGATTTAGTAATATATATATAATCTATGCAGCAGGAAAGTTAATGGTTAAAGTCTTTGTTTATAAGTTTATAAACTACGTGTATATTGGTATATTTATGGAACCTCTGCAACTTTTCAAAGTATATCCATATAAAAAAGATGGTATAATAATATATTGTGCGTGTAAGTTTCTATGTAGCTTTTCCCTTTCACTCTCTCTCAGTGTAGCTGTTAGTGGTCAAACTAATTTTACTTTTACTGTGGGACCCCAATTCTTTTGGGAGATTAATTAATTAATTAAACTCTAATTAGGGTTATAAATTTGTAATCTGACATACTTGGATGACTGTAATAATAATATATTGTTCAGTTAAAATTGAAATAAATTATACGATAAAATTGAGGAAATGAAATATCATACAGTAGTACTTCCAATTTTCTTGGATGTCTCCAAGGGGACATGACCCGAAATTCAATATTATCAACTACATGAGACCTTCCAATCTATCAAGCCATTGTACTGCTGATCCTGCCAAGTAATTACATGAGACCTGTACTGAATTTGGCAACCCTTCCAGTTTTTCAAAGGGAAAAAAGAGGCACACACCAACATTTTTTTAGAAACTTCTTTTTGAAGAATGTTAAAAAAAAAAAAAAAAGGGTTTAAAAGAAAGGAGCAGAAGAATACCAGAGGAAGGAATCATCATAGCTGCAAAATCATTAAGCACACAACAAGAAGTGAATCATTAGCTAAACCATGCGTATCTTCAAATACATTACTCCTTAAGAAACTTGAGATCAATTTTTGCTGCTAGGCCTGCAGCCTCAATAATTAAAGAGACCACTATGACCAATATATACAACCAAGCTTTTTTATTTTTCTTCAGCAATCCTTCTGCAAGAGAAATTGGAAATTCAAAGACATGGACTATCCACTAATCATTCATGGTTATCAGCTTCTTGCAGCTTTTCTTTTTCTGCTATTTAACTTACTTGAATCTTCCTCGCTAATTCAAGGTATGTTACTTAATTAACAGTTCTCTAATTATATTGTAACGGCTTTTGTTTAAAACTTCAAACATGACTCCAATAGCTTCTCTTTTATTCCCTCATTGTAGGAAAAAGCTTTCCCTACATTACATCAGATGTCAATGAGGTGTCAGGCAAGTCATATGATTACATTGTCATTGGGGGAGGCACTGCTGGGTGCCCCCTGGCAGCAACCCTTTCAGAGAGATTCTCTGTGCTATTGATCGAACGAGGAGGCTCCCCTTATGGGAATCCATTGATATTGAATAAGATGTACTATGGTTACTCACTGCTTCAAACAGATGAGTTTTCATCGGTGGCTCAAAGCTTTATTTCTGAGGATGGAGTTAGGAACCATAGAGGACGAGTGCTTGGAGGATCCTCGGCCATAAATGGTGGCTTCTACAGCAGAGCTAGTAATGATTTTGTTACAAGAGTTGGATGGGATAAAGAGCTGGTGAAGGAGGCTTATGAATGGGTGGAGTCCAAAATTGTTTCCAAGCCAGAATTAACTATGTGGCAATCTGTTATTGAATTTGGTCTCCTTGAAGCAGGATTTCTTCCTTATAATGGATTCACTTGGGAACATCTTGAAGGTACGAAGATTGGCGGAACTATATTCGATGAATTTGGAATTAGGCACACCTCAGCTGATCTTTTAGGGGCAGGGAATCCTGAAAATATTACAGTTCTTTTGACTGCTACAGTGAAGAACATCATATTCCATAACAATGGTAAGTGGGGTTAAGTGCTTGTCTCGCAATGCAGAATATATAGGGGTTTCAAGCCCCTCTAACGACAACTTCATTATCCTTCAACAATTCATAAATACCAAAAGAAATAGAAAGAGGTTCAAGCTCAATTCTTTGTGCTCACTTGTTCTCTTAAAACAACGCAGGTACAGGGAATGAGAGAAGAGCTGTTGGCATTAGATTCATCAAGAGCAATGGCAGCACAGATCAAACTTACAAAGCATACCTCAATAGACCGCACAATTCCAGTTCAAGTTCATGGGGAGACGTTATTTTGTCAGCAGGAACATTAGGCAGTCCACAAATCCTAATGTTAAGTGGTATAGGACCAGAAGAACATCTGAAGAATTTCAATATACCACTTGTGCTAGACTTGAAAGGCGTTGGCGGAGAAATGCAAGACAACCCTGCCCTCGGCCTTTTAGCAGACATGGAAGCAGAATTCCGGCTGCCAGATACGCCTCAAGTTGCAGGCATAGCAAAAGACTTCAAATTCATAGTACAAGCAGGAGTCTTACCAATAAGTTTCAATGCAACAAGAATGCCAGTGGCAATAAAACTAGCATTTCCAGAATCAAAAGGAAAGCTAATATTACACAGCACAGACCCAAGGCAAAACCCTTTAGTGCAATTCAATTATCTAGCAAAAGAAAAAGACATGGAAGGATGCAGAGAAATGGCTCAAGTAATTCAAAAGGTAGTAAGGTCTGATTCGGTTGCAGTATTCATGAGGACTAAACCCCAAAATAAGCTAATATCCAGTCCAAATGACCTGAAAGATTTCTGCAAGAAAAATGTTGGGACTTATTATCACTACCATGGTGGTTGCACAGTTGGATCAGTTGTTGACAAGGATTACAAAGTCTATGGATTAAAGGGTTTGAGAGTAATAGATGGCTCAACTTTATTAGAATCTCCAGGCACAAATCCAATGGCTACCCTGTTAATGCTTGGAAGGTATCAAGGAATCAAGATTCTAACAGAAAGGGAGAGCACTTCTTCATTTACTTAGTCAAGAGTACCCATAGCAGCTCCTTATATTATAGCTTACTTAGACAAGCATATCAGCATTTCAAGAATGTTAAAATATTTGTTCTTGGCAAACACAGTTGTTGGAATCAATTTAATATATCTAATCTAAGCCTACTTTCCATTTTATACAATCAGTGGTAATCACATAATAGATTCTTACCAAAGGATTGAATTTTAATTTTTGTTTCTCTATATGAATCGAAACGGTAAGAAATAATGGAAGAAAATAATTATACATATTTGTTTATTTATTATCCAATCAGAAATGTAAACTATATACAAGCGATTCAAAGACACACCAAAAATACAGTGAAAAAAAAAAATTGCATATTCTTAGAAAAATTCATCTAACCCTCCATATCTTAATCAAGTGTTGGACTTGACGAAGAGGAATCATTAGAATTTTGAGTTGGAGGACTCTGATTTGATTCCTGACTTCTCCTATTACTATTAAAAGAAAAACTAACCCAAATTTCTCTTTCAAATCTCCTTCTATCTCTCCCTTCTCCTTCTTCTTCATCTCTTTTCTTTTCCAACTCCACTTCATCAACAGGCATCTTATACCTGCAAACAGGACAAGACCCATGAATCCCCAACCATTTTTCGATACAATTGCGATGGAACCTATGCTTACAAGGCATCTCTTTAGCCAACCCACCAATCTCCCACTCCTCCAAACAAATCACACACTCACTATCCTTATCGCCTCCAGTTTCTTTAATTTCAACACTAGGAATAGCCTCTATTGAAGCCTTTGAGGCAGGTGGCTGACCACTCTTGCTACCTAAATCTCTAAGTAAAGAATCTAAATTTGCAGTTCCTTCAATCACTACCATTCCTTGAGTAAAAGGGTTTATAAGGATGATTCTTTCACCTGGGGTGGCAGTTTGTGGCGGTTCTTGATCTGGGTTTTCTCTCTCAGAGGTGGTTGTCGTGGTGGCGAAGCCTAAAAAGAAAGGCAAAAATAAAGAGAGGTCTCTTTGCGTTAATATTCTCTCAAAAGCTGAAGATAATTCAGGTAAATCAGTTCCAGAGGCCATTTTTGAGATAGTTGAAGAAAGAAAAGGAGAGACAAAGAAAGAATTAAAGAATGAAATGATCTAGGGCGTAGAAAACAGATAAGAGTTGTAATTGTGAAGGAGAAGAATATAAAGAAGAAGGTGAGCGCCCACAGAGAAAAAGAAAGAAGGTAGTAGAAAGATCTGGAATTTGTGACTGTTGGATACTGTTTGTTTGATTTTTGATGTTTATCTGATCAGCAATTACCTATACAATGTCCTTTTCGTTACAAACTTGAAGAGGATATTTCTAGGGAGAGAGGCCGAGGAGCGTGATTCAGTGGCCACAAAACCGACGGTTCCGGTTCCAAATAACATGGAACCGGAATCAAACCGGAAACCGACGGTCTGATTCCGGTTTGGAACCGGGGATAAATGAATGAGATGTGGCCACGCTGCGTGAGGACTGAGGAGGTTGGACACGATCATGCGTCACCGTTTTTTGAATTTAAAGTTTAAACCCCTGGTTCATTCTTTCTATCTACTCTAGAACTGTCTAGATCCAAATTGATTGTTATCCATGTATTTATTTTTTATGCTTATTTGACCCAGCCATTCTAGAAAATTGGAAGTCAAAACTATTTTGATGGATTATTTTAACTACTGTTCAGCATATAAGGGTAAAAGGAATACAATAAAAGAAATATAATGGAAGAGTAGAACCACAAAATACAAAAACAACAAAAGAAGGGGCGTAATTAGAAATTGAAATTTAGAAGGTGAAATATAATTTTCAAAATTTGAAGGGCGAAATAGATAATTTTGTAACTTTTTAGATTATCACTGGCATTATCATATCGCACATATGAAATAACCTAACAGATAAAGCGTGCCCCGACAAAAAGAAACAAGGCAGACGTTCAGCGGGTGTCTCTACTCACACACACTGTTCGATAAAAGTCCTGAAAGAAAATTTCGTTTGCCTTTCTCAGTAAGCTGTTGCATTTGTTTTACAAGCGCGAAATGATTAATCTATGCAGGTTTGTTATTGTAAAATGAGCAGTTCTTCCTTTCTCCGCAATATGGCACCTGTAAATGTTCCTGTCCTCCAATTCAAGACTTGTGATATCTTTGGGAACTACTCAAAAGTTTTTAACTTTCTTCCAATACAAACTACCAGTAAGTTAAACAGTTTCAAAATTTACTTTTTCTTTGCTGATCATGCATAGGGCAATTGTTAAAAGAACAAGCTGATTGGATGTTTTCTGGGCTATGCATGGATTTTCAATAGGATATGGCGTTGTAAATTTCAATCTGTTATTTTCGTGTCAGATTTTCAGGTGATGACATTAGTGGCAAGAAGAAGGGGAAAAATTAAAACAGAAAATCCAAAAGCTTTAAACCTAAGAAGGCGAAAGAAGGTATACTTTAATACATATAATGTGTCTAAATTTTAGTCATGTATGTTCAAAAGGGGTTGACCTTCTTTGTTGACAGGTAGTTTCCTCGAAATGATTTTCTCGATATAATTTGTGCTTCATATCTTTGTACCAGTTTAATGGCACACCTAGAAAACCAAGGCTGTCAGTGTTCTGTTCAACTAAACAGTTATACGCTATGCTGGTAGATGACCAAAACAAGAAGTGTTTATTTTATGGAAGTACTTTGCAGAAATCTTTCCGTGATAGTCAATCTGATAGCACTGCTGTAAGTGCCCTTTTCAAGATTAGAAAAGAAGTTAGGAAAATGCTTATATTTGCTGCTTGAAATATAAATTTCAATTTCAATCTGCATACAATAAAGTGTTTCTACTAATTTTCTGCTTCATTATAATTTTTCAATCACATTGCTGCTTATACTGATTCTGTTTGCAGGAAGCTGCTAAACGTCTTGGTGAAGAGCTTGTTAAGGCTTGTGTAAATCTTAATATTAATGAAATATCGTCTTACGATCGCAATGGTTTTCCGCGAGGTGAAAGAATACAAGCATTTGAGATTGCAATTTCTGGACATGGGTTCTTGCCAAGATAGTTCTGCACCTGATTCTGCATAATCTGCTCTTTTGAATACACATATCTCATTTTTTCTGCAATGCAGAATCTAATTAGCATAAAATAACTTCTGATTATGTTGATAATCTTCATAAGGACTTGTGGGCTTCAAGTTATATCTGTTGTAAGAACCTTTTTTTTCTTTGGCTTCATCAAGTTCTTGTGCTACTTCAAGGCTAACAGAAATTGAAAAGGAAACTTGTATAGTAGCAGCACTGTTGTCTAAATATTTGACTTGTTGATTTGATTGGCCCCTCTTGGATGGTAGTAAAAATTTTGTTATGACCTTTCGGAGTTAACAGTTATTTATTATTTAATAATATTTAATCAACTTATGTTACAGGTTTTTTTTTTTTTTTTCTAAAAAAAAGGAAAGAAAACTCACACATTTTGGTAACTATTGGGCCATAATCAGGACGCAGTTATAACCGTTGTTGACATGGTTAGAAAATTCAAATAGAAGAGAGAAAAAAAAGGGGAAAAAATTATCCTATTGTTGTATAAAACAGAAAAAGAAAGGCCTAGTGAAGATTATTTTTACTTTCCTGTTGTAATAATCTCTTAATCAACAAAATAACCTCTCACTGACTTTGTTGCAACAATGGATCAAACTGGACAAGATATTGGAATCAAAGTCTACACTGCATCTCCAAAAAATGACCCAGAACCATTCTGTCCATCATCATCTTCTAATCTTACTCAAGCCCCTAAACAACCAGGCAACAAACGACGAGCCGTAGCAAAAGGAGTACAAAAAACACTTTCTAAAACTTCAATGCTTGTAAACTTCCTTCCAACAGGAACTCTTATAACCTTTGAAATGATTCTTCCGTCTATAGTAAAAAATGGACAATGCACTCATGTTTCTGTTCTAATGCTTCTTGTCCTTCTTGGCCTTTGTGCAGTCTCTTGTTTCTTCTTTCACTTCACAGACAGTTTTAAAGGCTCTGATGGGAAAGTTTACTATGGATTTGTTACCCCAAAAGGGTTGGCTGTTTTCAAGCCTGGACTTGCTGTACAAGTGCCTAAAGATGAAAGATATAAAGTTGGATTCACTGATTTTGTTCATGCTGTAATGTCGGTTATGGTGTTTGCGGCGATCGCCTTTTCCGATCATAGAGTGACTGACTGTTTGTTGCCGGGACATGTGAAGGAGATGGATGAAGTTATGGAGAGTTTTCCTTTAATGGTTGGTATTGTTTGTAGTGGTCTGTTTCTGGTTTTCCCAAACACTCGATATGGAATAGGTTGCATCGCTGCTTGAAATTAGGTTTTCCATTTTTTTTTCTAAGTCATACAAAGTTTGTTGAATGTTATCAATTTAATTGACATAATAAATTTGATTTTCTGTTTCCATTTTCATATGTCTCTCCTTTTTCCCCGATATAATATAATTTTTAAAAATTTAATGATACTAAATTATAAATAAATTACAAGAAGAGTTCTCATGAAAAGAATATTGCATATTGAATAATGAGTAAAAAATTGATAATATTGCAAAATATTAATTTCTATAGCCTATTACTACATATATTCTATACAATGCACTATATTCTACGCAGCAAGCAAATCCCTACAAGTCACTGAGGCGTAATGACCTTCGTGTAAAACTTATTTATACTATTACAATGGTGTGACTGACAGCTACTCTGCAAAGCTAAAATGCCAGAATGCAATACCTTCTTCTCTTCTAGTGTGTAGTGAGATCTGTCTGCTCAATGGTCGGGAAAATTTCAAAAACTGGTTAGGATTAATCTCTTCAGACTTCATGTTATGTTAGGCCCCAAGCTCCCAAGAACCTGTAACATATGGACTATGCTCTCATTGGTCACCACAGCAAATAGCACCCTTTCCTTCTTGAAGTTTCTGCCATAGACAAAGCATCTCTCTCGGACTTTGGTAGTGGGCAACAATATAACCGTCCTTGCACCCTTCATTATAGATCTTCTCTTCGGTCGCGTACGTAACTTTTAAACCCTGCTTTTTCATTTCGGCTATCCAGATGCCCATTGCTACATCTTCTAGCTTAAAAATCTGCAATATCAAACATCAAATTTTCAAACAAATGATTTTAGTCACCGTCTTCATGTCATTTTGGAGTATATTATGCATTCATAACAGAATACTTGTGTACAATCATTGACTGAAGACAGTAGTGGGAAGTAGAAAAAATGATGTGTAGCTAGTATTATACCTTCAAACGGCCTTCTAGATGTCTCCTGTAAACTTCGTTGGCTATATCACGGGACACCACATAACCAGGGCCATGGGCCCAAGGGGGGTATTTCTCTTCATGCCATTCCTTTTCAGTAAATGCAATAGAGAGAGAGATAAGTGATGAGGAATACATTAAAATACTAGACAGAGTTAGAAAAAATTAAGGGCAAGTAAGAAAACAGGTAATTTGGCAAACATCTTTTTGTACACTAGCAACTGAGTGATATCCATGTACATTTAGCGGGCGATTGAAGAATTTTTGAATTTGCAACCGTGAGGGTGTCCAGGTCTCAAACATTAGAACAGAAAATGATCTCAATGAATAGGCAGAACTATCTCCAACTCCCCAAAACCTACTCTATAAGAGCCTACGTGTTTCTATTTGATACCAGTTGAAAGACATCAGGCAATATGTAAGCCTAGCACAACTCGAGTTTTTTTTCCCCCCTTCCCCCATTAGTAAGACAAGAAAATTACCTCAAGGCTAATGTACCATTTGCTATCAGGATTCCGGTGAGGTTGGGAATCTGAGTTGATCAGCCCATAAAGCAGCCCGTTACTCACTTTGATCCTCTTTAAAGAAGCTAGCACTTCATCTATTCGAACAAATGCATCATCATCTGTCTTCATGACATATTTTGCTGATGCAACCTCTGTCTGTTTATGAGATGAGGTCAGTAAGGCAATGATTTAACCATCTGTATGTTTAAAAGAAGAGAGTAGTTTTTACCCCAAAAATGCAGATGGCTAAAGTTTTCCAGGTGATGAGGTTGTAATAGTCAACAAAAGGCATTAGTTGTATGTCACCATATGTTTGTGCTTCATTCCAGAGTTCCTCATTCACTAATTGATTTTTATGCTGCAATATACCTCAAAATTATAAGTCTCACTGCAAAACCAAAGAGATTTTTACACATTTAACTTGCAGCATGTAGTTCAAAATTACCAAACTCACAAGCTGAGACATCCATCACACATGCTCAGCAATAGAAACTCAGACCTACCCATAACAGGTTTATGCCTTTCATGGCCAAATCAATTAGATTGTGGTTTCACCAGTCACATCACAATATTTCAAGTGGGAGAAATTTCCTATCTTCTAAATTTATGGCCACAAAGCATCAGCGCGAGAGAAATTGATGAAGGAAAAGTATAAGGTATTTGCTTATGAAGGCTCACCAAACCAACAAAGAAGCGCACTGCTACAGTTCCTGACCGAACTGCAGCATACTGCATCCAAGTTCTTCGAACTGCCATCCTGCGTTTAAAATTGTTTGCTGTGGAGAAAACACCAACAAAGAGATGTGGTGGTTTTTTAGGGGAAAGAGGAGCTGACTTGAGTGCTTCTAGATCTATTGCATGTTCTAAATCCTCTGATGTAGGTAGACCACTAGCCACCACAGAAATTAGCTTCAAGTCTCCGGATATCCTAACTTCACTAACCAACCATGGCTCCAGGGTCTGAATAGACAAAAAACCAAGAGAGCAAACAAATCCAAAGAATATTACTTCAGGACAGTAGAACTATAAAAATAACAGAAACAAGGTCAAGATGGTACTTCGCGGTATGCAAAAGATGTTATGTGCTTTCCATCAACTGTTGTCTGGATTCCCTCTGATCCTACTCTAATTGTTGCAACAGATAAATAACCTTGCTTAAAGGGAAAATATCTTCTGTTTTTAGATCCTTCCTGAACCATCATAGACCTACTTGAACGTTCGGAATGCATGCCAGCTGCCCGGGTATCATTTCTACCCACTATCTTGTTACACTGATCCAACTCATCCACTGTCATATAAAACTCGTATGGTTACTGCTTAAACAATTGAATAGAGAAAATATAAAATGGATTATTGAAGCAGACAAAATAAAAGAAATCAAAAGAGAGAGTTCTGAATATATACAAAACCAAATTATGAAAATATACTGCAAATATATGGTTCATCAAGAACACCAAGATGTGGCATGTAGCTCTACCTTTCTTATTCTTTTCAGGAGTAGGAGAAGGGCAGCGCTCCTCTTCACCCCAATCACGAGCTGCAGTCCAGGTGTTTTGAACTATTACTGGATCCTCAGTTATCTTATCACCATGAAGCCTAACATTGTAATGCAAAATGACAGGTGGATCAGGCTCCCCTGGAAGTGCTTCCCCTGTTAAGTCGATCCGAAAATTGCCAAGAAGACCATTTGGGATGCCAATAATCGTTATCGAAGAACCCTGAGTCAGGCCACAAGGAAGCCGCAACTTAAAACCACTACTCTCAAGAACTGTGGCGTTCACTTTGTTAAGAAAATGGGGACACTGCTTCTCTTTCGATCTCCTATTTATACTTTCATTTGCATAACTATGACTTTCTTCTTCAACAGAAGCCATAAGGCTATTCCATGCACTTCCAGCTTCTTTCATGGCCTCTAATCCATTAGGCAAAATCTGGGCTTGATCAATCAAGTGTCCCAATAGGTTCCATGTCTGTAAAGATTTTTGCTCTTCATTAGAAATATTCCTCTGAGCAAACAAACTGGAGACTATGGTTTCCGTAGAGATCACTTTATTGGAGTTTCCTGGATTTTTAACTGCAGGTGGAACTGTAGCTTGTACCCATTCAAGAGGATTAGTTGCATTGGAAAAGGCATTCATCAGATAACTTTCTCCAATAGGATTTTTCATGAGACTATATCTTAGGATCAGCAACATAAACAAGGATGCAATGAAAACACCACCATACCATCTCTTCATTCTTTTGATTATAAAGATGCATCAAAATATTGAATGCTGATTTATATTCTGATTTAGCTTAAAGGAATCAGCACCCCACAGCGGATAATTGTCATGCAAACAGAAGAAAATATCTCTTAAGAACAACTTCTGTAAACAAAAAATCCACAGGCTGACATGCTAATAAAACAAACATAGGATCGTTAAAACCAACAAAAACAACTGACATCTTTAGAAGACAAGAACCACAGTGGACATGAAAATGCAGAAGGCTCAGATTCTCTTGTCACGAGTTAGCTATCTGACTGAGCCAACTATCGATCTCTGAAAATTCATGCTTCTGCTGTAACAAAACAGTTCAATCACTCAGTGGCAATAAACTGCATAACTTCTTCATGACGCAAAATTTATCAAGGAGATCCAAGATTTATAATCCATCAATCCATTTTAATAAGTAAAAAATTTTCCAATAAATTATCCATAACATTGCATTTGTATAACAAAGGTCAAGTATGCTCAAGGCTTGGTCAATGATCCCAAACAAAAAAAAAAAGTATCTGATACAGAAGTCTAAAAAAAAAGATGAATAAATGTACTACTAAAGATCAACACCAGCATTAATGGAACACAATAAAAAAGATGGGTTTTAACGAAACACGCACAGGAAACTCAGGGAAAATTATTTGTTGACCATAAAACTGGAAACAAGGCCTTCTGGAATCGACTTGCTCTTATCTGGTTTTCTTCAGACAGCATCCAAAAAACTGTGTTAAGTTCATCGCGAGGAGCAGAGAATTTCCATCCATTTTCTAAAGACCACTAAAATGACAAAAGTCACAGTTCTCTATCCCAATTAAAAATCCAAAATTGGTCATTGCTTCAATTAACAATTCCCTCAGAGAGGTTATAAACATATATATTTTTATTTTTTCATGGACATTGTACTCAAAAAAACATATAGAACAAATTTTTGAAGTCAATGCCCCACCAAGCCCGTTGCTAATTGATGACCTTGGAAAGAGCAGGTAATCTCCCCTTCAGTAATTTTATTGTTTCCATATGTGACTAAACCAGCACAAAATCTATCCTAAATTATATGATTTAAGCACTTCATGAGTAGGAGGATCTATGCCAGAAATTAGATCGCCAAAAATGATGGGCGCGGTCCATCTTATGATGAAGAAATGGTTTATTATAAAATAACAATAACAAAAAATTCGGATAAATTCAAACAAAATCACAAAGGAAGTCCTCAGTCCAAATTTCCATGCTATATGCTGTTTCATTATAATATAACTTTCCCAAAAAATCAACGCGCAATTCCTAGTTTTTTTCTCTTTTCCCTTCGTATAATTATTTTCTGCTGAAGTAACCCAAAATGCTATCCTAGTGCTTGACCGGAATAAGTCAAAAAGCCACCATTGACACGGCAAAATAATACACACAAAAACAGTGTGAAGTTCTTGAAACCTAAAGAAAAATCTGTAGTATCAGCATGATTGATTCATCCAAAATGCTAGGAGAAAAAATAAAATAAACTTAAATGTATGATATTTTCTTTATTCATTCAATTCAAGCACAAGACAGAGAACTAACTTGCTTTAAGTTTCTTTTTAAAAGGAAAAAAAAGAGTAAAGCTAAAGCCTACTAAATTTAGCATTCCATCTCTTCTCAGCTACTGAAATTCCTTAGAAACAAAACGAATTTATACATTAACTAACAGAAATAATTAAAAGAAAATCAAAAGCAAAAAAATAAAAAAGATAAAAGAAGGAGAAAATGATCAGACAGATCCGAACAAAGATCAGCAATCCAAACAAAACGAATAGCTTTCGAAATTGAAACCAAAATGGAGTGAAATTTAACTGGTTTAGCAAGTAAGAGAAGTGAAACAGTAACCGAGCTAGAAACTAACCTTCTTCCTGCATCCACATGTATAAAAAAGAAAGGCCGAGAAAGTGAGAGAAAATAACTTTCCTACTATAGAGAGGGAAATTAGTGTCCTGTTATTTTCGGATCTGTGCGGTTTTTGAAATTGTGCTTGAACGGTGGTAAAAACAAAGGGAAAAAAGAGGAAAAGCTTGCTTGACAGTGAATTAGAGCGTCGAGAAATAAAAAATTAAGTAATAATGCGATGTTGGTGTGTTTGACTATATTCTATTTTTGTCTGTTAGATTTCCTTTGGTTAATCCGTGTCTGGTTATTGACGGGAAGCGCCAATGATAAAGAGCCGGATTACATAATTGATGTTTTTTTTTACAACCACGTGGCATTTTCCTGTTGCTTACTGTTTTAAATATTTACCGTTTAGACAAACAAATTCCCTTATTTTTATGTATAAAAAAATAATTAAAAAAAGAAAAAAAAAAGACTCTGATCTATGCGCGGACTAAATCAATGATTTTCTTTTTAAAATGAGTGAAAAAAAAATAAAGTGAAAATAATTTTTAAAAATTTTATTTTAATTAATTTGATCCACTGAGTTAATTTCTTTGCCAAAATAGGTGAAATAATGTGGAATCGATAGGTTAATTAGGCAGCAACATTAAAACGTAATTAAGGATAATTTAATTTATCTTTCATGTTTAGTGGCCCTTGCTACGCAAAAGAGGAGGTTGAGGTGGCGGTTGTGGGGCTAGGGAAGATGACGAGGGGTGAAGAAGCTCCGTGTATTAGATTGTCTCCCTTCTTTTTGGAAAAAAAAATTAAATAATTTTTTTTAGCCATGAAAGGATTTGGTTAAATCCAAATCAACTGTAATTTTTGAAACCAGTTTAACCATTTTGCTCCTGTGATATTTATCTGTATTCTTTCAATTAATTTATATACAAATTTGCTTACTTTTTTTTTTTTAATTATAAATTTTAGCATGGATGGATATTATGACTGTCTGCTACAAAGTAGAAACTGAACAATAAATTTTGGGCACAAAATGCCAAAATATTATTCCAGACTTGTTGAAGTGAGGCCCAACTAACCCAACCACAATGGTACCAGTAAGTCCAAATAACCCATTCCACTATTATGTTTTAGATCAGGTAAAGCCCATATTAGACTGGGTTGGGCTGCTTCGAGATGCTCCGATCTATTTTTGACTGGATAAACATACTTGACCTGTTTGCAGGTAAAAGGTGCCTGTTGATGAAGTGGAGTTGCGCAAGAAGAAGAAGAAGAAGAAGAAGAAGAAGGGAGAGAGAGAAGGAGATTTGAAAGAGAAATTTGGGTTAGTGTTTCTTTTAACAGTAATAGGAGAAGTCAGGAACCAGGTTCAGATTCCGCCAACTCAAAATTCTAATGATTGCTCTTCCTCAAGTTTAACATTTGATCAAGAAATTGACCGTCAGATAAACTTTTGCAAGAACTTTTTAAGGTAAATTACATCAAATTTATTCACTATACTAAACATGAATTAAAATTACAAATTTGGAGAACTTGACAAATTATTCATGAATTAAAATAAATAGGTGTTTTAAATAAAAAATTTAGAGAAACTAAACACATACATTTCGAGAAAATTTTCCCATTTTCCAGGAAAACATACACACAACAAATTAATACATAGTCTAAAACTTAGGAAACTGAACTCGAGATGCACAACTTCCCCTTGGTAGAACAGGACATTCAATAATTTCAGAGGCAGAAGTATCCACACACAAGTAAATCTGAAACAATTGAGTATTTTTGGATCCATCCTTATTGCATTCTAAGCCTGGTGTATAGCCGATAGCATCTTTTATAGCTTCTTCAATGGTTTCCAGTTCATAAAACTCATCGTCTGGTTTAATTCCTGCATCTGTAAGAATTTTAAGAAGATTAACTTTCTCCTTCAGCTTCAATGCTGCTTCAAAGTAATCATGCTGGTCCAATTCTGACTCTGCGCACGTCCCGTGCTTTACCCATTCGTGTGACCAGAACTTATTCCCATCGCCACTCGGGCATGACAGTGTTGGCCAGTTCCTTTCTAAACGGCTTACCAAATCTGAGATCTAAATGCACAAATGATATCAAAATTTGTGGATATTAAACTGAATAAGAGAAAGCATTATAGAACGTTAGTTAACCTGAGATTTATCAAAAACACTATCGGGATTACAGTTTGAAGGGTAGCCTCCATCTTTGTAATTAGGCCAAAGCCCATGAATCCCAAAATCTGCTGCTGGTTTTCCTGTTTTTGGATAACAGCAACTGTGCCTTGTGTCGCAGTACGATCCTGGCCACTGTATATCAAGAAACAAGATCATAATTAGAATTCCAAAGTTAACGAAATATAAAGATCTCATCTTGAATAACCGATGATCACCTGTTGGACAAAGTAGAAGAAATCAAAATCTTGAGAATGGCAAAGAACTGAAAGATATTGTAATATGAAAAGCTTGATAAAGATTGAAAAGTTTGGTTTCATTATGTTTATAATAAAGAAACTGTTTTGTGGGGTTGGTTAATTCCTGAGCCTATGAGATGAGAGACGATGATGATGATATATATAACCAGAAAGGTGACGATGAACAATGAACAGAATATGCGAATATATACATGTTACTATTTTATAACATGGTTGCGTGATCAATTATTTTTATAATTAGATTATTTTGATTTTATAAAAATTTAAACCAATTCAACTAAATGAAATGCTTACAACTAAAGTTTGAGTCTTTTTTTGGTCTTTAAAAGTAAATAAGTTAGTTGTATAAGGGGTGTTTGGATTATCGTCCAAGTAATGGCAAGCGCGTACAGGCTAAAGCTATAGCTACCTTCGTCGTTTTCTATGGTGTTGTCTTCTATTTCACTATTTGGTGTAATGTCTATTTTAGGAACCAACGGTGCCGTATAGGTATTTACTGGCTCCAGTTTCCGTAAAATAACTTTCAAAATATTTTTCATAATTTTCTATTGTTTGGGTCATTCAGAAACGGAAAATAAATCAATGGAAAATATTTTTCTCCTCAAAAAAAAAATTAAGTCATTTTTTAAGAAAAACAATTTCTCATTCTCGAGAGAGTAAAATATTCCAGATATTGGCAAACCTTATAAATTCATATTTTTTAATTTATTAATAATCATAGTCACTACCACCAGTCACTATTTACCACCGACCACCGGCGGCTTTCATGATTTATATTTTTTTTTTGGCATTCTTTTCATATTCAACAATAAAATTTTTAAGTTATAAATTTTTTATTATGAGTAATATTTTTTATGATCTTATGAGATACATATTTTAATATTTTAACTAATTTTCAATATTATAATCAAATAACGAAAAATAAGTCATTTAGAAAATATTTTTCAGCAAGTTTCTTTTTTGCAATTTATTTTACGCAAACAAATAGAGCTTTAGTCAACCATTTTCATGTTGATTAAAAAATTAATAAGATAAATTAAAATTATTCTCATCTATATAATGTAAATTTGTTGTACATATTGAAATACATAAAATCATGTTTAAAAACGTAGAAAATAAAACCTAAAAATTTAATCCAATTTATATATAGATTAAACGTGTTAGTTGAGGCGCAAAGATGACATGCACAGACGTGTTAGTTGAGAAGATGGAGTAATTAAATTCAACAGAAATTTATAATTGATTAATAGTTAGTTAGTAATATTTTGAAAAAAATTCTCTAAATATAAAATTAATATAGTCTTTATCTCGTGCTACAAAAAAAAAAACTTAAACTTCAAATATTAAGAGTATTACTAACTATTCATGGAGCAAAATGCTAAAAATGGAGGTCGAGGGCGAAACTAGGATCTAAAAATAACGTATGAATCTGAGGAAAGTCTTGCTGTCTTGCAAGGGAGAGTCTTGTTTCTGCATAACAAGTTCTAGTTTTAATGGCTTCTAGTTCAAACCCATCCAGGGACATCGAGGGACTTTACCAGAGGAAGGAGGAGGGTTGGAGCTGGGGAAGGAGGATGAATCGATCAACACTGTGACAAACAAGCTTACCATTGTGGGCAAGTTTCTGGCTGAACGCCGGATAAACTTCCAAGCTATGAAATTCGACCATTATTATTATTTGGAATCGCTTTCAGATTGGTAAAGTTCAATGATAGAGACTTATAAAATAAAACAGATAACGTATAGAGGTTTCCTTCAAGACTCAGACACATACCTACTTACCACACCAATTCTATAATTATTCTCCTAAAATCTGACTTTTTATTAATATTCATAAGTGCAAACAACAAATTACAGATCATAAGACGTGGACAAATTATAAAAAACTGAATGATCTATGAAGACAATGAATATATGAATAATAACTTACTAAGATAAAAAGAAAAAATTTAGTGGGATAAGTTCAAGTTAATCTAATTACCGTTTTCGTTATGGATCTTCTAGTAGATATTGCAGGTTTAACCCTCTTTCCTTTTGATAATTATCATTAAATTAACGAAAAATCGTGTAATCAGGGTTATTTGAATTTTCATACATTTAATCTTCAATAAATAAAAAATATACTAGCATGATACAAATAAACATATATACAAAGCAAAAGTAAGTTTACACAAGATAAAAATAAATAATTGAAATATATAGAATTATTCCCCAGCTAAAAAAATAATAATTAATGAATAACTAGAAACAACTTTTCGATGTGATGAGTTGTAAACCTGAAAAATACAATATTTTAGAGAATTGTCGTAATTGGATTACTATACCTTTATTATATAAAACACAAGGGTTGCCTTGTAATAAAGAATATCATAAGTTCTAACTTCTAGCACAACAACTAACTTTCCTTCCAAAATTTCCAATTTACCATTTAAAAAGAAAAAAAGATTTAGAAGAGATAGAGACACCTTGTTGGCGTTCGCTATCTGTTCCTTTTGAATTAGTTAATGATACACTTAAAAGTATTGCCAAATTAATGTTATTATATAATAAGGTTGCTACTATTATTAAAGCATCAATGTTAGTGTAGATTGTAATTTATGTATATCATAGACTAGAAGTGTGAATGATGATGTGACTGAATATCTATTTATAAATGTCGAATTTTAAAAATCTGTCCAATGCACTAGTTTGAAATCATTTTCCATCTTTTTTTTTTTCTTTTCCTCGCCCATAATTCAATATACAATCAAGACAAAGTCTAATAATAAGTGATGTATGATTTGGCAATAGATTCAGATTTGAATCTCCATCTCCAATAAAAAAAAAGAAAAGAATATCTAATCATTGGCCATGAATAATACTATATTTAAATTCTGGATCCAAATTATGTTTTTGTCAATAACAATGTCCGATCAGCTCATCCTTCTATGGATTCAATGTGAAAAGGGAAATTCATGAATAGAAAAATGGACATTTTTAATGAAAGATTGTATTGCCAAGCAGGAAGCCAAAGTTGTGACTTGAAGGAAAGAAAATTTTGTCCTCTAAAACCCAAGCAAATTAGAAGGAAGGGAACTCAATGTTGGAGGCACATTTTCCATTTGGAAAAACAGGACATTCAATCAGATTTGATCCAGAAGTGTCCACACATAAGTAAACTTGGTAGAGCTGACTGTTTCCTGATTCATCATTGTTGCACTCAATCCATGGATTATAGCCTATTGCTTCTTGTATTGCACTCTTAATGCTGCTCAAGCTGTATGATTCTCCATTTGCCGATATGCCTGTCACATACATTTTTTGATTTTAATCTTATAATTAATAATGAGGATAATTATGTATTAAATCATTTATATGTACGTTCATGCTGTGCCACGTTAAAAACTTTTTTGATTTGATGTGTATCATTTGATAAACGCGTTGGATCTCAATTTATTAAAAAAATTATAGAACAGACCGACTGAATCTAGATAAGATCCGAATAAGTTTACTAGTATCTAAACTATTAAAAGTTTAAGATTTACCTGCATTGTTTAAAACCTGAAGCAGATTTACTTTCTTTTTCAAGTTAAGAGCTGCCTGGAAGTAGCCATGTTGGTCAAGAACAGACTCGGAGCAAGTACCGTGTTTTTCCCACTCGTGTGACCAAAAGGTCACTCCATTGCCGCTAGGGCAAGCTAGTGTTGGCCAATTCTTTTGCATACTGCTTGTTAGGTCTGAAATCTATAGAAATGAGAGAATTCAATTATTAATTGTGAAAATATTCAATTCAACAATAAAACAGCTATACCCAATTGGTAATTAAGGAAATCTTAAATTTGAAATCTTTTTTTGTTAATTAGGAGATTTTCTTAATTAAATTGAAATTTTATCTAAATTTTTTAATTAGAGATGCTGTGTGCATGTTATAAGATGAATCTACGCAATAATTCTTTTATGGTATTAGAGATATATATGCTATTTTGTTGAGCTTTCTTGTTATAAGTATAATATCCTAATAATTTCCTATTTCGTGGGAGTTTTATAGAAATAAAATAATGGTTAGAAACTTTCTATAAAAGAACAGAAAAGTAGGGTCACTTTAGCAAAAAGAGTTTTCTCTCAGACCCTTTTAAACAGATCTGTTACGCAAAGAAAGAAAACCCAATAAAAAAAGGACCCAACAGACAGAAACAGAACAAAAAGGCTGAAATAATTTATGCCAAACAGTACCTTAATATTTCTTTTGTGCACTGAAAAAACCGGAAACAACCTTCAAAAACAATAATATAGGATTAGTGAAGTACCTTATTTTGATTGAAGGGGTTACTAGAATCACAGTTTGATGGGTAAGTTCCATCTTTGTAATTTGGCCAAAGTCCATGAATTCCAAAATCAGCTGCAGGTTTTCCAGTTGTTGGGTAGCAGCAACTTTTCTTTGTGTCACAGTATGATCCTGGCCACTGTAATTACAAACTAATTAAAAACCATAACCATTAAAAGAAGAAGGCAAAACCTTAATTAAAAATTCAATAACCTAATTGCTTTTTACCTGTTGAACAAAGTAGAAGAAATCAAATTCTTGTGCAGAACAAAGGACCGATAGGGACAGAACTACAATGATAAAAATGGGTTTCATTTTTTTTTTTTTTTTTAATTCTCTCTTCCTCACTCAACTGTGAAGATTATGACATGATCGTGCACTGCTTTTATAGTTGTATTTATAGGCTAAAATGGAAGGTAATTAATTTGGGTACTCAAAGTATCTGCAGGCAGCATATGCCTCCCAATCTCATAAATCCCTTATCATTGGCTTTATTTACGTGTGAAACCATTTTCTCATTATTGGCATATGTCGGCTCTCCTTGGTTCTTCTTTCTACATGATTTTTCATTTGTTTTTTTCCCTTTCCAATCTCATTGCTCATTAATCATCATAATCAGGGTTGACTCTAATCTTGATTCGTTGGCCAAGAATCATTTAGTGTTCTTTTAATTCTTGAAATTCTTACATAAAAAAAATCTTTGAAGAGGAGTATTCAGTTCTTTAAATTGTACATTAACAACAAAGCTTAGTGTTTTATTAAATTAATGTTAATAAAGATTGAAAGTTTAGTTATTTAAATGAATTTGCTCTCTCATTTTAGTAAAAGATCTTTTTTCGCGAATCAAAGTGGTTAGATTGTATATGGGGCTTGAATACCTTATGGATAAATTTAAAAAAAAAAATTAATTATTGTATTAATCTTTAAAGAATGTCCTTAAACTCGTATGAAGAGAAAACCTAGTTTGTGTATAAATATGGGGAAAAAAAAAGTAAAAGAAAAAGAAACTTAATTAATTATAGGTTTATTATAGGATTAGAGTCCAAAACAATGGTAAGGTTGTGTCGGTTGGCTTGGAGGCAGTAGAACATCCAAGTCAAAGTGATTTGATTGCAGTTTGATATGAAATGTACCGCAAAAAACATTTCTAATGCTAATATAAATCTTGGCTAATGTGTTATATAAAATAGAATATATGAATAATAGTGTGGCTGAATGTCCATTTATTCAGTAATCACTATAGAATAAGAAATAACCACATTGTTAAGAGACTCTCTAAGAATAGAAGATGTAGTTGACAATGTTTATTTTATTTTTTTACACATTAGTTTGATATAGCAAATAGATATTACCATTAGAGAATATTTTTTGAAAAATCTTTCCATTTTTCTGACGTGGCAATTAAATAAAAGCAATCACCGTTAGTATTAAAGATGCTTAGAGCTAACAAATAGACTAATAGAGAGAAGCATTTAATTCAGTTTTATATTGACAGCAATTTGCTCTGCTGTTTCCTTTCACATTGAAAACCTTTGGGCTTTAGCTACTGAGAAAGTCAACTAGTACATACCATGATGGCTAATGGATTAATATCTTTATTATCTTATGCTTCAATTTTTTTACATATTGTTTCCTAGAGTGAATAATGTGTACAGGTGATGCTGCCACATCTAAGATGGGATCGACTTATCTAGACTCGGTTTATGAGTCTATCTATGGATCAAATTAATAAAACATAAAATTTTATAAAGTTAAGAGTATTTCAAACCAGTGAAAAATAAAGTGGAAACAATTTAAAATAATCTCATTAGTTTGGTCTATGAGTAAATCGAGAGAACAAGTCTAATTCTATCTAAGATGCTCTTTTTTTCAATTCTCTAATTTGAAGCTCTAATGAAATCTAACATAGAAATATTAATTTGAAACTAAAAAATTTTAAATAACGAAACTATCTACTCTAAGAGGGATAATCATCACCACATTAACTAAACCAACTAAGTTCTTTTATCATACATCACATTTGGTTTCCCATTTTCATTTCATGTATGTTAAATGTGGGGTGCAATTCCATTTCCACAAACAAAAGGAGCACAAAATTATTTTGGTTACTTCTTTTTGTGGACCCAATTAATATTGTTCTTATTTTTATCTATTTTGTTTGTGCTTCTTATGATCCTAACTGCAACACCTAATTACAGTTTACTCATTCTTTAGTCCAAATCTGCGGCAACAATTTTGGTGTATTTACGTGCAAAAGGGACATTTTCCAGTATATAGTAAAGTAGACAAGTTAATGTATGTCTCTCACAATATTAGTAAGTTGACAATTTTTTTTGAATTCATAAATGATTTATTAACAAAAAGCTGTATTTTATTATTTTCAATTTATAACATTGACTACTACTCAAATCATCCTCAAAAGGAAAGGTTGTGTAAAATTGATGAAAATATGATGTTTTATCTCAGTCACATTTCTTGAAACTCATGTTGAGTGTGTGAAGCATTCTTTACAAGCAAAAAGTGTTTCTTTACAGAAGTGAGTATAAAATAAATAAAGAGAATTACACTTACTGGCTACTGCAGTGCGTTAATGGTTCAGGTGCCCAAGTGATAAACCTGATGAGAAGCTACAGAATCACCAATTTGAAACATCCTTACGTGCTCTGCATATATGATTCCAAGAGCACATATTGAATGCACGGAGATTCTAGATGCAATGTAACAGCTTCCCATCCATACACAGGTAGTTGGAGAAGTATAGTCGAAAGTCTAAAGCCGGTGCAAATATTCTGGACATAATTAGGAATTTTGTTTTGAAAGTTCACTACCAATAATCCCCACAAGAGCATTTTCCATTTTTGAAATGATGGAATCGTTGCACATCTCTGAGAATTATTTGCCTTTGGAATATTGATGATATAAGTTTAGCAGCAGAATGGCAATCACCACAAACTCGAAGATTCTTCACCACGCGGACTGTTGTCCCAGGTGGAGTGTTAAGGAGGCCAAATGCAATGGCTAATTTCTCACTATGATATCTGAGAGTAATTTCTTTCTCTCCATCATTCATGTCAGCGTGAGAGACTAGAGAAGTATCAGGTACATAACCAACCAATTTTAATTCCTTCACCAACTCATCAAGTGCTTGATACAAAGTTGTAGAAACACAGTGCACTCCTTTTCCAGAGAAGAATTCATGAACTACATTGTTTACTTCTATGGAGCTACACCCGGGAATCTTCACCGCCCCTCTATCAATCATCAATTTTCTTAAAGCATCCACATCTTCATATTTCTTAGCTTTTGCACACAAGTTTGATAGAATCACATAATCTCCACCATGAGAGTCATCTAGTTCAAAAATTCGCTCAATCACCTGCTTCCCTAATTCTACATTGCCATGGCTACTACAAGCAGATAGCAAGGTTCGCCACAATATGGGTGTAGGGTTGATTGGCAATTCATCTATGAATTTATAAGCTTCGTCCAAGCGTCCAGCCCGACCTAGCAAATCCACCATACATCCATAATGCTTGATCCCAGGAATAATCCCATATTTAGCACTCATACTATAGAAGTACTGGCAACCTTCCTCTACTAACCCAGTGTGACTACATGCATATAATAGACCTAAAAATGTAATTTCATCCGGCTGCACTCTTGCCTTTTCCATTTCTTGAAACATAGATAGAGCTTTGTAGCTCTGCCCATGGGTTGCATAGGCCATAATCAATGCTGACCAAGCCTGTGTATCTCTTATCCTCATGCTCTCAAAGATAGAAACGGCATCATCCAAACTTCCACACTTAGCATACATATCTATAAGTGCAGTATTCACTTTAACATATTTATCAAAACCATTCTTCTTAACATATTCATGTATCCATTTCCCCAAGTCTAATGCTCCTAACAAGGCACAACATGATAAAATACTAAGCATAGTAACATCAGTAGGTTCAAGTTTCTTTGCCTGCAATTCTCGAAAAAGTGACAAGGCCTCATTAGGCCTGCTACTTCGAGCATAACCCTTTATGATTGCATTATATGAAACAATGCACGGTTCAGCTATCTTATCAAACACTTGTCGAGCTGCATCTACGTCATTACACTCGGTATACATATTTATAAGTGTAGGAAATACATAAATATTCTCATTTAGCCCAAGTTTGATGGCAAGGCCATGCAGTTGTTTACCTTCATGAAAAGCTTTAGCACAAGCGCAAGCTTTTAATAGAGAAGGGAAAGTGTAATTATCAGGGAAAAGTCCATCATTTAAGGCTTGAATGAAGAGGTCAATGGCTTTGAGTGAAGTGTTGGACCGCGAATAGCCACGAGCCATGCTGTTAAAGAGAATGATGTGTGGTTGGTGAATTGTATCGAACAGTTGGTGCGCGTGCTCCATTGAAGAAGGCGTGGGGTTTTGGGTGCAATATTGTATGAGCTTAGTCAGAATGTTAAGGTCATTTTGGAGGTGGGTTTTGATGGCAAAGGCTTGGATTTGCTTGAGTTGCTTAAGAGAGGTGCATTTGGGCAGAAGTGAAAGTGGGTGAGATGGGTACGAGGTGTCGTTTGTGACAGATATTGGAGTTGCTGCCAATGCCATCATGATCATAGCATAGGCCTTAAGCAATGTTTTGATTGTTCGTGTTTTAATTCAAGATTGTGGAGAGAATTTGAGAAGAACCCGATAACAAGTTCGTTGGTGATAATTTTAGCGGACGTGCGTATATTCGTATAAATATAATTGAATTTAATTATATATATAATTTTTTATTATAAAATTATAATATTATGAATAATTTATATTATTAAAAATTAGGAGTATTCACAAAATAGAAAAAAGAATATTCTATGAAATAATAAAATAATTAAATTAAATAACTTATTGAGAAAAAAATATATTTATAGTAATAAAAATATTATATAATCTCACAATCAAATTTTCAAGAAAATAAAATTACTTATTAACCAATTTAAATTTATTAACCAATTTTTTAAATGATATAACAGCATAAACTATCTATACTATTAAATGTGAAAATAAATATTATCTATTATGATAATTAATATATTAATCATTATTTTGGAGCATTGTTTATAATTTTGATATTTTCTACACCAAAAATTATAGGTGGCACGAATCATGCCAATACTTGGCCAATATTTTAAATTTTGGTGGACAAGGTTAGATTTTATGGACAAAAGCATTTGAGCATGGGGAGAGGAAAATATGTGCAATTGGCTTTTTCATAAAATGCCCACATCAATAACTAAAATTTTCAATATTATGGCATATAAGCAAAATTACTTGGCTTATTATATACATATATAGATAGATAAATTATATAGATATAGGTATGGATAGATAGATAAAGAGATGAACGTAAATATAAGTATGTAATTTTTTTTCATTATTTTAATTTTAATATATGAATTTTCTATTGTTAATAGATATATAAAATATAAAATTTATTTTTTCTGAAAGGAATAAATACTAATTTCATTAAAAATAAAATTCAGAGCAACAAAGGGGAATAGTGTCCTAGCTATTGAAATAAGCATACTAAATAGATGTCCTTGCAAAATCATGGATGCCTAAATTAGCTTATTTTACTAATCAACCTGACTCTAATATTAAGTCTACTAGTTAAAATCGACTGACTTATGATTTAAAACAAATAAATCAAACTTCGAACTATTATGATTTAAACTATTAATAAAAAAAAACTAGATGTTGGCGGTTTGAAAATTTATTTTTAAACCTAAATGTTGCAAATATGTAGTTAAAGTAAATGAATAATAGTAAGTTTTTTAGAATTTAAGTAAAATTATATTACCGAGGCTTCTTTAATACTAATATTTTAATACTAAAAGGGTGGGAGTAAATTTTGTCTGACCACATTTGTGTGTAAGTTTTGTTTTTTCACTTTTCCATTTACTAAAAATAAATTTCTAAATCTAAAATATTTTCTATTTAAAAAATAAATAAATTTCCATCCAATGATTGGTCAATCAAGACAAACAATTGGCAAATGGCGGTGATGTGGCATCCAATGAGTGGGAGACAAAAAAAAAAAAACGCTTCAAGAAACCGGTTTTTGAACTGAGAAAGGCAAGCGATGCCCCACTTGTTTTTAGATTCCTAGGAGACTTCGTTTAGGGTTTTCCACATAATGTCTCCTCATTCCCTGTTGTTGGTGCCTGTTCCCAACTTTCTTTTTTAAAAATATTTGTACTTTCTGGTAAGCCCACAATCAATCTTTAATTCTTTAAATTCTTTTTTGTTTGTTATCCCGTTCCTGTTTTTCTATCTTAGTATTTACCTTACCTCCTTTGCCTGCTTAATTATTATTATTGTAATACCCATTAACCCCAACTACTGTGTTTGTGTCCTTTACTCCTGTTTCAATGGTAACCTTTTTACTGGAGTTATACATTGTTTAAATCTTGATTTATAATGCTTACTTTTCTTCTAAATCTATAAATGGTGATTTAAAGATTTAATTCGAAATCTTTATTTAATGCTTCTCAAATCAACCCATTTGCTATTAGATTTTGGAATGTTACTGGAGTTATGCATTGTTTATATCTTGATTTATGTAATGTTATTTTTTTTAAAATCTATGAATGGTGATTTAAAAATGTAATTGAACACCTTTATACAATGTTTTTGAGCTGGGTTACGTGTATACATACTTCTAAAATCAATCCATTTGCCATTAGCTTTTGGGTTGTGCTAGTTGGAGGTTTCTTTTCCAGATTTCCTTTTCTTTTTGTTTCTGGTTCAACTTCTGCCTTGGCTCTTGGTTAGCTACTCGATAGTATAATGTGAGGATTAAGGCCTATATTGTGCTTAACTGTTCCATCAATGTTCAAGTATGAAATCTATTGGTTTGATACTGTTTTGTTCCTGTTTATGATAGATGGGTTTCTGCACTCTACCCATTACCTTTTTTCCCGTAATGTAGATGGGGCATGGAATTTTAGCAAATTGTCCGCTAACTGAATGCTAAATATTTGCATTTTGACATATATGTTGGTTTCTTTTGTTCTCTTTTTAGATACTGCAGTGACCGGTTACGAATATTTCATGTGTTTTCTTCCTGAATTAATGTACTGTTGAAGATGACCATCAAGCAGAAAAAAACCATTCAAAATTTTTCACAACAGAAGAAAGTTTTGGTTTTTGATGAAAAGAACGGCGAATTGAGTGAAACTGCAGACATAGAGTTGCCTCAAGAGTGCAATGTGCATCAGAAGTTGCGGAAGACATTGTGGCACGCTGCTTCTCATCAACAGCAAGTAACTAAGCCAAGCCAAAATGTTGAACAATCTACACAGAGAGGAAAAGTGGAGGGCAAAGGAAATTGTTCAATTGAAGAAACACAACTAGATAAAGAGCATGTCAATTTGGAAAGCAGGAATGATGGAAGTAATGATCAATTGTTGATTCTTGCTAATTCTGCTGCACTCATGTTGGAATCTGACGGCTTATATGGGAAAGATCAAAACCTTGAAGGTTAGTGCTTTAGAGTTTGTCAAATTCTCTCAAGTTAATTTGTTGAGCGTTTACTTGATGTTACCTTAATAGTTATGTAATCAGGGTTGCCCATTACTCCAATGGCTCAGCATTCATCAGGGAGTGTAAGCCATGCCACAATTACAGGTCAGTTTTGCTTTTCCTATTCAATTTCCATATTATCTGCTGTTAGTGTTTTGCTTATCTAGTAGCAACCCTTATCAGATCATAAGTCTCCTGGGGAAGTAATTGAAGGCACACCTGTAATGAATTATGTAAGAACTGAAGAGGATGAAGTCCACTGGTGTGGAAGAACTCCAAGATTGAGTCAAATTCGACGTCAAGCTCGATCAAGAAGCAATTTATTGGTGCAGCAAGGGATGGAGGAGTCTGCAGTTGAGAATTTGCAAGGAAGGAGAGTGCGGCTGAATCATATTCGACATCAAGCTCAGTTCAAATATCATTCACAGCTGCAGACAGGTGGAGATTCAAAAGGAAGAATAGTTCGTTTGAGTGAATTGCGGCGCCAGGCTCGAACAAAAGGTAACTCATTAGTGCAAGAAGCAATTGAAGATCAAATGTATGGGCATACGGGTTGCCAAATCTCTGAAGGTAATCTTTGAAGGAGTTAAATGAAAGCATGCTTAAAACATCTTTTACCGCAGATACTGCTATTTGGATGCGGTCCCTTGTCAGGAGACAGTCTTGAAAGAACTGCCTTATTCATGTTGCACTTAATATGTCATGTGATGTTCTTTTAAAATCTTTGGTTATCATAGTGCTCAGATTTACTAGTAATGCATGGTCTTCTACATTTGGCACCAGATAATCAGAAAAAGAGGGTAATTGCTGATATATTTGGAGAAGAAGATGTGTCCAAAGGTTAGCGTTGTTCTTTCTCATCATAGCATGAAGATCATATGAATTTAGAAGAGTTTCTATATTGTTTTAAATTCTATTTTGGTTTCTTGTTTATCATTGTTACGCATTCATTACTCACTACAAATGGAAATGTCAGGGAAATAAATATATAATTCATGAATTAATATTATACTTAAACATGTGGCCTTGAAATATACAGGGTATGTTTTCTCTTGCTTGGTAGAGTCTGTTCTGGAAAGTGAAATACTACTCTTGGATGGCCTGTGACTTCAAATGCGGCCATAATAGTTTATGTAGAAAGCTGCCTAGAGGCTGAAATGTGATATTTATTTGAATTTTTTGTGATACTCTCTTGACAGGATTTTCAATTTTCTGAACTTGCACTTTCAGGCTTTGAAGATGTAGATTGTCATCCACAAGACGTTGAAAGTATGCATGAATACAACCTAAGAGATGGAGTAAATCAATCTGTGCCTGGTATGAGTTAATTTAATTTGATTGATTTGTATGCTTTAATTTTAACATTGTCGCTTCCTGTTGTTATTTGTTGTGCAGGGCACTATTTAGTGTTTGGCCTATAAGTGGACTAACTAATAACAATATAACTCTTATCACAGAGAGCGAGGAAGATCAGGACAAGATGATCTGTGTCAGAGGAAGAATGAGATTGAGTCAATTAAGACGTGAAGCTCGTCTAGGGAATACTGGCACCTTGGATACAGGTGATTATGCTTATGTTTACCTGTCAATATAGTCAATTTTTAGCTACTTGAACATTTAAAATTTCAATGGAATTTGTCTATACTGCTTCTAATTTTTTTGCAACTTGGGGGATAGTTCGGGAATTTCAAGTGTTCAGGCCTTGTCAATTAAGGAGGTGACTTGACTATATCAGGAATAAGAGTTGTAAGTAGGGTGGGTCTTAGGCCAAAATCTAGTTCTAGGATTCCATGGAACCAGCATCAGTTATCATATAGGTGATTGATTCAGCCAGGCAAGTGAATGTGACAATTAATTCATAGCATTTAGTTTCGAAGTGGATTGGGATAGTAGCTCAGAACTCAAGTGCCTGCCTTATGCAGTAGAATATTAATACCACATCCCTTTAAATGTTTCCATTTTGCCAAAAGGAAGAGTTGATTGATTTGGAACAAAAGGAGTTGTGAAGCTGTCACTTTTTCTTCCAGAGTTTACTGCTGCTGCTCAGTACAATATTCTTTTCATTCATAACGTCCTTTAATGTTCCTATAAGTAATATTCATTGTAAAGCTTTTAAATGACAGAATCTGTTGCACCATGGCCACAAGAGAGTTCATCCCAAGTATTGTTGAATACAAGGTAGTGACTACAGTTAGTTTGTGGCAGTTGGGCATAAGATCCCTCAGAAAATGTGCATAGGCACATTAAAACCTTATGTTTTCTAGATTTTTTTAATGGAAAAAATTACAATTCAAATCTTGACATTGTAGGATCTTCCTTGTGTTGAAATGTTTAAGATTGCTGATAAGGTTATTTTCTTGATTGATTTTTGCAGATAATATTTGTGGCTTGCTTACTGCAGTATTTACTCTGAATAAGAATTTGAACCAAAGCCCATTTTGCAACATTTATCTGGACATGCTATCATATTCCAGTATGTTGTCTGAAATCTAATTTGTGATTTTGATGCTGTTGAACAGAATGTAATTGCACCAAGACTTTTAAAGGTTAAGAGTTGAAGCCACTATCATGTTTCACGAAGTTGAGCAATGGAAGTAGAAGCCATAAGGGACACATTCAGCCCTTGTTAAATATTTTGACACAGTTTACAGGATGAGTTTTGATATGTCAAAGATAGAAAAATGCTACTGAGAATTTCTCTGTCACATCACACTCGCACAAATGCGAAAAGATAGATAGTCAGATATCTCACACTTGTAGATCGGCAATCAATGTAATTATTTTATTTATTTCTCCATTAAGTTTCTTCTCTACCTTCTGCTATCTATACAGTTTTTAAGATTATCTGCACAGAAAATGTGCAGAAACTGCTATATCCTGGAAATCAGAAGTTATAATGAAGATATACAGTATTTTGTATTTCGTTTTCTCATTTATTGATTTTATGCAATTCTTGGTCATGCAAAGCAATTACTTTATTTTCGCTGATCTTAAATTCCATCTGCATAGTCTTAGAGATGGTTTATCATTTGTTTGATAGACGTGTATGTACCTACTATGGCAGCAAACAGTCCAGCTATCACCAGCTCGAACCGAAACTTCGAGCAGCTTTGTTGATCCTCAGGTAGCAGAGACATGGGAACGACATTGAGGCAGTGACACTCAAAAAAGAACCAATAAAAGCCATCTGCTTGCTTAGACGAAATGTGTCTTCAATGGCTCTAGCAATTGGAGTAATAACAACTGCATACTTGGTCAAGGGATTTACCAAAGTTGTATATATTGCTATTTTTGCCCTGATTTTTCTGATGGGAAGGTTCAGAGTCACTTGAGACTTCAAATGCTCTCTATACATAAGGTACCCAAGAATTGCCATTGATCCATAAGCAACAGTGCTTGAAACAAAGCAGACAAGTAAAACCTGCAATTAGACAGGAGAGAAAGAGTCAGTTAGATAACTGTAATGTTCAACCTATAATTTTCTTTTTTTTTTTTTTTTTTTTTTTTTTTTTTATTTTCTTTTTTTTTTTTTTTTTTTTTTTCTTTTTTTTTTTTTTGATAAAAACGTAATCTATAGGGACAGGAATTCTTATAACAATCCCTACCTTGGAAAATTGGCTTCTATCTTTCATAGAATTGCACAATGTGGGAAAAACTGCATGACCACAGTAACAAAAGGCAAACAAACTTACAGCAGTAGGCAAACCATCCCAGTTCCAGAGCCCACTGACACACAACCAACCAATACGACAGAAGCCAAAACCCCATCTGCAGAAACATAAGCTAACATACATTCCTAAACTCCTTAACCATGTCGTTGGCAATATTACAAGAGAAGTGAGTCGAACAAATCCCTGTTTGTCACATAAATATATTTATGTATGCATGTTGCATCTACTTATTGTTATGATTTTGAGAAATAACTTAAACTTAAAATTCCCCTTGCAGGTGTTGGGATACTATCAATTCCACATGCACTTTTTCAAGGAGCGTGGATAAGCTTAACATTTTTGTTTCTGAATCCTGTATAAAGCTCATAATTGCTACCAGAAACAGACAGAGTAATGCATTTAAAGTACCTTGAACTTTGTGAGTTGTAATCATTACATTTCATTTTGATCTTAACCGGACACTCTAATTTCAAATATTTGTTATAATTCCACCCTAATTTAAAATCAAGGTTTAAAAAATGAATTTTATAATAGTCATGTGGGTCTCACGACTGACTCAATACTTAAACTAACCCAACTGTGGTAAACCAAAACGCAGCGTTTCTGTTTATGTTGATAAAAACCAATCATGAAGCCTCCCCAATGAACAAAACCGGATCCCTAGTTCTCTTAACCGTAATCCAGTGTATAAGTGGATTACTCTTAAGACGATGAATGGATACGATACAACGATCAAAACATACCCAGACATAGGAGACAGAGCTTTTGGGTATAAAGGAAGAGCTATAGTATCCATTTTTATGTATCTTGAACTATATTTGGTGGCAGTAGAGTTTCTGATACTAGAAGGTGATAACTTAAATAAGTTATTTCCAAATATGGGTTTCAGAGTTGGTGGATTAAAAATTGGAGGCAAACAGGGATTTGTTCTACTCACTTCCCTTGTAATATTGCCAACGACATGGTTAAGGAGTTTAGGGATGTTAGCTTGTGTTTCTGCAGGTGGGGTTTTGGCTTCTGTCGTTTTGGTTGGTGTGTGTCGTGGGCTGGTGCAATGGATGGTGTTGGCTTTCATGAAGGAGAGTTGCCCTGGAATTGGGATGGATTGCCTACTGCTATAAGTTTGTTTGCCTTTTGTTACTGTGGACATGCAGTTTTTCCGACATTGTGCAATTCTATGAAAGATAGAAGCCAATTTTCCAAGGTAGGAATTGGTTTAAGAACTCCTGTCCCTATAATTAATCAATTTATTAGTATTTTTATTTAATAATTTCAATAACAGTTCATCTTAACATTTATATTGTATTTATAAGAAATCTGAAGTTATAGCAGTAGGCAATCCATCCCAATTCCAGAGCAACTCTCCTTCATGAAAGCCAACACCATCCATTGCACCAGCCCACGACACACAGCCAACCAAAACGACAGAAGCCAAAACCCCACCTGCAGAAACATAAGCTAACATCCCTAAACTCCTTAACCATGGGCCAATATTACAAGGAAGTGAGTAGAACAATCCCAGTTTGCCTCCCAATTTTTTAATTCCTCGAAAACTCTCGAAACCCATATGTTGGAAAATGAACTTATTTTAAGTTATCAACCTTCTAGTATCAGAAACTCTACTGCCACCAAATATAGTTGCCAAGATGCATAAAAATGGGATACTATAGCTCTTCCTTTATAACCCAAAAGCCTCTGTCTCCTATGGCTGGGTATGCTTTACTTGTATCCGTATCCATACATCGTCTTAAGAGTAATCCAGTGTATAAGCTCAGGATTGCTACCAGAAATAGAAATGTTAAGCTTTTCCATCCTCCTTGAGAAACTGCATACGGAATTGACAGTATCCCAACACCTGCAAGGGCAATGTTAAATTTAAATTATTTCTCAAAATCCTAACAAGCAGATGAAACATACATTACGTAAATATATTATATAACAATGTTTAAATAAAATAGAGAAAGAGAGAGAGAGAGCAGAGACCAGCTAAGGTATTAATTCCATTAAAACAAGTCCTAAGAAAGGTGGTGCCTTTGACAGGTTCCTGTGGTTGTGGAAGCTGGTTTTGGCTCTCCATTTCCTTTGCTTAGTTATGCGTATTAGGCAACCAACTTGGTTGCCCACTATTTTGAATGTTGGCTACTTAGTGTCGAAGCGGATCACATAAAGGAAAGACTTACCTGAATCCGGTAAACGGTAAATGGATTCATTTATACAGTAAATCAGTTACAAACAGTATTTTAATTCAAATGAAAATATTTTTGACCTTATAAAAAATAAATAAATAAAATAATAATATTTTTTTTAAAAAACTTTTTAGCCTTTTTAAACTTAGGTTTAGAAGTAGCCGGTGAAGATTAGATAAGCATTTCAATTGGTTGGCATATTAATCATAGCATTTTGTGACAAGTTGTTACCTATCTATCTCCCAAAAGTCACCCTCACCCACTCATCACATGCATATACAGTCAATTGTACCTTCAACTAGCCCCGAATACAACGTGGATATAAATGAGGGGGCTGCAAATTTGCGGTGGGGATATTAAAAGCTGAACCTTGCAATGCAAAAACATAAATTTTCATTTTTTTTTTCACCTCTCTGGTTGATGTGGTACCATTGAAAGGATTACACTACAGTACTTAGACCTATCTGCAATCATGCAGGTAATGCCTCATATCATTATCAAGTCCATTATTAGTGAAAAAGAAAATGATATAAATAAATAAATTCCACTTAAAAATAAAAAAAGAATCATATAATAGATAGAGCGCGCACAAAAAAAAAAAAAAAAAACCCACTTTACACTTTGTATGTCTTGTCTTAGTGAATTTTATAAACTCAATTTTACATAAATAATTAAATTAGGTTTAGTAGCTTTTATATTTTTAATCGATAAATAAGAGATTATAATAAATAGCATTTAAATTTTCTGAAAGAAATCATCTCAAAATTATGAGATCTTTTTAGCGCTTTTCTTGTGGCTATCTCTTAATTGCAGGGTATTTACATTGTCTGCCCTATGTTTTAATCTTGAGTCCAACTAACTAACATCATTAGTGTTTCATAATAAGATCTATATATTCAAAATTATTGGTGATTACCTAATTGTAATTTTGTAGGAGGCCATATTTTGAAAAGGTCTCAATGACCTTAAACCTTTTCACCACATCAGAAAATAAAGTCCCAAGGTGCGAACAAAATAAAAGACAAAAATTTATATCACTAAAAACATACTCTGTTAAATTCGCTTTTGACCAAAGTATTACTGGGCAGTTTGATAATTAATGCTCCTACTATTAGCTTTAACTACATGGAAGAACACATTCGTGTCAAAAAGGTACAAAGCGCCCAAATAGCAGAATTCTCTACAGTTATACCTCGTATTCAAGTGCACGAGCATATTATTTGGATGAAAGCATAACATTATTAGTTTTCATAGGCTAACTTAATCAAATTCTAAACAGGATTGTTGCTATGATTCTGTTTATGTTGAATTGCTTTATTGTTCTTTTTTGATGTCACTTGTCATTCCAATGTTGTTCGCCATGGCCTTCTGCTACCTGAGGATCAACACAGCTGCTCGAATTTTCGGGTTCAAGCTGGTGAATAATTTTGGAATCCTTGATAGCTGGATTGTTTGCTGCCATGTAGTACATACACTTCTATCAAACAAAATAATAAACCATCTTGAGACCTTGGCAGATTGATAAGATCAGGCAAAAATTAAAGTAATTTGTTGGCATTCCAGAATTGCATTAAAATCAATAAGTCGAAAACCCAAAATACAAAATTAACTGCATTATCTCAATTTAATTTGGGATTCCAGATTGCCAAGTTTCTACCATTTTCTGAGCTAACTAACTGCGAATGAATTGTTACTGTCTTAAATGTCATGGTCTATATTGGTCTATCATAAGACAATTAACTAACATAAACCCAAATAAATCAAGTATTTGAATTTATCACAATCACCTATCTCAAAAAAATACTTCTACAAAGTCGTCAACTGAACCATAGAACAGAATTTTTTTTTATATTTTTTTTTTATCACACACTATTATACAGATGTTATCCTCTCACAATCATCTATCTCCAGTAATATTTGTAAATTCACTTGTCATTAATACATAAACTTCATCAATCACATATCCCAAATGTAAAACACAATTTAATTCTAACATGGAGATTTTATTAATCACTTATATGTACATAATCATTTCTTATCTCTTATTTACCTAATTGCTTAACGATTTAAGAATGAATTCTTCCATATGATGTAGTATACTGCAAACCTTGCTAGACTATACATTTAAAAGAAATCTTCAATCATCACATAACTTAACACAATCTAAAACATTAATGAAGAAAACACCAGCAAACAATAAGTTTCCTATACACATCTTGCTTATAAACTGATAACTTACTCATACTGTAGTCCTTTCTCCGATACCACCTCTGTCACATCTCTATTTTGGGTGTGACAGAACAAGTAGCTGACTTCCTAGCCAATATGGCAATTACACAGCCCAGCATGTGATTCTCCCTTTTGTTGCCCAGCTTCTGTGTGATGATTGCAAAGGCATGGCAGGCCACGGTATCAGACCTTTAGTTTGTGTTTCCTTTTGAGATTACCTCCTCGTTTTTGTATTTTAAAAAAAAAAATGTAAAGTTGTCTGTGTTAAATTAAAAATTATTTACTTCACGATGAAGTTGAGAACCTGTTTATTTATGGTTATTTACTTACGTTGATTTCTTTATCTAAATCTTTTTATTGGTTTTGTCGGGTTAAAGGAATTAAAGACTTTTTTATATTATATTTTATTAATATATCTTTAAAATTTATTCAGTAAAATAACTATTTAATAAAACCGTTATAATATTATCGGTTGTATATTAATATTCAAGAGAGTAATGTTTTTTATAATATTGTAATCTAATTATATATTAAGGTTAATTTTGCGTTTAGTTTCTTATATGTTTTCTTTAATGAATTGGCATTGGATGGTCAAAAAAGTTGCGCTGTCTCTCTACTGAATTAGGATTTTGTTAAATTATAATTGGTATTATACATCAGAGGAGAATCTGATCTCTCTTATGTAAAAGTGTTATATGAGCTCATCTTTGTTCAATTTATGGAAAGATCTCAATCTCATTTTACTATAAGAGACAATGATACAAGAAGCAGAAAAAAAAAAAAAAAAAAAAAAACCACTTACACTTTTTATGTCTGTCTTTAGTGAATTTTATAAACTCAATTTACATAAATAATTAAATTATGTTTTAGTAGCTTTAATTAGATGCTATTTAATTTATTGCTTTTGAAGAATCACAATGATTTAGGCTTTTTTGGATAACCATTTAATGTTAACACTAGTTTTTAAAATTTAAAAATATGTAATTTTAGCTAAAATTAGTAAGCATAAAAATACTAAAACTTTTCTTTACTGTATGTCTATTTATATATGTGTATACACATATATATCATTTGAATAATTCAATACTATTAAAGATGTGCAATTTTTATATCATTGAAATATTTCTAATCCGTATGGATCAGTATATGCAATTAATGAATATTTTTAAAATTTGATTCTTTTATAAACCGAATTTATCATTTTCTTCATGAAAAAAACATATATCACGTGTAATTTTAGAGGAGCACAAGCACAAAATTAATGTGCAAGAAAATGAAATTTTAGCCGTGTCCAACTCTAAAACATCAACCACACAACACATGCACCTTTTCACTAACAAGAACATGTCTTTCACTTTCCCGCATAGATAATAATGGTTAGTGTTACGTTTCATATTTTCCCCAAAACTGAGAAAAGTTAGATATTTTGTTTGAAAAGCAAGAAGATAAGGGCCTTTCAGTGAAAAATAAGGCAAGAAGAGTAGAAGAAGAAAAGAATTTGAGTGTGAAGAAAACAGAAATTAGTTGGAGCAAAGAGGCAACAAAATTCGACTGTTCCTGCTAAAGGGAAAGTAGGTTATGCAAATTGCAGGATCGCTTGTGCTTCTTGTATCATTGTCTTCTATAGTAATGAGATTGAGATCTTTCCAAATTTCAAAGATGAGCTCATATACACTTAATTACAATGGTAGAATCAGATTCTACTCTGATGTATAATATCCAAATTATATTTAACAAAATCCTAATTCAGTAGAGAGACAGGCAACTTTTTTGACCATCCAATCCATATTCCATTTAAAGATCAAACTCTGATAAACGCAAAATTCCTTTTTTAGATTAACAAATATTATAAAACATTACTCTCTTGAATATTAATATAACAACCGATAATATTATAACGGTTATTAAAATAGTTATTTTTACTGAATAAATTTTAAGTTCCTTTAATTTTTAAAAAGTCTTAATTCTTTAACCGCACAACATAACAAAAAGATTTAGATGAAAATCACGTAAGTAAAATAAACCAATAAATAAAACAGGTTCTCAACTTCATCGTGAAGTAAATAATTTTTAATTTAACACAGACAACTTTTTTTTTTTTTAAGATACAAAGGCGAGGAATACTCAAAAGGACCAAACACAAACTAAAGTCTGATAACCCGTGGCCATGCCATGCCTTGCAAATCATCCCACAGAAGAGACTGCAACTAAAAGGGAGAATCACATGCTGGGACCTGCTGTAATTGCCATATTGGCTAGGAAGTCAGCTACCTTGTTACTGTCACACCCCAAAAATAGAGATGTGACAGAGGTGGTATCGGAGCAAAGGACTACAGTATCGAGTAAGTTATCAGTTTATAAGCAAGAGTGTATAGGAAAACTATTGTCTTGCTGTGTTTGTCTTCATTAATGTTTAGATTCGTGTTAAGTTATGTGATGATTGAAGAATTTCTTTTAAATGTATAGGTCTAGCAAGGTTTGCAGTAATACCCTACATATTATGGAGAATTCAATTCTTAAATGTTAAGCAAATTAGGTAAATAAGAGATAAGGAAATGATATGTACAATATAAGTGATTAATAAAATCTCCATGTTTAGAATTAAATTGTGTTTTACATTTTGGGATATGTGATTGATGAAAGTTTATGTATTATAGACAAGTGAATTTACAAGATATTACCTGGAGATAGATGATTGTGAGAAGGATACAATCTGTATAATAAGTGTGTGATAAAAAAAAAATAATAAAAAAAAAATTCTGTTCTATGGTTAAGTTGAGACTTTGTAGAGTATTATTTTGAGATAGGTGATTGTGATAAAAATATCAAATACTTGATTTATTTGGAGTATTATGTTAAGTTAATTGATCTTATGATAGACCATATATTAGACCAGTGAAGCATTAAGACCAGTTAATTGCTATCCATGCAGTTTTTAAGATTAGCTGCACAGAAAATGTGCAGAAACTGCTATATCCTGGAAATCAGAAATTATAATGAAGATATGCAGTATTTTGTATTTTGTTTTCTGATTTATTGATTTTATGCAATTCTTGGACATGCAAAACAATTACTTTATTTTTGCTGATCTTAAATTCCATCTGCACAGTCTCAGAGATGGTTTATTATTTGTTTGATAGAAGTGTATGTACCTACAATGGCAGCAAACAATCCAGCTATCAGGATTCCAACAATTATCACCAGCTCGAACCCGAAACTTCGAGCAGCTGTGTTGATCCTCAGGTAGCAGAGGCATGGGAACAACATTGAGACAGTGACACTCAAAAAAGAACCAATAAAAGCCATCACATACCCAAAAAATGGAATTGTTAATGCCACAACTAATGTGCTTATCATAATTGCTGTCCTGACGAGGATACTGAGAAATCTGCTGTTGCCTAGACGAAATGTGTCTTCCATGGCTTTAGCAATTGGAGTAATTATAACTGCATACTTGGTCAAAGGATTTACCAGAGTTGTATAAATTGCTATTTTTGCACTGATTTTTCTGATGGGAAGGTTTAAAGTCACTTGAGACTTCAAATGCTCACCATACATAAGGTACCCAAGAATTGCCATTGATCCATAAGTTATAGTGCTAGAAACAAAGCAGACAAGTAAAACCTGCAATTAGAGAAGAGAGAAAGAGTCAAATAGATTAGAATTTTTTTTTCCTTTTTTCATAAAAACGCTCCACCTAGAAGTTACTTCTACCATTAAGATGCATTTGCTTTGAGAGACAATGATAGACAAGACAGCACAAGACAAATACTTCCTTCACTTGTTTTTCTGTTTGGGATATGTGAAAAAGAAATTAATGATATAAAATAATTTGAAATTAAAGATTGAATAAGTAAAATATAAAATAGAATAAATGAAAATACATGATAGTAGTAATGAATAATTACAAAACAATATGAAGTAATAAAATTTTAGAACAAAAAAATTTCTTTCAAATTGTAAAAATTTATTTTACTTTGTTATTAGATATGAATTTCTTACAAGTTATGCGTAGTTGGGCGAGAGGAATGTTATGAAATTTATCTATAAGTTCAGAAGGTCTAAGTATGGAGAAATATATGGATATCAAAATATAAATTATTAATAAGACGTACCTACACTCAGTGTATATGTGTGGTCTTATACACTAAGACAATAAAAAAATATATTTTTTTTAAATATTACTACTGTATTTTTTTCTCAGTATATGATCAGAAATGTCATCGTTTAAACTAAAATATTGCTTGTAATTGATTTGATGTATACATAAATTCATACACCCGATATAGGTAAGTCTTTTCCTAAATTATTACTCTTGAAAGTGAACAAGTTGTGGTATGAGAGGTGAAAGTATAGAAAAGAAGGATTAAACAATTAAAAAAAAAAAAAAATCAAATACATCATAAGTGTAGAATGTAAACTCCAGACTTCTTATAAATAATATATAAAAATTGAGATGAACTCTTATTGAAATTATTAAATAAAAATAATGATAAATTGATTAATTATAGGGACAGGAGTTCTTAAACCAATTCCTACCTTGGAAAATTGGCTTCTATCTTTCATAGAATTGCACAATGTCGGAAAAACTGCATGTCCACAGTAACAAAAGGCAAACAAACTTATAGCAGTAGGCAATCCATCCCAATTCCAGAGCAACTCTCCTTCATGAAAGCCAACACCATCAATTGCACCAGCCCACGACACACAACCAACCAAAACGACAGAAGCCAAAACCCCACCTGCAGAAACAACCAAAAACGACAGAAGCCAAAAACCCCACCTGCAGAAACAAATAAGCTAACATCGCCTAAAACTCCTTAACCATGTCGTTGGCAATATACAAGGGAAGTGAGTAGACAAATCCCTGTTGCCTCCAATTTTTTAATCCACCAACTCTAAACCCATATTTGAAATTAACTTGTTTAAGTTATCACCTTCTAGTGATCAAAACTCTACTGCCCACCAAATAAGTATATAGTTCAAGATACATAAAAATGGATACGATAGCTCTTCCTTTATACCCAAAAGCTCTGTCTCCTATGTCTGGGTATGTTTTGATCGTTGTATCCGTATCCATACATCGTCTTAAGAGTAATCCAGTGTATAAGCTCAGAATTGCTACCAGAAATAGAAATGTTAAGCTTATCCATCCTCCTTGAGAAAGTGCATACGGAATTGATAGTATCCCAACACCTGCAAGGGCAATGTTAAATTTAAATTATTTCTCAAAATCCTAACAACAAGTAGATGAAACATACATTACATAAATATATTATATAACAATGTTTAAATAAAATAGAGAAAGAGAGAGCAGAGACCAGCTAAAGTATTAATTCCATTAAAGCAAGTCCTAAGAAAGGTGGTGCCTTTGACAGGTTCCTGTGGTTGTGGAAGCTGGTTTTGGCTCTCCATTTTCTTTGCTTAGTTATGTGTATTAGGCAGACCAACTTGGTTGCCCGCTGCTTTGAATGTTAGGTATTTATTGTTGAAGCGAATCATATAATGGGAAAGACTTACCTACATCCGGTGTATGGATCCATCTATATACTAAATTAATTACAAATAGTATTTTAATTCAAATGAAAATATTTTTGACCATATATTGTAAAAAATAAATAAATAAAATAATAATATTTTTTTAAAAAACTTTTTTGACTTTTTTAACTTAGGTTTAGAAGTAGCCGGTGAAGATGATTAGATAAGCATTTCAATTGTTTTTAACTTAGGTTTAGAAGTAGCCGGTGAAGATGATTAGATAAGCATTTCAATTGCTTGGCACATAGCATTTTGTGACAAGTTGTTACCTACCTATCTCCCAAAAGTCACCCTCTCCCACTCATCACATGCATATACAGTCAATTGTGCCTTCCCATTCAGGTTTCTTCCCACACGGCATACATATGCTTTCTGCCTCCACTCATTCATTTTTTCTTGCATAAGCATAACCTCTTATTATAAGCATGATTTAATTGTTCTAATTATAACATAAAATTTGAAATCCAAATATACACACACACACACGCTCCTAGACAATAATGAATTAATGATTGGCTGAATTATAAAGTTCTATTCTGAGAATGAATATTTTTTATGAACCAGACTCATTTTTAAGAATTGAATTTAACTCTACGATGAAACATTAAGAAAATAATATTTCTTAATGTATCAAGTTAATATAGGTGACTGAATAATATTGGGGTTATGCCAATCAAAATTAAATTAACAAATAATAACACTCATAAATAATAATAATAACACTCATTTTTCCTTAGAATACAATGTGGATATAAAAGAGGGGGCTGCAAATTTGCGGTGGGGATATTAAAAGCTGAACCTTGCAATGCAAAAACATAAATTTTCATTTTTTTTTTTCACCTCTCTGGTTGATGTGGTACCATTGAAAGGATTACACTACAGTACTTAGACCTATCTGCAATCATGCAGGTAATGCCTCATATCATTATCAAGTCCATTATTAGTGAAAAAGAAAATGATATAAATAAATAAATCATTATCAAGTCCATTAGATTAGCGCTGAAAAGAAAATGAATAAATAACATAAATAAATGAGTCCCACTAAAAAATAAAAAAAGGAATCATACTACATAGATAGAGAGCGACAAAAAAAGAACCACTTACACTTTTTTATGCAGTCCATTTAGCTGCAATTTTAATAAACTCATTTACATAAATTAATTAAATTATGTTTTAAGTATGTCTTTAATATATAGAACTGTAATTTAATTTATTGCTTTGAAGAATCACAATGATTTAGGGCTTTGTTGGATAACCATTTAATGTTGAGGACTAGTTTTTAAATATTTTAAAGAGTGTAAGTTGTCATTTATACTTGCACATAAAGTAATCTAAACCCGTGTTTTGTATTTTAAATTTAGCAGGGTTTACAATTCATATATATTCGCACCACTCTCGTTCTTCGAGGCAACACGAGGTCACATATTCGAGAGAGAACTAATTGCGAGGTTATCACTCCTTTAACATTTGAAAAAATGATCTCAATATACAACATGCTATTACAATACACTTAATATTAAAACAGTTATTTTTACTGAATAAGGTATTAGTTTCCTTATCAGATTTTTTTTTTCACCTCTCTGGTTGATGTGGTACCATTGAAAGGATTACACTACAGTACTTAGACCTATCTGCAATCATGCAGGTAATGCCTCATATCATTATCAAGTCCATTATTAGTGAAAAAGAAAATGATATAAATAAATAAATAAAGATTCCACTAAAAATAAAAAAGGAATCATATAATAGATAGAGAGCGCACAAAAAAAAACCACTTACACTTTTTATGTCAGTCTTTAGTGCATTTTATAAACTCAATTTACATAAATAATTAAATTATGTTTTAGTAGCTTTAATTAGATGTAATTTAATTTATTGCTTTTGAAGAATCACAATGATTTAGGCTTTGTTGGATAACCATTTAATGTTAACACTAGTTTTTAAAATTTAAAAAATATGTAATTTTTTTTATACTTGCACGAGGTATTCAAACCCGTGTTTGTTTAACGGTTCACAATTCACATTAATCTCCACTCGTTCTTCGAGGCAAAGAGGCTGATTCGAGAGGAATATGCGAGTATCACTCCATTTAACATTTGATAAATGTTAATATAACATCTATTAAAATAATTAATATTAAAACAGTTATTTTTACTGAATAAGGTATTAGTTCCTTAATCAGACAACATATCGAAAAAATTTAGGTGAAACTAACATAATAAAATAAACAAATAACAAATAAATAAATTTTAATTTAACCAAAGCAACTTTAATTGAAAAGAAAAAGTAAGTTTCATGTATATCAAGAGTTGATTCTTTTTGATTGTGAAATAAATAATTCTTAATTTAATATTTTTGAATGTACTAAATCAATATGTGAATGACGTGGGAAAGCTAGCTAAAAAATAAATTGTTCCAAAAAGATAAATTCATTCTTGATATACTAAAATGGACTTGAGAATACTCATGTCCATTTAAATAAAAATTGTAGTAATTTAAAATTAAATATAAATAAATTTAAACTCTAATGAATCGAAATGGTGTGAAATTTGGTAATAAAAATTTTGTAGATGAGCACTGCAATGTGACAGAAATACAACTACGTGCCTTCCCTTTCAGTCAAAAGATGAATCTACTTTAAATAAATAATTAAAAGAATGACAACAACATATCCATTTTAAAGCAGATTGCTGCTTTATTCACATAATTCCTCTGAATATCTATGTGAATATTGATAAGATAGGATACGATAGGATCTTACCATTAAGCCAAAGAAGAAAAAATAAAGACTTACTCCTCTTCTGCTAACCTAGCTATATCATCACAAAAAGAAAGAAAATGAAACCTAACACATGACTTTCTTTTCTTGATTTGGAATAAATAAAAAATTGAAATGATACTTGTTTTTCTTTTTTTGTTCTTAGTTCTAAAAAGAATTTTTTTTTTCTTTTTATAAAAGAAGGAAGAAAAGCAAATAACTACAAGCATTATATTTTTTAATACGAGACTCCATTGACATTGTAGAATGATTGAGAATTAATTAATTTTGTAGTTCCAACAATTGGTATGATTTCAAAAATTGTAATTATGCTGTTTTAAAAAATCAAAATCAATGTTCTTTTAAACAAATAATTTTTCCAACCCTGTTTATGAATGTAAGTCATTTAAAATATGTTGAATTATCATCATAATTACTTGTTTTTATCAAAAAGAGTTGCCACCTTTTCTACAACATTATCAATGAAGTCCTTGAAATAAAAGCAGCTCATGAAATGATTCTATTTCTTCTATATGTTTTCCAACAACTTATAGTGGAAATTTCTAGCATGCTGTACAAGTCAACTCTCCGACAATCAAACGATTTGCCATTTGTGCTTGGTTTGGTTCCCACTCATTGTGGCTTAGCCTTTCTCCACAAAAAAGAAAGGCTTTTGTAGTGTTCTGGATAATTTCTAGCATCACCTGGTTTATATATGGTTTGAAATATATATACAATGAAATTTAGGTAATCACAATTGAAAATTGAATGGAATTAATTTAATTTTGATATTTTGGTTTAATTTTTTTATGAAATTCAAATCAAGTAAATGCTAACCTCTAGTTGGAGCATGATAATATGTGAATGTCGGGTAATAGAGTATATAATTGAGATACGACAGATGAAATTAATCCGAATTTAATCACTTGTAGCAAGTAAAGTGAAAATGATAACATGTGGCTGATGATAAATCAACACATTTGCATCAGCAAGCAACAACGACATATATATATAAATGATCTCCTAATGGACAAAACTTATACCATTTATTATGTTCAGCATTTTTTTGTGCGAGCTCAGTGCCATTCTGGTCAAGTTTCCATTAGGAAGCGTACACTTATTGACTTAATTAGTTACGTAATTAAGAAGTTGTAACTTTTCTTATTAAGTAAACTCCAATTATTTGTTCTCAAAAAGAAAAAGTAAAAAAAAAAAAAAACCTCCAGTTATTTAGGACTTGAACTCACCATTTCGCAGTTTCAAGAGGGTGACAATAGCTTTCTTGGCCATCGTCATTTTTGATCCTCTGGAATGAGCAGTCAACCTGTTCTATTTTTTCTTTTCAAGAAAACTGATAGTAATATTTCCTTTTTTACTGTACCTCTGATATGGTTTCATAGACAGACTTGTACCTTAAATTTGAAGGGTCATCCCCTGTAATCTCATTCAGAAATGAACTTCAAATTCTTTAAATCTTGGCCCCATGCACAGAAAAGAAAGAAAGAGTTTCTTAAGAACGTTTCTGCCTTCTGAAATACATAATAAAACAGTTACAACATGGCGTGAAATCAAGAATTGTAATTGAATTTCCATTGATAATTGAAAGGAAGGTTCCTGCAGGGAGAGGAAGATCCAAGCTTTATCATTCGGATTGTCAGAGTAGCTAGGGTGAGGCCCATAGCCCATTTAATTAGCGAGCTATCTGAATTATGTAGCCTTGCAGTTGGCCCATTAGCCCATCATTCAAGAGTTTCAATTAGTTTTCTAACACTACGGGTGCACGCCTATGCTGTCTCTCTCCCTCTTACAATTCATTTATGCATTAATTTTGAGGGAAAAACTTAGGGTTGATTATCTCACTTATGAACTAAATCAACGAAGTTAAGGTTTCTTACTGAAATGATAATAATTTTTTTAGCCATACACTTGGAAAATAAAAAATAAAATTGGAATATTTTTAAAAAAAATTTTAATTTCGTTGATTTGATCTATAAATGAAATCATGTATTCAGAACATGCAAGTTATTTACTAATTTTGATTGATTGCGAGAACTTTGGTCTTAATTTTCAAAATCTCAAAGTTTACAAATAAACTCACAACAAGTTAAAATCAGGTTTAACAAGGATAAAAAGTTAAAAACATAATAAGACCATTCCTAAATAATAGTAGTAATAGTAAAAAAAAACCCCATGAAAATGTGAAATTCATACGTTTGGCGGGTTTGAACCGGTGAAACATACGGTGGCAATCGAACCGGAAATGCTGATTGGCTTTCATTTGCGCGTAAGAAGCAAGGTACGTCTTCGTCCTTCTCATGTGCATTATACCTTGGCCACCTGAAGGGAACACGGAGAAAGACAGACTCTTTCGCAGAAACACAGAGCGAGAGGGCCAAAGCTAGCCCTCTCCCTCTTTCAATCATTTCTATTGTCAAAGGTAAAATTAAGAAAAGAAAAGTAAAAATTCAAAATAAAAAAATCAAGAACAAGAATCAATCATATGATTCTCTTTCCTCTCCAATCTCAATTCCTTGTATTTGATGCGACGATCGCATGCCCGGACTCGGGTCGATTCTGTACTCAATAGCCAAATGGATCCCATCAGGCTCCAGATCCGACCCAATCCCCGATCTTCCAATCTATTCTCTAAAACCAAACCCACCAAATTTAGCTTCTTGTCTATGCTCCTTGGCGCTTCTGTATTTACCTTAATTGCTATCTTATCTTGCTATTTTCTCTTTAGAGCTCGGGGCTCTCTTGCTTCGCGTAAAACCTATGGTATTGTCATCGATGGAGGCAGTACCGGTACGCGGATTCATGTGTTCGCCTACCGAATTGACGGCGGCAAACCGGTTTTTGATTTCGGAGATGGGGCAATGAGGGTCAATCCGGGATTATCGGCGTATGCGGAGGATCCGGCAGGGGCGGGCAGGTCATTGGAGGACCTGCTGGAGTTTGGGAAAGGGAGAGTGCCGAAAGAACTTTGGGGAGAGACAGAGATTCGGTTAATGGCAACTGCTGGGATGAGATTACTCGATTTGGAGGTTCAAGAGAGAATTTTGGAGTCGTGTAGAAAGGTCTTGAGAAGGTCAGGATTCAAATTCAAGGATGATTGGGCCTCAGTTATTACCGGTATGGTACCATTTATTCTGTCATTTTGTGCAATCTTGTCTGTGTAACAAGTTTAACATTGTAAAGTCCATCTCTTTAGGCTCTGATGAAGGCGTGTATGCTTGGGTTGTTGCCAATTATGCATTGGGTAGTCTTGGAGGTGATCCTCGCCAAACAACTGGGATTATTGAACTTGGTGGAGCTTCAGCTCAGGTTTTATTTCATTCTCTGAACTTTCATATTGATCGTTCATAAAATATGAGATTTGGTAGCATTGTCTTCTAGTTGGTTGCACAGTGCTGCTCTTCAAGAGCTAGTTGCCTACATGTCTGCGACTTCTATTAAAGTACCAATTTCTAAAATTGAAATGGGATTTTGAGCATGGCAGTCATCATTATAATTGTTCTGATATTATTGTTGACATAGACTTGCTTTCTTCTTAATAGAGTCGGAATCTTGTGGATTTTAGGGGTTGGGATACAGATGAAGATCACTGATTCTGCTCTTTTTGTAATCTACATGAAGTTTGTATCAGTTATCATGCTTTGAGAAAAGACATTTTATTTTGGAATCGTTGTCTTTGGAAACTTATGTCATGAAACATTAGACTGCTATTTTGAATTTCTAGTGAAACTTGCGTTTTTTTTCTTCAATCTTTTCAGGTAACTTTTGTTTCAGATGAGCCAGTGCCTCCTGAGTTCTCACGCACTATTAAGTTTGGAAATGTTACTTATAGCATCTATAGCCACAGCTTCCTTCATTTTGGCCAGGTGATCTCAATAAGCTTAATCTACATTGGTTGTTTTTACTTGCTTCCACCATGAAACTTTATTCCTGGGGCGGTTAGTTACTTATTTTGTTGGAACTACTTTAGTTTCACCCTACACTGAAAGTTTATAAACCACTCCGGCATGAATGTTATTGGACTTGGACCTTTTTGTTTGAGTAGTGTGACTGACTTCAGAATTAGCAAATTTGGATTTCAAAAGGGTTGGGGGAGTACTTAAAATTAGATTGCAGACTGCTGATTGAACTGTAGTTGTTGATTTCTCATGGAGCGTTATGATTTCTTTTTGCAGAATGCAGCATTTGAAGCATTTAGGGAATCACTTATGTCGGTAGACCATGAATCAGGTAGATATGCTTGTTTTTGCCTTGTGAAATGGATGTCAGATTTCTTAAAACAATTATTGAATTTTGTCTCTTATGCCTTAAAATGCCAGCCCATGCTGAGGGTTTTTAGCTATTGTAATGAATCTTCCAACAAATAATCTGATGATAGAGATGCGCTTTAGAACAGTGAGAATTCTGAATGCTACGCATGAAGTTTAGCTGATACAAATAATGCTTTATGTCTTTGGATATGATGACTAGTTGTCATTATAATTACCCATAATAACAACACAAGATGGTGTTGCTAAAATCTGATCTGTGTCCCATGCTTGAGTTATTGTTCTTTTCAGCTAGATGTGGATCTCATGCATTTTCAATTTTTGCTCTTGAAGAAAAATAAAAGATGTCCGAAGAAAAATATTCAACTTATGCTGTAGAGTGTTTATCAAAGATTTTACCCTTGATTTGATTGATTTAATATTGCAGCTTCTGAATCACCTGAGAAAGGAATAGTTATAGATCCCTGTACTCCTAAAGGATACTTGCATGATATCGAATCTTGGAAGAGCTCTCCAAGTTCAACGAAAAAGGACAAATTTTTGTCCAGTGTTCACTCAAGGGGTAACTTCTCTGAGTGCAGATCTGCTGCATTAATGCTTTTACAAAAGGGAAAAGGTTGCAAATTCTTTAGAAAGATTCTCATGATATTTTCTGTCATTCGGTTTTTATTCATTATTTTGACATAATAATGATCATTGCTTTATTATCTGAGATGCAGAGACATGCTCGTATCACCACTGCTCCATAGGATCAACATTCATACCTAAGCTTCAGGGGAAGTTCCTGGCCACTGAGAATTTCTTCTATACATCAAAGGTCTCATAAATCTCTCTCATTTAATAGGTTTCAATTTACTGTCTCATAGTTCTGTAAAGAGTATTGTCTAATTTCGGTTATTTTGGGGAAAAAAATCTGTTGAGAGTCTACTTGTTATTGTAACCACATCAACTGTGCTTAATGCACTGATCGCATGCTTCTGAGTCCTTCTGTTTCCTTTTTTTGCTGTTCCCTTGGATTGATTAGTTCTTTGGGTTGGGTCCAAAAGCATTTCTTTCTGATCTGATTATGGCTGGAGAACACTTTTGTGGAGAGGATTGGTCAAGGTTGAAAAAGAAGCACCAATCATTAGATGATGATGATTTAATGCGCTATTGCTTCTCCTCAGCATATATTGTGGCTCTACTTCATGATAGTCTTGGAATTGCATTGGATGATGGAAGGTACTTTCTACCTTACTAGTTGGGAATATTTTCCTTCAATGCAGGTTCTTTCTCCTCTTGAATTTCCAAATATCAAATTAATCCTACATTATTCATACCTTTTATGTTTCCATATAAAATTACTTATGCATTGTGTTGTTTGTATTTAAACAGGATTGGATATGTCAATAATGTTGGAAACCTCCCACTTGATTGGGCATTGGGAACTTTTATCTTGCAGAATACTGCTGCATCGAATGTGCAGCACCCAGATTGGATTACCAATATAATTGGTGACGACTCCCCCACAATGATCTCGCTAATTGCCATTGCTACATTATTGATGTTTATTGCATGGTCTATATCAAAATGGAGGAAGCCCCAGTTAAAGACAATTTATGATCTAGAGAAAGGGCGGTATATAGTTACTCGTGTTGGAAGAAGTTAATAAGCCAATTTAAATGAGGTGGTTACTTATTTCCTGGCATTGCAAATCAGGAAGAAACTCCTTTGTGATCAGAATAAGCATTTAATATGTTTATGCCTCCTCAGATTATTTCCAAATACCAAATTTGCCTCCTAGGCAACACTTTCTCATATGAACGATGACGCCGTGCCATGCTGCTGAGTTTGTGCCATGCTGGGTTTCAGAGAATTTAGTGTAAGTAGTGAAAGACATAGGGTAGAAGATTAGTGCCCATTTTGTATATAGCGGGAGCTCAAAATCTCAATTTCAACATATCAAATGCTTCCTCGTTATAGGAACTGCTACTTTAGTAATAGTTAATTGTTGTATGAAAGGATTTATTTATTGTTTCACCACCACGATTTTTCAAAATTACTGATATTTCCAGGTTAACTTTGTGCATCTTTAGTTTCTATTTTTTCTTCATTTGGCTCAGTAAAACCACGTTTTTACCTCTTTTTTTTCTGTTTCTTTGTTAGCTTTACTGCAAGTATTGTTTCTAACTTTTCTGTTTCTTTGCATTCATTAACTATACATGGATATAGGTTTGAATATTCTGAAAAATAGTTTAGTTTTCCATTAATGGGACAAAACACATCTATCTTTCTGCAGCCCGAGAAAGATATCAACTCTTAGGTTTCTCATCCGCTGACTGATGATCCATTTGGAATGAACCTTGACGGTAATAAAATTATCTAGTCAACTGAATATGAATTAATCACTAAATATGCATTAAATTAACTAAATAAATAAATTGATTATACTTATGTACTTAATTAAATAATATTATTATAATTGTATTACTGGAGCATTATTTGTTAATGCCATGGCAATGAATTTAACAAAATACTACACTGACTATTTCACCTTTTGTTTAATTATAATTTATAACAGAATTGGGAGTTGGAACCTTATTGAAATCTTATTTTGTTTATATAAATGATGACCAAACATCTGAATATCGGTAGTTTTAATATACATCCGATGACTGATGATCCATTGGAATGACCTTGAACGTTAATCAAAAATTATCTAGTCAATCTGAATATGAATTCAATCACTAAATAAGGACCATTAAATTAACTAAATAAATGTAAATTGACTTCACACTAGGTGACTTTAATTGACATATAATATTATTATCATTAGTATTACTGGAGCATTATTTTTTATGCCATGGCAAATGAATTTACAAAATACTAACACTGACTAATTTCCACCTTTGTTTTAATATAATTTTATAAAACAGAATTGGGAGTTGGCACGCTATTTGAAATCTAATTTTGTTTATATAAATGATGACCAACATCCTGAAATATCGGGTAGTTTAATATATATAATATATATATATATATATATATATATAGGTATATATATATTATATATGTATGAGTCTTCACACTTATCAGCCATGTGTCGCGATATATATATATCTCACTTATCAGCCATTGTGGAAGACACCAATTTTTTAACCAATTTTTTCTTAAGAATTCACCATGATATATCTGATATCTGATCCCCGTGTCTTTTTTCCTGTATAAAATACCATTTTTTCATATAAACTTATATTTTAAACGTGGTTTTCCGCATTATTTCTGCGTTTACACGTTTTTTCATTTTCGTCTCCGACGCAAGATAGTTTCTTGGTTTACTGTTGGACTAAACAGGTCTATCCCTCGTGTAAATTCTTGCAAGGATTAAAGTTGGCTATTCACTAAGCTAATTGAAGTTGAACCACAGGCTCTTTACGTTGAAATGCAAAAGAATATCACTATAATCTAGAAGAGAAAACATATTAAAAAGGCAAATAGATCCGATTTTCTTTTTGAAAGAAAGTGAGAAAAGCAAAAAAAAAAAAAAAAAACCTCTGTAAAAAAAAAAAGAAAACCTCTGTATTCCTCTTCCTGCGAGCCCAAACCATCTTCTGTCCGCAGCCTTTCTCGACAGGCTCTGATAAAAAAAAAAAAAAAAAACCTCTGTATTCCTCTTCCTGGAGCCCAAACCATCTCTGTCCCGCAGCTTTCTCGACAGCTGATTATGGTCTCAATTAATTTGCAGAGCAGAGATGATTGTGGCTTAATGAATATAACAAGTGTAATCTAGTGCGTTACTATACACATCTGTCTATAACAAAAGAACGTTAAAAACAAAATGGAAAACGAAAAAATCAATCATCTGCTTCAAATTGCAAATACAAATCACCATGCGCCTCCTACTTTCTCTCTGTTGCTAGAAGCTACTCCTTTCTTGAATGCATTAGCTAAGACCTGTTATGAATAGGATTGGATCCTTTTCTTACCCTTCTTTTGCTTGATCGATATGGATCAAATGCCTTGTTTTGATTAGAATCTGTGCTGAGAATACGTTGAGTGGACGATGGAACTGTCCCTGGAGTGATTTTGCTGCGTCTGATGGCCAGCTCTGTGCTTGTTAAGCCATGAACTTTAATATTTTGTTCAACTGCTAAGAACCCAACACAGATAACAAGAATAAGAACTCTATGAACACTAGAAACCATCCTTTCTACTCTCAAACAAGCAACAAGAGCACTTGTTTTTTGTGCAGAGTTATAATGAGATTGTGATGTTTCTTCTGTTCTTATGTTCCATATATTCCTGTAGATATATTGGTGTTATCTATCGAGTATCGGATTTGGAGTTGGGCTTTAAAGCAAAAAGCAGAGAGGGACCCAAAACACCTAGAGAATTTTAGATTCACCCAAATTATATATAGCATATTAATAAGGCTGTTGTGGATGAATAAAGGGGCAGGAAGGAACAAAACAATACCCTTGAGAAGCCAAGTATCTTTTCTTCTGCTTTTATCTTTTAGAACAACAGAAATAATTCCCAAGACTAGATTTTTATGAACTAATAACTAACAGGATTTGTTGGCAGTTAGTATGAAGATCCTGAGATGGGGGTGTTTCAGGAAATTAGCATTCCTTTGGTACTAAGAAAAGAAATAAACCATTACTTTAAGCCATTCTAAGTTGGAAGATCTCTTCCCACTTTAGAATTCCAAGCTCTCTTCTCTATACAACAAAAATAGAACACTTGTTGGCTTCTGGTGCTTTATGCTTTTCTTTGGGGCTGCCAAATTCTTAATTCCCCATTCAATGATTCAGTTCAAATATTTATGAAAACCATCTTTTCCTTTATTTCTCTTTTTCTTTACTGTTGCTGTTGCTGCTGCTCCTGTTCTTGTTTTATAAATCACATGCAACTTGGAACATTCTAAAGCATATTGTTCCTTTCCACTTTTTTTAAAATTTGCTTATCAATTTTTATTGTAGCTTGAGATATTACTACTAGCTATGGTCCAAGCAATACATCCACAACTTGAATGTGTTGTTTATGTATTTATTCTCTTCTTTTTATCCTCCAATTAAAGTAAAAGAGCTAAATGAGTTGTTGCTTTCTATTTTATTTTATTTATGTTCTATAAGATTTACAAATAAATCAAGAATAACTACAACATGTATACATTTTTAGATTCGCTTTCCTTTTCATTCAAATAGTACGCATTTGAATTAATCTCATGATTTTATAAAACATGATTTATGAATTATTTTTTATTACATATATATATATATATATATATATATTACTTCGGATATCAATTTTCTTCGAAACCTTTAAATATAACATGTTTCGCGTAATTAACTCACTCAGCAGGTTTGATAATATCCGTATAAAATTGGTCTTCTTGTCACAATAACTAGCCTCCATGTTAAAATGAAGCTGACTGCCAAGCACGACAGAAGAATTGACAAGCGGGGCCCTATGCTGGCTAGTGGTACGGGTATGTACCATGTTAAATGCTTATATATACATTTTATCTTGTTTTAAAGTTGAGTTGCCATTAGAATTTAGAATCTCAATTATTCCTTTTGCCACTAATTCCTTTTTCTGATAAGTTTGCATCTTTGCGTTTGATAAATTACTATTCAGTATTACCATTACCTATTCAAACTCGGATTTATCATTTATTTGAAAATTTATTTTAAAGCATCTTTAATCTGAATAAAAGAAATTATTAATCTCGTTCGGATTTATGATTGTCCCTTTCCATAAGAGTTTTTTTACGGATACAACTCCTACCTTAACTTTTTATGATCTGTTACTTGTTTTTTTAGATCAAAACACTAAACATCCATATATGGCTTTATAGATTCTCGAGGTTGGTCTTAAAGTGGTGACTTTTCTTCAGTAGTTTGATTTAAAATTGGAAGTGTCTCATTGCAATCTCTCCATCTATTCTATCTTGACTATCCCACCATAGAAAAGAGGCAAAGAAGAACGCCAAAGCAAAAATTAAAGACTAAAGTATAACTGAGTTTGTAATTGTTACAGATCATATACCTTTTCTTTGTTCTTCTTCTTCTTCTTCTTCTTCTTCTCTTGAACTTTGCTTCAATTTCTTCAGCTTCTCTACTTTCTTTGTAAGGATAGAAAATTGGATGATGGGAGCCTGTGAATTCTTGGAAGTAGAGGGTATCCACGACTCGATTTGGATGGGATACGAGTCATATGCTAAAACTTAGATGTTTCAGCTTAAAAAATTATAAAATGAAAAACAAACCAATGAGAAATATAATTTACGAGTAGGACACTTCTCAATTACAGATTTTGAGCTCTAATGCGGTAATACCATATAACTTTTAACCTAAAAATGATCAAAACTACTGTTTCTCCACATTATTTACAATTTATATATATATAGTAGAGGGGCGTTATTCCACGGACTCGATTTTGGATGCCGATACGAGTCATATTTGCTCACAAACTTTAGATGTCTTCGAGCCTCTTAAAAATTATAAAAAATGAAAAACGAGAAATTGTCAATGAGAAATATAATGGTTACGAGTTAGGTTACCCAACCTTCTCCCTTACAGATTTTGAAGCTCTAATGCGGTAAGATTTTACCCATATACTTTTCTTAACCCATAAAAATGACATCTCCAAAACTACTTGTTTCTCCACTTATTTACAATTTGTATATATAGTATTATTATTATATATATATATATATATATTATTATATTATATATATTACTAATTGAATTCGATTTGATTGATTATATCATGGATTTATGCTAAAAAGTGAAGATATCCGAATCTTCTCTCAATATAAGAGTTTTTTACCGTTTTAGCTAAAGTAAAAAAAAATAATACTTTATATGTTTGTAGTAGCTCTTGAGCGCACGTGAAGCTCCCTTGTGGGCGGCTAAAGGGACCGTGATCCTCCTAAAAAAAAATCGTTTTTTTAAAAAAAATTTTTATATATTAAAATTAATCATATTGAAAATGAAATAATTTTTGAAATAATATAAGAATATAGGGAGCACTCAAAATGTTGGATTCAACAAAATAATAAATTATAATACAATAATTTTTGATAGGCCGTTTTTAGAGTTTGGGTGGATTCTTAATTGTTATATATCCTATGATAAATAAATACTTCGATTTATTAAATTATTTAAATATATTACTAATTGAATCGATTTGATTGATTTTCTGGTTTATGTAAAAAGTGAGATATCCGAATCTTCTCTAATATAAGAGTTTTTACCGTTTTAGTAAAGTAAAAAAAAATAATACTTATATTGTATAGCTCTTAGCGACGGAGCTCCCTTGTGGCCTAAAGGGACCGTGATCCTCCTAAAAAAATGTTTTAAAAAAAATTTCTTATATAAAAATTAACAATGAAAATGAAAAATTTTTAATAATATAAATATAGGACACTCAAAAGTTGATTAACAAAATAATAAAAACAAATTTTGATAGAGTTTTTAGAGTTTGGGATCTTAATTTTTATATTATATAAATAAATATTCGATTATTAAATTATTTAAGTAATGATATATATAATTTTGAGACGGACACGAATGTATATATGTGTGGTATCAAATGAACATATACAATCCAATTGATTTAACCATTCATTTAACTTTTTTTTATAAACCAAAACTAATTCCAAGTAATTACATTTTCTACTTTGCGTTCGGATTGGATAGTAATTTGTACACCTCTTACCTATGGTTAAACACCAATTTTATAATAATAATAATAATCTTGCCAAAAGTTCCATTGATTAATAACTAAGCTTTATTTGATAACTAAATATGATTTTGGATTCCTACAATAATTTGAATATAAATGATTTAATTCTAATTTTACATATACAATTTGAGTATATAATTTAAAAGATGTAAAAGAAAAAAAGAAAAAAAAAATATAAGACTCGGGTATAAGATTTAAATGGAGTAAAGCAGAAACGGAAAAGGAAAATTGATTGGCCCATGCAGGTTTCGAACCTGCGACCTTCGCGTTATTAGCACGACGCTCTAACCAACTGAGCTAATAGGCCAATTGACAAAAGATTTCTTTTAAATTTATTTATATTATTTCCTTGGAATAATTAAGTTGAGTTTGAGTGGAGGTCTTCTTTGATTAGAAGCAAGTAGATTAAAGAATTGCAACTTTAGAGAAAGTGTAAAAAATTTTTTCATTTAGTTTGCATTATCAATTGTCACATTATCTTGACGAAACTGGACTTTATTCATTACCATGCTCTTATAAATAAATACAGTAGAGATTAGAAAAAAATGGAGTTGAGGTGAGGGTGAGTTACTTTATGAAGCAAAAGGTCCCAATTTTAACTGCAGTTAACATTGAATAAACAATTGTCAATCAGTGTTCTAAAACTACACTACGTTTTGGTAACCTCTTAGTATTTGACTCAATATATAAATTCACTCTGTAACTTTTCAAAATGGAAAAAAAAGATGTAACGCTTCATATAGTACAAAAGCATTAGTATAAATAAAAGCAGTATTTTGTATTGAAATAAAAACACTTCTGAATTCCAAAGAAAAATTTGAAACATTAGCATAGGTGTAGAGGAGAAAACAAAAAATTTAAACAAATTACACAAACACAACTGAAGACAAATGCCCATATTGAACAGCAAAGTTAGGTATCAACCAACTTCTCAAGCTCCCCATGAGGTGGCATCATATATACATATTAGGGAAGGGAAAACCAGACAAGCGTGCCAACTGAGAACACTAGGACCTTCTTTAATTGGTCATCACACACTAAATTTTTCCTTCTTTGGTTTAAACAAAAACATTATTGAAATGGGAACCCTCTTCTACTTATCTTTTCAATCAGTTTTTCTTTATTAAACAGGCTCTTGGTGTGCAGCTACATGAGGTCCGGACGCTATTGTGAACTGCAGACCCCTACGTTGTCCGGATTGAAGCACAAAAGCAACTTGTGTTGCTGCTAATGCTGCAGCCTCCTGAATCATCAAATTATGGTACTAAAAGTTTAGCATGAACCACAAAAGGTGGCCATAGGTGAAGGTAATAATATAATGGAATAAAAACTGAAGAATATACTAACTTGTCTTTGCCTTCGACGCTGCAAGATGCTGATGGCCCAAGCCATGATGTAACAGGGCAAAAGAAAACCAGCTGCTCGTAGCAAGAAAAGCTGCCAAGGACCAACCAGTTCATAAGAATGATGAATAATATGTCCATTCAAAAATAAACAAAGCATTTGAGCATGGGCATGGCAGAGTGCAATCGATTAGAGTGTTAAAATGTCTATTATAATTCAACTTACTGAGAAAAATGTAGACACGTCATCATCTCCATCAGCATCTGTAACAGTCAGTGCATGCCGCAAGAGGAGAAGAGCCATCAACTGGGGAAAAAAAGCAGAGTAAGCATTAAAATCAAATATAAGTTTTACGAAGGTCAATGGAGCATGAAACCTATATAATAAGAAATAGTGAGAGAAATCATAAATACAAATGGCATTTTATCCCAGGTGGCATGTCCAGGTGCCCCCCGTGAAGCCTCCCTCATATAACTTAAGTAGGTATTCCACCAAGGCTAGAATATAAAATTTTTATAGCATGGTGAAAAAGTAATTATCATGCAGAAGAAAAATAAGACCTTGAAGCTATGGGGCATATATAATGATTAAAATCAATATCTTTCTTCACTGCATCTAATGAGTATTCTATTTAATACTATCCTTCACATTTCTCATTCCATAAAATGGCATGCAGCAGAAATATTGCAAGTTTATAATTGTGTGTAATTTATCGGATAAAATTATAAATTAAAGGGCTCACAATGAGAGCAGCTGAACGGCAAAATGCAGCTCCACTAGCATTTGAAGCAGCATACTCATCATACTCAGCCTCCAGAAAATGGCGTTCTGCTTCTGCTATTGCCAATAGACGAGGATCACGCAGATCCAAAGGAGTGCCCGAGATGGTCCATCCTCCACTGAAAAAAAAAATGTGCAATAGCATGATGTGAAAATCATTATTTAAAAGTAGATGGCATAAAATGATATCTTTATAGCATATCCCAAAGATTCAACGAGCATTCTTGATGTGCATCAAATATCCAGAAGAAAAGCAAAATTGGCAAAAATTACAGAAAAATTTCAAGGACATAAGAGAGACTTTTGACCTACCCAATATCAATTGCAGTATCTTCAGTGCGAGGCGGACGAGGTGGAGCAGTATATCCAGGTTGGTAAGGCTATACGTCAAACCCAAAAAAAAAAGAATCAAGTCCAACAGATGTATCTATAAATTTATAAAATAGATCAGTTCAAACAATTTGTCAACAGTTCAAACAAGCAGCTAGTCCTAGTCCAATCTAAAAGATACATACAGAATTTAGATGATTACCACCACTTCTGAAGATTCTAAACAATATTCATGAGGATCAACGATAAATTAAGTTAGCAAAAATATGAGCACTTTTGGTGCAAGGACTTCAAGGATATTTTATGCAACTGGTCACAGTTCATTATTATGCATTACATAGAAGAACAAGATGATAGTTTGTACAAGTGAAAATATGCAACATCTGATCATTCTTATTAAACTAAATTAAATTCTAATCAAGCATGAAAGACTTAAACAATACTCAATAAACATACCTGATGGCAAATCTCACAAGAGATATCTCCTTTCTCATTACACCAATGCTGAACGCACTTCCTATGAGCATACTGGATAAAAGATAGAGCAGCCATTAGTAAATGTGGAAAACATATCAGCCAAAAGTAATAATAATAATAACAATAGTAGGAGTGTAAAACTCTATTTCATATGAACACCAATTCCTAGTTGAATCTACAAAAAATTGAACTGCTGACCAATCACTTTAGATTGGATCCCATTGAAGTTTAATCCAATGGCAAATTAACTAGAATCATTGCAAGATAGATTTCAATCGAAAGCGGGCATATAATAGATTGAATAATGTAATGGGCCATTCCAACATAAATTGCACAACGCCATGATGGTAACATACTTCTAATCATTGTGAAGACTGCAATTACAGGGCAAGATACAGGCATTAGCATCATTAGGAAATAAGGATACAATTATCTGGTTTGAATTATATCCAAATAACACAAAATAAGAGCAAATATGTAAATCAATTCTCCGACGGAACAACACTCCTAAACATCGAACAAAAAATTAATGCTTTAGCTCAATAAATGGATATACTAACATTAACCAATAACCAAGATTCATCATTCAATATTGTAACATGCAGTCACCAGCACCAAACTTACATTGACAAATAAAAATTCAAAATTTAAATTTAAAACATAAAAAATAAAATGAAATAATTAATTAAGTTTGACCTTGAGACTGCCGCTACAGGCACAGGGAGTCTCCATGTTGTTAACAGAATCCTCTTCCTGGCAAATGCGACACTCCGCCACCTGAATCAACGGCTTATCCTCGTCGTTGTCCTCCTCGTTCCTCTCCTTCCCCAAACCAGCACTATCAGTTTCCTCATCAGGCCGAGAACAGGAAGGCCCAGCAGCAGCCTCCACAGGTTTGTGATCAGCCTCCGCCTCCACCGGCGGCCTGATCAACCGATCCACGTACAGCACCACGTGATCACTCATTTTCAAAATTGAATTGCTCCTCTACGAATCCCCTCGAAAGAACTCAACAAAAGAAAATCCTAATTGAAAATATGGATCAATCCCAGAAAAAGGTGAAACATTTAAGACGAATTAGAGTCTTAGAAACCTAAGATCACGCTATTCAAACAGCGGATCGCAGGTTTCTTAGAAATTTCAAAGAAAGAGATTGAGAGAGAAAGAGAGAGAGTGAAAAAAGGAAAATATAGATATTTCTTTTCTTACCCGATAAATTTTTGTATTTAAGCGAAATGGGTATGCTTTTGTTTTTTATTAGAGAGAGAAAATTCCGCGTTTTCTAAGGATGGAATGGGAACATAGAGAACATTTAGGATTTATCAACCATATTTAATATTATTATAATTATAAATTTTTGGGAGTTTTTGTTATTTTGTATTTTTGCTTTTCTCAATTAGGCCAACGTTGGTATATTTCAAAATGTTGTTTTTTCCTGTCCAGGTTCACCCGTTATAATTCGATTTAGCTCCAGGGAATCCAATCCAATTCAACGATGTGTTTAAAAATATAATAAGTTAGGTTGGATGGGTATTTTTTATAATTAACGGATCGAGTTAGATTAGTGATTTACTAGATAAATTTAAAGGTCTAACTACATTCAGAAATAAATTATAAATAATTTAATTGATTTGATTTACAATTTCGAATACTATTGCTTTTGGAGTATATTGTAGTTTAAATTAAATATATTTTATAATTATGTTGCTGATTATTTTTAATTTTATTGGTTGTCTTTTTTATTATGAAATTTAACTTTTCATTGTTAATTATGATTATGATGATAATAATAATGAACATGTTAAGACATTTACTTTTAATATTGTCATTGAAATATATTTGTAGTTTGTGAAAATTTCACATCATTAATTAAATTTCACAATATTATACATTAGTAAATTTGCTTCAATTTTTATATATTTTTCTAGATGTAGATATATAGATAGATAGATAATAAAAAATTTCTATTTCTTTTTTCTAATAATTAACGAAATCAATAATATTATTTAATAATTCAATAAGAATTTCAAAATGAAGTTTCTTATACTGTTACAAATTTGTAAATGAAAATGAATTTTTAATTATACATATTAATAAAAATAAAAATAAAAAATCAAATGCCTTTTCATTTGTAGAATAATTTTTTACCTAACCACCTTCTTCCTTTTTTTTTTTACTTTTTTTCCACCTAAACGCAGCGAGTGTCAATCTGTTTTCAGTGTCATCAAATAAAAATCATTTAAGGGCTCAGACTGAACAAATAAAACTACAAGGACTTAATAGACAAAAATTCATAACATAGTTACATAAGGGAAGGTAATAAAAACAGAAGAGTGAGGAATTAACTTCAACAGAATATATATGATGTTCTAACCACTTCTAACTAGAAACTAAACCAATGCCCACTTTATTTTTGGCATCTTTGGTGCTTGCGCTGATGGTTTTATCAGTGTCCTACAAAAAACACGATAGTCATGAACCATCAACAGTTGACATCAGAATGTTTAGCCGTAATATTGGAATGTAATATAATAAAAATATATTTGTAATATAATGTTTACTCTATATTGTGATGTGAAAGAAATACTGATGAACGTGTATTGGTGGAGAAATTTTGTGGATAGTGACTCGGGAATACATTGGTGTAACTGGAAGAAGCTTGCTAGAAGAAAAGATCAAGGCGGACTGGGTTTTCGAACTATTCAAGAAAGTGCAAGTTCCACCTAAAGTTGCCAATTTCATCTGGAGATTAGCCTCAAATATTCTGCCAGTATAACAAAATCTAGTAATTCGAAGAATTCCCTTGGACCCCATTTGTACATCGTGTAATGCAGAAGGTAAATCTATTTTACGTGGCTTATGGTATTGTTCTTTTGCAAAGGAATGTTGAGAATTACTTGATGGGGAACACTTCGGAGATATTAAGGACTGGTTTCTGTTGTTTAAATCAAACTGTGATAGACAGAAGTGGGAGCTGTACTTCTGCTTGTTGTGGTCTATATGGTTTTCCAAAGGAATAAGGTTGTATATATGTGATAATAGATACCTCAATGCTCAAAAGTGTATATACTGATCCAAGCAAATGCTTCCGGATAGGAAAGGCGGTGTCCCGTATTATTATTCCCTCTTTCCTAGTTTATTGGAGACCATCTGGGCAGAATGCTATACTGAAGCTTCGAATGAAGCAGGAGTTGCATGGCTATTGCGAGATGAACGCGGCCAGAATAAGGGAGGTAAACTTTCTGTTATTCATGGCTCTGGACAAACAATTTTTTGCCTTCCAAACCCTTCAATCTATAGCCATCTCTTTCCGTCAGCCGGTCTGTGTTCTCCTTCTATCGAAAGACGTCTTACCATGGCTTCTATAACGAATTCCCTCGTCAAAGGCAACTGTTGTTGACAACGTCGTCGTGTCGTATGGACATCAGCTATAACCGCCCCAAATGGGCTTGCTGGGTCCATTTTCAAAGTCCAATTGAGTAATTGGGCTAAAAATTGGGTTGAGCCTCAAAGAATGGTTTTTTAAGGAATTAGAATTCTCAAATGTAACAAAAATTATGGATTATGAAATAGAATAACAAAAATGAATAAGAAATAAATAAGGGATGTTTGTACACCATAATTATGGGCAACTCTTATCCCATCCATGGTTTGGATTGGAAGGCTCTCATCACAAGATATTTTTCTTCAAAATCTTATCTTATCTTCTTCTTATGAAATATATTTGCATAAAAATAAAATTAAATGCTTGTGGGTGGATGCTTATCTATCCACCACCCCCAATTAATTCAAACAAGATAAATAAATAAATAAATAAAAACATTAAATACTTAATGTGAATTTTGTGATACATATTAAGGTGGACTGTGGCCATAAATGGTGGGGCCTCATCATTAAATGTGAAGAGAAGAGACAATTTGAGTTTGGGCCATTAGAATTTAAATACATTTGAAAATTTGAAAGAAAAGACTGTTTAGGATTTATAAGAAAAGAAAAGGTATTGGTTCTGTTATTTTGCTGAGAAAATGAAAGGGTGTGGGCATGTTCGGACAACGCGCGTGGTTTTTGATGATGACATGATTGTCAGAGTATTGTTCTAATCAATTAAGAGGTTTTTTGACTGTTTTGGGGCAATTTGGAAGGCTTAGGGTTTTGGTATTTTTGTCATTTAGTCGTAATTTAAAAAACGAGTAGCTTCTTTTTAATTTTTAATTATAACCCATAAGCATGCTCTTAATCTCTTGTCATGTCAAAGCTGAGAATAGAATTAATGCCTCTCTCTCTCTCTCTCTCTCTATGTATCATTTCGTATTCATAGATATTTTTTAGACTAATAAAATATGCTTTTTTGTTTTCTATCTTGGATTCTAATCAATCATGATTGGAGAAGATTAATCTCTATTTTAAAGCATAAAACGACAAAACAAATATCACATCTTTACCACCATTTGCGATTTCTGATTGTGCTCGTCCACATGCTTTGCTCCTTCTTCTCCTTTTTCTTTTTTCTTTTTTTTTTTAATTTTTCTGACCTTTTTGGGATATTAATCACTGAAATTCAGTTCTCCTAACCAATTAGGCCTGTCTAGCCGTGCTTATCAAGCTACTTTTTTTAAAAGAAGCCAAAAAAAAAAAAAATCTAGTTTAACTTCTTAATTTACAAGAATAAAACTAATTTATAAATTTTATCAATTACAATGCAACAATATATTAATAATTTAAATAATGTGAATTTTCAATAGAAATAGTTAAGTTAATGAAGAATTGGAATGGGTCAGATAATTTTGACTCTTGTTTTGGATTTCTTAACTTAGCACCCACAGGATGCCAAACTTTCTAAAGTCTCCCAAGTACGATAGGAATTCATTTTCGTTTAATTACAATTTTAAATTTTTGTACATGAAGTTTTTTTTTTAAAATGTTCAGGAGAAATTATTCTTTTAATATATTTGTTAAACATAGAGATTGTGTCTATTTTAATTGGCTAATCATTTGCATTATAAATGATCGAAATAATGATTTAAGTCATTGTATCAATTTCAAAAGTATTATTTACTATGCAAATGCTATCTGTTTGAACCGTTGCATTTGGGTCAAAGAAAAAAAAATGTAATTACCATTAGGTTGTTAACGTTTTATATAATAAAAATAAGTTTTTTCGGTGAATTATAATACGAGGTTAATCTCGTTATTCATAGAGGATTTTCATATTAACGGTAAAACATTAATTAATGCGGCTAATTAAATTAATGGTTAGTGGTTACTCATTGTGGTAGCTTGATTATGTGTCGGCAAACTACATTACGTGCAGCCGCAATAAAATGCTTTCTTTTGAAAACACGTGATAAGAAAAAGGCAAAATGATGATTAGGAGTAACCCTAAAACAACATATTTTAATGCTTAATTTTTACAGGTGTCACCCAAAATTTGATAAATTTATTCTTTTTTTGGTAAAATATTGGACTCCATCTCCATCCTTCAAGGCTTAACCAGCCTTTGTACATAAAATATTAAGTTCCTGCAAGAGCAAGTTAGCTTTTGGTGGTCACTAGACATTGTCAATTTACAATCATGCGAGGGCAACGAGCTAGTAACATTTGAATGTTAAAAACTCATTTTGCGAATGAAACTGCATTTTCAAACACTCAATATGTTAGTGGAAGAAAACAAAAAATTAGGGCAATTTGAAGGAATCGCCATCTAAAATGTCCGTGGAGACAATTTTTGTAGCCATAGATCCCCTCTATAATAAATATGCTTTGTCTTGGAGATCATATTCAAAGGGTTATGAGCTCTGCATCGTAGGTGCAAACTGTCCTTTGGTACTAATGGCTGATCCTATGTATGTGCCACGTGTTTGGACTGTGTTGCAGGACCCTGCCCTTAATTTTATACAGTGATCTTCAAAACAGCCAATTCCCTGGTGAAAATCCCACATAAAATCAAAATCCCCTACAAACCCATATTAATAATTATTAGTTTTTATGGCTCTTGTCCCTTTGCCCTAACAATAAATATATCAATTAATTAATGTAACAATATTAATATTTATTAATTGATCTGTATATATGATTTGCATTTTGTTTGAGATTATTATTAAAAAAAATTATTTAAAAGTTTTAATTTTAATTAGGGGTTTTAAGTATGGAGTGCCCTAACCAAGAGACCCCTCTCCTAATATTTGAAAAAAAGGTTTTTGGATCTTGTGGAGTTTTCATTACACAGTTTTACTAACCCTCAATATATGTATTTATAAATACTCAAACCACAATTATATCAGTAAACCTCTAATATATTTGTTAGCACCATCTTCATTTCATATATCCATTTTAATATATATTTTTTCCATTCACCTATTGGAGTAGAAATTGCTCTAAAAACTTAACTATCCCCCACCCCACAGACCAACCAAAAGCCCTGTATGATTAAGCCATGGACTTAACCACAAGAAACCCTCAAACCAAAACTCCCGACTCAGATACTGATACCGAAACCCCACTTCAGACCCACCTTTCCAGAGCCTTATCTCTCACTAATGGCTCCCCCTCATTTCACCCACCACCGCAAACGGTGGTTTCTTACAAAGAATGTCTCAAGAACCATGCTGCTACTCTTGGTGGTTTAGCCTTAGATGGCTGTGGTGAGTTCATGCCTAGCCCTTCTGCTTCGCTTTCTGACCCAACTTCCCTCAAATGTGTTGCTTGTGGTTGTCACCGTAATTTCCACCGCCGTGACAGCCTTCAACCACCGCCGGTGGTGGCTTTTCACTGGAGTACTTCGAGCCCAAGTCCTGGGCAAACGAGTTCAGGACCGAGTCATAGTGATCCAAATTCGCCGGCTTCACCGATTCCACAACAGTCTGTTTACCCATCTGCACCGCATATGCTTTTGGCTTTAAGCACGGGTCATTCTGGACCGTTTGAGGAGAATCATCATCATCAGATGAATCATCCAACGGTGATGAACCCACATGGGAAAAAAAGAGCAAGAACTAAGTTCACTGAGGAACAGAAAGAGAAGATGCATCTCTTTGCAGAGAAGTTAGGGTGGAAAATGATGAGAGCAAATGATGAGAAGATAGTGGAAGAGTTTTGCAGCGAAGTTGGGGTTAAAAGAAATGTCTTTAAAGTTTGGATGCATAACAACAAGCATAGGAAAGAGAAGGGTGGTTGTGATATTAACAAGAAAATTGTTAATTTTAACTGCGACAGTAACTACGGTAGTTACCAGATTGAGAGCAAAATTGCTTCTCTTGATGATGGGTCTTCTCCTTCTTCATCTTAATCGAGAAAGGAACAGAAGCTAGTAAGTAGTAAGCATGGAGATTTTTTTTCTTTCTTCCTTTTGTGGTTCTCTTTTTCTTGTTTTTCTGGTATTTTTGTTTCTTGTTTTCTTGATTAATTAGTGATTAGTGATCACTAATTACTGACGATGAAGGATCAGACATTCAGAATAGAAGCTAGGATGACAATTAAGGGAAAATTAATTCTCTTGCTGATCTTTATTAATTATTAACAATCTGGGTATCAAATGTTTATTTTTCTTTCTTTCTTTCTTTGTATAATTATAATCAAGAAGTAGAAGAGATGTCATTAATTCATTACTGGCTAGGCATGGATGTGACTAATTGGTATTTCTGGTGACTATAGCTATAGCTTTCATTAGGCAAGGGTTTTCAATTTCTCATTATATTCATGATCTAATTAATTGCTATTAATCCATATTTTGTTTTTGAGTTACAGTTTCCCAATGGAAGGTAAATAAAAATTGAAATGAGAATAAAAACAAAAAACCCTCTCTCTTTCTTTACTCTCCATGCTCATATTGTGTCTTGTACAAAGCTGGAGCCTTATCACTTTTGGGTGCAATTTGTTATGACATGTTATCTGCAATAATGTCCTTTTCCATTTTGTAGAGGGCAACTCTACTGTTGCAGAATATGCACCCTTGTCCTATAGGGATGATGGCTCTGTCCTGCTCTATTTGGGTTTGGTACAACTTGCTCTCAGCTAAAAATCCCTTATTTGTTCTTTTTTTTTTTTTTTTTTTTTTTTTTCTGTCTCTGCTCTATTTTAGGGTTTGGTAACAACTTGCCTTCTCAGCCTAAAAAAAATTCCCCTTATTTGTTCTTTTTTTTTTTTTTTTTTTTTTTTTTGGTGTTTTTTTTTTTTTTTTTTTTTTTTTTTTGGTGTTTCTTTGGTTGTTGCTGTAGTTGAAAGGAAAGTTACCCTCTTGCCTTCAATACCCATAACGCATTATAATTTATAAGCATAGTGGGTGGTTTTAGGGTTTAAAGTTGCACCTTTTGTACTTTTTTATCGTAAATTGTAGGAAAAAATGGGGTCTAAACAAGTTTTATCTTGAATTGTATGCAAGAAAAGAGACATTATCGCTTGGTATTAGTAGGAGAAAGGTATGAAGAGAAATTAGGGAAATAGAAATCCTGCTTCAAAGGGTTATGACATGTTTGTGTATTTGCGCAAGATATTGTTAAAATAGGCTTTAAAGGGTAGGTGGCTTTTTTGATTAATCCATGTTAGGTGACATAAGCAGCTGGTTTGAATGAGCATTACCACCTTTCCTTATTTGGGCGGTTGATGGAAGCGGCAAGTTTTGTTTCTTTCTTCTTCTACTTTCTAATTATGTATCGTAAAGCTGCTTCAAAACCACTTTAATTAATTAATTATTATTATTTTATTATTTTGAGTCCCTTGTGATGATTGTATATGCCTTGAAAACCTACCACATGCATTGTATCCTACACTATTAAAATGCAAGCCAGAAGACTGCACATGATGAATTTATTTACAATCCTTTTTGTTTTTTTTTTTGACTCACTTTACGCTTCTTGGGCCCCAGAACCGGCCGCAGGTCTGATTCCGATGAATCAAATCAAAATCGGTCTAGGGTGGTCGTTTATATAATCGAACTAAATTAATTATTTAATTAATAATCTTCACCGTAATGTAAGTGTCCAGTCTTTTTCAAACACACCTCTGCTGCCTTAATATCTTTCAGTTGCTTTGGTACAAAACAATCAAAGTGCATTTCATAGATTCAGCACTGAAAGCTTAGTTGGGAAGAATCTGGCATGTCTCTGCAGAACTTACAAGTCATACTAGGAGGCGTCAAATGCAAGCAGTGATCGGTTCTTTCTTCCAACCAAGCCAGTCTCTTTTCAAAACTCAATACCCCAATATGCATTAGTCGGATATCAACCTGTACAACCCTAGCACAAGATCGAAGCAAAATGTAATAATCTGCGTGAGCAACATAAGTCAAGGCACCGCCACCCCTCTTCCTCGTGTAATGAAGGTAATCAAATCTTTTGAGTTTGGCTCTTGGTGCAATGTAGCAGAATCTATTCTCTTCCATGTCTAACTTAAGCCGTCTAATGGCTTCTTTCTCTTCGAGTGCCTCTTCTGAGTCTTTGCTGCATTCTAAGTTTTGATCTTCCTGTGCTTCATTGGAAAATTGGTCATTATCCAGACTCTGCTGTCGGCTACATTCAGGGGGGTTGTCAGTACTGCTCCGACTACCAGACGGACTGTCATGCCATCCTTCTCTAACTTCCTTCGTTTCCAACAGATTTTTAACACATTCATCATCATTCCTTGATCTCTTTTGGTTAAAAACAGTATTACTTGGCATCCGAGGCTCTTGTGCCAGCTCAGACTCCTGATATCCAAAAAAGAAGAAAAAAAGAAGCTTGAAATCAAAGTTCGCTATCTAATATTTTGATTCTTGATAATAACTGCGGAACATGCAGTTTTTATTAGAAGAAAACATCCCACCAAAACAAGAAGCTATTAGGCCAGGGTTGATAATGTAAAATTGGAATGCAACTTCTCTGTCACAATCTTTGATTTCAGGAAAATTATAAAATATTGATGTACTAAATTTCAGAATCTAATGGAAGCGAATTGCACAAGTCACATATGGCATGAAAAGATAAGAAATCACGCTTACATGCAGCAGCACATATTTAAGAAATAAAATTAGAGTTTTACTTGCATCATACAATCTAAGAACATATAACGTTACTCAAGACTGCAGTTTAACACAGTACCATGCAATTTACTTCAGCTTATCATTATTATTCTTCGTTCCCTTTTATGCACCTAAAAGGAATAATAATATCATGAACTTGATAGAAGGCAGCTGCAGCTGACTGTATCAACAAAATACTTGTACAGATACATTTGAGCAAAAAACATAAAAATCTATAGATTCCAATGGACCCTTGAAAAGTCAAGGAAGATAATAACAAAATATTGAGATCCCTAAGAAAAAACTTTTAGTAACATCTAAACGATAAAATTGTTAGTATTCCAATAAAGTAATTGACTATGTTTAACACATTTATATCCTAAATTCTAGTAGTCAGAATCCTCGTGTAAATTACATCCAATTTCGTACTTTGTTATTTATAAGTGTTCTAATGTCTTCAATTTTTAAGATAATAATCAATGAACAAATATTGCAGGGTCACTTTCCAGTTGTGTTCCAAACTTACCATGAAGAACATTGAATTAACATTCAGTAAAGTACTATAGACAATTAGAAGGCTAGAAGCATAGGATTAATCTGAAATCTACCGTGAGATACAAAGACTAAATTGACTTTTACAAAATGGAACAAACTTTCAGCATGAGCATACATCTGAAAATAAAGATGACATAAACATTCAGTATATAAATTAACTTTCCTCTGATTAATTAATATTACCTGTTCATTCTGGTAGAAATCCCATAACTTATCTATTAATTCTTCTTCCACTCGATAATCTGTACGTGAAGGTCCTGCTCCGGCAAATACCACATCCTTACAATATTGGAGGTATGAGGGCAAGTCCTTTGCAAACTCTGCAGGAGCAAAAAGGGAAAATTACGAGGCTGGGAGATTACAGCTACAAGAACTTTTCTAGAGCATGAGAGTCAATTATAAAGCAGCAGCCGAGCTTCCAAGTAATTACCATAGGTGTCAACAATCTTGGTGTACGTTGCTTCTAGGTGGTGCAGCAATAACTCTGCTGAACCCAAACCAGGCTTCTGAACGTGTGATGGATTTCTAATGAATTTTTCACCAGAATCATCCATCCTATGAAGGAAGGAAGCAGAAAATTTTCCAGCATCACCCTCCATTTCAGAAGTAAATATTGAATCTAATGCATCTGTATGACAAGAACGGGAAGCAGAGCACTTGCGCCTCAACAAACTCCTTTCCCATGCCCCAAAACCATTAATGTTATAGAGCATTCTTATAGCCACAATAAGTATTGACATTACACAGATCCGTGTAGGAAGCCTAAGCTCACTTGTTGATAACCATAAATCTGGGGGCAGTGACCATTCATATATGCGGAGTGCATGTGGAAGAACTTCTTCAACTGGAAGAGAGAGCTTCTTAAGATAGCGAGCAGCTATTTTGTAGAAGTTCACTGGCGGTAAATGTAAACCTATTGACTCAGCAATTCTCGCTGCCATTGGCTCCAAATTCTGTACAGGAACTGTTTGAGAAGGCCTAAACATTAGACTTGAACTGATAGGACAAGCAGCTGAAGCACGTTCAAAGCGTTTTTCAATTTCAACATGAGCATCAAAGTACGGAAGTTTTCCTTCGAGCGACCACTTTAGTATATCTGTTGGCAAAATTGCTTCCCTAGCAACATGACAAGACAAAAATGAAATAGCTAGAGAATGAGATAATGGTATTTTCTTCCTTAAACATTGAAACCAGACATTCACTGCGCGCTGACCGTATGCGTTGTGGGGCTCCTTTCTGTTACGAGGCCGATGATTTGTTGGTTTTCCTGAAAAGGGGGGAAAAAACATTCATTCAAAACTTGACATCTAACCCACATGATACAATCAGATATCAATATTCCGTATAAACCCAGTGAAGCTAGTGCAAAAACTAATAAACAATAATTCTAACAAAAAACCAAAAAATCATAAAGCATAGAAACATAACTCACTATCATGTCTATATGATTGTGTTATTTCAAAATTATAAATTTCAAATGCCATAGTAACAATAACCATCCCCTTTACACAAAATTCATAAAAACCAAACTGTAATGAAAAGATTTTAAAATTCAACAAAAAGCTTCAAAGTTTCTTTCTTTACCTACTGTTTGGGTCTCGGATTCCAGCAACACTTCATCTGCCCAGCCATCCTCATAAACCCCAGTGGAATACAAGTACCTTAACCAGACAGTTCCAGCAATACCACAAATCAAGGGACTTGCATTGAATTTCTCTACAAGAGCCTCACACTGCAACTGAATCATCCACTGCATCCCCATCACATACCTAAACCTCACCTCATTGTAATATTCCTCATAACTCAACTTCCCATTGGCACGCGAGCCGAAATCGTCAGGCTCCATGGGCCCCACCCCGTCCAAATTCTGATTACTATAGTTATAATCGTTCTGCGTTTCTCTCTTCGCTTCGATTTTAGTAGCAGTTTTATTGTCTTCTTCTTCCTGCGTGAATCGGAGCCAGGCTTGAGAGGACGGGTCGTTTTGGACATGCTGGGAGAGGCGTGGGCGTCTGGCGCTGTAGAGTATACTGCCTCCGTCTGCATTGAAAACATCATCGTCAGCGACGCCCGTCAAGATGATGTCGTCGGCCTGGGCGCCGCACTCCTGGCAATAATAGAAGCCGTCGGATTCATCAAGGCCGACATGGCCGCACCTCCTGCATGCCCATTTTTCTTCTCCTTTGTGGTCCATTGATTTGGGTCGAGAAATTTTCGCAGCTTCGCTTAGGAACGCTGCGTTTTGTTGTAGAGAGCAGTTTGCAATGCGGTTACTCGATTAGGTTTATTTCTGGGCCCACGACTTGGAATTCGCTATTGCCTCTACTGGTTTGATTGGGCTTGAAAAGCCCAAGTCATCATTACGTATGCCTACAATAATATATCCCATTACCGAACGGCTTGTCGTTTGGAAGTCGGAATCAATATTATAATATAAAATCACTTTTAAAAAAAATAATAATAAATTAGGACATATAATTTTTTTTTAAATGAAGAAAAATTTTGAAAATGTTCGTGCCGTGATAAAATTATTAATAACGATCTAAATGGACACTCAATGTACAAAAATTAATTTGACTCTAAGATTTGAACCTGCCTAATTGTTTGGCATAATTTCACTTCTGAAACTCAAAATGTTCCCCCCATATTTAACGGCTGGAAACGTTGTCAAATAGTGAGGTTTAGAAAATAACATATTTATAATATATTACTTTAGATAAAAATTATAAAAAACAACTTGTTTTAAAAATATGTTTTTGTTTTTACTGCTGACATTATCAATGGTTGAAACTCGAAAGACAAAGTTCCTTGTCCTCCACTTCTTATAGTGCATTCCTGTCTTGAAAACTAACACAACACAAACAATATCATATTTCACCATCTATCTTAATTTCTCAGCAATTTCAACCCGTAAAGCCGAAAATACAGATTCAATTTTGAAAAAACACACTATGTTGGGAGAATAAAAAAACCTTTACGATTTACGGCATAAGGGGATTAAACCTCTTGATTTCACATTAAAAAAAAACGGTGTATTTTAATTTAAATTCGAAGAAAAGAGAACCATTTTATTATATTTATATGTTCTTCTTTGTTATGATTATTAGGTAATAATTAATGTGATGTTCCAATAGTCGGAAAATGACACCCACCGCCGGCCTAAATCTTGAGATTTTCCTGATGATGAAAGCCGGCATTGAAAGTTAATGATGGGATTATTGAAACTAAAAGAAGAAATGACCCTTAAGTGGACTTAGTTCCTAATAACCATCATATTAATCAGAACACTTTATGGAAAATGATAAAAATGGTAGGAAATTTCTTTTCATGTATTTTTATGAATTGTGTATTATGCAAGCTAATTAAGTGGTAATTAGGGTTTTGTCTGTTTACTTACTACAACATTGGTTGTACTATCACGAGGATATCTAAGATACTGATGAATTAAAGACCATAACTTTGGCGATTTCTTTCTACAAAAGCTTCACAAAAATTTCATGACAGTCAACTTTATAATTTCTCAACTGTAATATAAAAATGATTGCGTGTCAACGAGATTAGTGTTAATCATCATTAACTTATACAATGGATTTGTTTTGGTCATCTAATTTCATTTTAGGTCATCTATGTACTGAAATGAAAATGATGAAATATGAATTGGAAACATATACTTTTAAAGAAATCATACTGTGATATGTAACATAAGCTCACGAGTTCAATTTTCTTCCTTTCATATATTTTTAAATATTGCTTTATCCTTTATAAAATAATGAGAAATAGAATTGATTTTACAGATTTCACTTTACCCTTTCCAAATACTAAGTAATAGTGTTTGCTTTTGCTAGAAAAAGTTTAATAGTTTGGCCGAGAAGGAAGAAGAAAATAAAATATACAGAGGTGTAAGAGATGACATTTTTCCAATAAAGAAAATCATGAAAAATTACCAGAGGTAAAAAATGTTGATCATCCGCCTGCTTGATTTAGATTCGATCATTTACGACAACATCCGTTACACATGATGTCTAAATATATTGACTCTGTTATCTAGGAGTCACGACCTACTATATGAGCTGCCTTAGGTTAAGCTCTATTGTCGTGAGCTAAGGACCGCAATTTTATGATCCTGCAGGAAAGAAGCATAGTCTCCCATCAGTGATCGAGAGTCGGTGCGCCCTATGGGGTGTCTTAAATCAGAATGTCAATTCTTGACCCGTGATCCGAACAGATGAGGAGTGACTGACATACCTAGTAGTCCCATTTTTTCTTTATTAAAAAAAAAATATATCAAAACATAAATTCAATACTTATATCATATAAGCGTTTAACCAAAATAAACAAAAGATCAGGCCAGGTTCCATTTCAAGTCAATAATTTAAGACAATATCAAAAACAATTGGAGAGAAAAGGAAATAAAATAGAAAGGTTGATGGATAACTTAAACTAACAAAATTTTCGATTTAATTCTCTATTTGTTTTTATTGATAATTTTAATTTAAAAATCTCGCTTCTTATATATACAGACAAAAATACATTAAAACGGATAAAATTTTATTTATGATGATTTCGTTCAAGTGAAAAAAACTTAAATTTTAAATTATTTAAATAAAAAGAGATTGAGTGTTGAATTATTATAAAATGTTATTGATATTACGCTGCGTGAGCAAAACCGCAATAACTTCAAAATTAATTTCATTTGAAGAGGACAATTGCTATTAAAGATCAATGAATCATAGAGTAATAATTAAATTTGAAAAAAAAAAAAAAGAAAAAGAAAAAGACTAAGTACCAAAATAAAGCAGGGCCACAATAGACTTCGATAACCTAAAACGTCCCCACAGACAGAAGCGTGAACTGAAACTGAAATTGGATTTTTTATTTAGTTTGAATACCCGATTGTGGACAACAAGATATAGGGCGGCAGTTGGTGGGTTTCAACTTACGTACGTGCCAAAGATTTTAATTTCTCTCTCGAATTTCCTTAAACCCTAATTAACGCTCCAAACACCACCGACCATTTTTTTTTTTTTAAAGATTTTTTTTTTTTTCAAAAATAATTAAAAATGAAGTAGAAAAATAAAAAGAAACCTCACCTTCTCTAAATTGACTCACTCCTTGAAACGTGTCACTTCACAGAAAGTCCATTCAATTGTGACATTTAATACTAAAAAAATCATATGGAAATGGAAACTCCTTTTATACGTTAAAAAAATTAAAAAAGAAAATTGACAAATTGTGACATTTATTTATTATTCACTTTATCACTTCGGACTTCGAACAATTAAGATCTAATCATTTGAAAATAAAAATATTCTGAAACGTCAAGTAATATAAAAATATAATAATTTTAAAATTAAAATACAATAAAGTCTTAAATGTTTTTTTTAAATGAGTATTAAAAATTTGAATCTCATTGATATATAATTATACTTTTGATATTAAAATTTTAAATTTAATCTAATTGATTTTCTGTGAATATAATATTTGAAATTAAAAAAATTAAAATGATGGATCGAGATTAGAATATTCATCTTTGAAGAGAGATTAAAAATTTGATTTTAATATAAATGAAATAAATATATACTATCAGCGCTGTGTTGTTGGTAGGTTGATGGAGATCGAGCTAGTTTTGATTCAGTGAACTAGAGACATTGTATGATTAATTTTGAAAAAAAAATCAATATTTTTTAACAATTAACCTAAGCAATTAAACATACCAAACCTAAGAAAATTCGCATGGCTTGTACCTGTAAACGTAGCTTTCTTTCATGAGTTGAATGAAAGGAATATCTCATTTCTGCCGTGAGTCTCGCCACTTTGATCACGCACACAGATGCCTAAATTTTGTCTCCACATATTTCACTTTCTATACAAGTGGGAAGTCCACTATCAACTATGCATTTTCGATGGAGAATTTTTATTTGTGCGCGACTCATCTGTCATTTTTATCTTTGCTTCCAATTTGAGAAAACAAGCTAATATTGAGCGAAGAATAATGGGTACCAAATTCTTTTACACGATCAGAACCCAGTTTGATTTTGTAAATAATAAATTATTTGAAATCGATTTTGTATGTGATAGTATGTATAGGGTCACCAATTTTATTTGGAACTATGCGTTTTATCTGTTTGGATTGTTATTCAGACAAATTTTCAGGTAATTCTCTGTTCTTTTTTTTTTTTTTTGGTTGGATGTTATTTCAGACAAATTTTCAGGATATTCCTCTTTCTTTTTTTTTTTTTTTTGGTGTTTGTTTAAAGGTTTGAATTGATTTATTGTCTAGTGAGGGTGTTTTAATTTTGTGCCAGGTTTTCAGAAAGGTGAAAAACTTTGAGAAGGAGAATCTCATTCACATTGTTCAAGTTGGTGCTCAGGATTCAGAGATTGATAAAAACAATGAAGAAAGAAGAGCAACTCTGTTGTTATGGAGACAAATTAGGTATGAGTTCTCAACCGTGGAAAGGTATATATGGGTTCGTAGAACACAATGACCTTTAGAATTTAGTGTTTCACGAAAAATTGTTCTTTTTTTTTTTTTTTGGTGTTGTTTTAAAGGTTTTTGATTGATTATTGTTAGTGGGTTGTTTTAATTTTGTGCCAGGTTTCAGAAAGGTGAAAACTTTGAGAAGGATGAATCTCATCAAATTGGTTCAAGTTGGTCTCAGGATTCAGAGATTGATAAAAACAATGAAGAAGAAGAGAACTCTGTTGTTATGGAGACAAATAGGTATGAGTTCTCAACCGGGAAAGGTATATATGGGTTCGTAGAACAACCAATGACCTTTAGATTTAGTGTTCACGAAATGTTTGTTCATTCACGTAATGATGCAATTGTTAATACTCCGATAAAATTTGATTCTGGAGGCTCCATTGATCAGAATTTCCAGGATGTTGGATTGGATACAGAAAAAGCAGAAGAGAAAACAGAGAAAGCAGGGGATTTGTTCAAAAGTTTTGTTGTTGATGAGGTTTCAGAGATGAAACAAGAACATGAAAAATTAATTGAGGAGGTGAATTTTGAAGAGGAATTGTTTGTTTATGATCGTGTGGTTAATGAAGATATGGATTCTGGAAATCATGAATTGAAAACAGAGGAAACAGAGTACCCTGTTCAAAGTTTGGTCCTTGAAGAGGTTTTAGATAAGCCAGAAGTGAAAATATCAACTGAGGAGAAGAGTTATGATAAAGAACAAACTCATTCAACCACCTGTGAAATTTTGAGTGATGGAGCTGTCAATGAAGTATTAGAACCCGAAATTCCAGTTTGCATCAATGAGGAGAAGGCAGAACAAGTTTTAATTGATGGAGTTGGACTTGAAAGTTGCGTATTGGTGGATGAGGAGAAGGCAAGACATAAAAGCGAAACTGAAGCTGTTTTAATGACATGCCAATCCACAGATTCTGATGATGAATATATAGAATTACAACTCCAGAAGCAGAATTCAATTTTATTGGATGAGGAGGAGACTTTGTCTAGAAAGGATTTTAGCAAATTTGAGGACAAACATGAAGAATTGCTTGATGAGAAGGCAGATCCAGAATCAGAAGGGCACAATTCTTCAAAGTGTTATGCCCAAAGTGATGCAGATTACATGTTGGAGCACCAAGAGATAATAGACCAGCTGAAAACGGAGCTTAAATTAGCAAGAACTGGGGGTCTGCCAACTATTCTTGAAGAATCAGAATCTGAAGAATTGGAAACCCCAAGAACAGTTCAAGAATTAAAGCCAATGAAGATTAACGACCAAAAACTTGAAAGCAAAGATTTTTTAGATGGGATTCAAAAGGTTTACAAGAGCTACTCGGACAAAATGAGAAAATTGGACATCTTGAATTTCCAGACCATGCATGCACTTGGTGAGTTTAGCCATATAATTTTATCTGTCTTCTTGTATTATGTTATGGCTAATCAAATCTTAATATTTGGATCAAGAACATCTATTAATCATAATATTTTTATGTTTAAAAAGATTTTAAATAATTATTATATACTATAACAGAAAATACTACATTTGGCTAATCCACCTGATAATTTTGCAGATTTCTTTGACCAGAAGAAACCTTTTATGAAAATTATATTGAATGATATGTCTCCTTCTTCTTTATTTCTACAATTTGTACACTAATAATGTCCCTATTAAGTTACCAATCTTTTGTCTAGTCGTTGCATTCTAGATGTTTTAATCAAGTCTCTATTGCTAAAAGACCTACCTCTTCTCTTTGCCTTTTTTTCTCAGAAACTTTTAATAAAAGATCTGCAATAAGAGCAGAACTTTATCGTAATAATATCAACGTGCTTTGTGTCCCATTTCCAGGTTTACTTCAGATGAAAGAAACAGTTCAGTTTCAGACAGCTCGAAAATCATCGGTCCCAGCAATTATGTCAAGTCTTTCCCAGAATTTATGGTCTTGCAAAGGGTTTGCAGTAATTGATCCGATAAAGAAGGTAATTGCTGATATGCATAAAGATTTTGAAACCATATATGTTGGACAGCTTTGCCTTTCTTGGGAAATACTCAATTGGCAATATTGGAAAATTCAAGAATTGCAAAAACTAGATTCTCAAAGATCCTATCAATATAATCAAGTAGCAGCCGAATTTCAACTATTTCAAGTAATGATACAAAGGTTTCTGGAGAATGAGCAGTTCCAAGGTCCTAGGGTACAAAATTATGTCAAGAACCGATGTGTCCTTCGCAGTCTTCTTCAAGTTCCCCTAGTTAAAGGTAAAAAGGTTATTTCTAAATCAACCATTAATTTATTTTTGAGCCATTCATTATATTCAAGTTGCTGTAATTTCACTGCAGATGATAGTTTCAAAAGCAAAGATGAAGAAGATAAAATTACAAGTGAAATGCTAAAAAAAATTATTCAACAATCAATGATTGTCTTCTGGGAATTCCTTCACGCCGATAAAGATGAAAGCAATATGATTTCATATTCTCATAATCACCAAACTCATCATGTTAATCTGCAAGACCTTGTAGATTCAGAGCTGTTGACAGATATTCGAACTGATTTTCAAAAGGTAAGTTCTTTAATGTCTAAATCTTGTTCTAATAATCATTTTAGTCATTGGAATTAATAGCTTTCTTATGATGCAGAAGGAGAAAAAACTCAAAGATATATTAAGAAGTGGAAATTGCATAGTGAAGAGGTTCAAAAAGCAACAAGAAGGTCAAATACATGGGATTCATACATTGTTCATAGCTCAGGTGGAAATAAAATTGGTTTCAAGAGTACTAAATATGTCAAAATTAACAAGAGATCAATTGATTTGGTGTCATGAAAAATTAGACAAAATTAAATTTTGTAATAGAAAAGTTTCTGTAGAATCCTCATTTTTGCTCTTGCCATGTAGACATGGTGATCAGTAGTGACTGCAGCCATTTTGTTGCTGTAGATAAATGCATTTTAAAAAAGGCTTATACATGTAATTTTACACGTCTGGTTCTTTTTTTACAAGTTGTGATTTTGATTTGAATTACTATTTCCATGATAAGACCCACTTCTTGACTAACTAGAATAATTTATAATTTTGGGAATTTCCAATTTACTTTTTATTAATTAATCTCTAAGGTTTAAATTTAAGATTTTGTAGTTTGAAAGATGTTTTCCAATACCACTAGTGTTGTAAATTTTATTCATTATAAATTATTATTCAATTCAATATCATAAATAAAAAGTGAAATTTACAATGAACCGTAAGCTACAAAATGAAAGAATTTAAATTTAATTTTATTGAACTCGAACTAAGTTAATTTGCAATTTATAATTAATAAAATTACTCATTTACCAGCTTAAAATTTGAGTTTGAGCTCCACTAAATTATTAATTTAACTTTTTTTTTTTCCTAAAAAAGTTTTGTTAAGCGAGATTGAGTAAACTCAATGAATAGTTTTAAATTAAACTTATTGAATGAATTTTGTTTGAGTTGATCTTTTTAACAGTTCTGCTTATTTATTTCTCAAAAAAACAAAAAAAAAATTCTGCTTATTTATAAATGTATGGTGTATATAATAATAATAATAATAATTTAAGAGGAGTAATTTGTAATTAGAGAACTTGTCCGATGTTTCTGTCCACTTGGGCCAAAGCCCAATTAGGAATGACCACTGTTGTAAAACTCATCGAAACATGCAGGGCCTAAATCTGAGCCGTTCCTTATCATTGAGCTTCAACCGTAGGATCTAGGGCGACAATCACTGAAAATAAAGTCGCTTTTATATCCTCACTCCATCGTCCAAAACCCTTCTTCTCTGCTTCAGCCTCCGCGTTGCCAAGCAGCATCCACACTCTAAACCCTAGGAGAGAGAGTGGGAGAGGGAGAATAAAAAAAATGGTTCAGCGGCTCACATATCGGAAACGGCACAGCTATGCCACGAAGTCGAACCAGCATCGGGTCGTCAAAACTCCCGGTATCATTTCCCACTCAAACTTTTCTTTATATGTAATTTTAGATCTGATATCAAGTTATTAACATTTTGAAATGGGCGTGGATGTGAACAGGAGGAAAGTTGGTTTACCAGACCACAAAGAAGAGAGCTAGTGGCCCTAAATGCCCTGTTACTGGCAAGAGGATTCAAGGGGTATGTTATTTTTGGCAATAAACATGATACTTTTATTGCATGGAAATTGTGATCTTTTCGAAATTTCTTTTATGTAGAATTGCAATTAATCTTTATTTCATGAAACATTTGTGTATTTGAATGTGTGGAAAGCGCAAATTAACTTTAGTTTGAAGTACATGGGAAAATGGGGGCAAGAGAGATTGAATGCTGCCTTTCGTTTTCTTTATTTTCTAGCAATTACCTAAGTGTTAAACATGTCCCAAATTGTCCATTCTTGTGTGAGAGATCGGATGATATCTATTGGCATTCTTTTTGCCATTCATGGAAGTGAAATAATGAATAGAAAATGGGGTTTTGGTTGCTAACGGTGACAATTTGACATGTTAAGTTAAATGCAGTCGCTTAGTCTATGTTATGAATCATTAGGGGATTATGTCATCGCAATAGGTCCCTCCTTGAATATTAGAAGAGTAATCATACGTGTAATTTGTCTTCATTCTAAAATTATGAAGACAAGTATTCCAGATTTCACCGTATTGCCTTTCTTATTTCTTGTTGTCTCTGTGAACACTACAGTATGCTTTTTAATATGAGATTGTTATGTTAGCAGAGATGACCTTTAAGAAGTTTTGAGTTCTTGCCTCTTAACAATTGTTGCAAGGCTTCATGTGAACTTGCTCATGCGTCCCTCCCCTATTTTCCCAATACTTGTATTCCTACAAGTGTGTATTTGATGATCTCTAGTTGGTAGTTAAGTGGGTCTAAGTGATATATTTAGATCAGTTGATTTGCTTTTTTACGAGCTCCTGCCTATTATCTGAAATGTTGGATCTTGTTGAAAAAATAATATTATTTTCTGATTCTAGACATTGGAAATGTATTGTGCTTAGCATGGATCAATTTAGTTTACTGTAAACTATGGTGGAATTTGTGAGATTTTGAACTGTCTAGTTACCCAATGAAGAGCTTATTTTCATTTCTGCTAAATTGTTGTTTATGTCTGCAGGTTCCTCACTTGAGACCTGCTGAATATAAGAGGTCAAGATTGTCAAGAAACAGGAGGACTGTGAATCGGGCTTATGGTGGTGTATTGTCTGGTGGTGCTGTCAGAGAAAGGTTTGTTTTCATATAGCTGTGGGAACAAGACATTATTGCTTGTATTTTGTCTTATGGAGTGTTATTAAGTGAGATTATTGTACAGGATTATTCGTGCCTTTCTGGTTGAAGAGCAAAAGATTGTGAAAAAGGTCTTGAAGATTCAAAAGGCAAAGGAAAAGCAAGCCTCAAGAAGTTGAGATAGAAATGTCCAGTGATTTGGAGGATTTGTCGAAACAGCCAATGTTAGTGATTCATGGAAAATATTAAGGGGATCCCAATTCGAATATGTATTTTGTTTTGGCTCTTGTGAACCATGGTTTCTTAGCTTTGTCCACAAATTATGCTGCAATTTTGTTCCGCTTTATCATTTCTCTGTTGTGCTGTCTTGAACTATTTGCTTGGATGACTGTGCAATGACATATTTCTTGGATACTGCAATTACTTTGTTCTATTAATTAGTCCCTCATACTTGCAAGGCATCTTGAGTTTAGCTCTGACTGCATTTGCTTGTGATGATGCCAATTGTAAAGATAAGTTATTAGATGGAGATGCTTGTACTGGTACTGTACAATTTCTATAAGTTAGAGGTACAGCCTTTAAAGGAAAAACTACAGTAACAGCTTCTTCATAGGCTGGATGGTTTCAAGCATTTGCACCTGCGAGGATATTGAAGGTGCCCCAAGTTTACTGTTGGTAGGGTTTTTTTTTTTTTATTTATTTTTATTTTTTTTTATTTTTTTGTTGAGAATAATTGTCTCTTGTTCACACTTGGAAAAGGTGATTTTGTCAGGACATCTGCGTTTCACCGCATTTGGCAATCTGTTGATCGGCCATTAGGTCCGAAACTCACAATTTAAATAAAAACAAATAAAAAAGGAAGTTATCATTTTAGCAAAATAAATGAAGCGTTGTGTTTCTTGTGCATATGGATGATGGGTCTGTCATTTTAGGAAAAAAAAAAAAAACGAAGCAATGATAGACTTTTACATTATGTTTTTGGGGAGGGAAAAGAAAATAAGACCTGAAGAAAAATAATGAATGATTATGTTATTCATTCTCTCCTTATTTTTCATATTTATTTTTCATCCTATGTTTGGATTGGAAGAAAAATAAAAGGGGGAAAGAAAATAAAATATAGTTTCTCTTGTTTGGAAAGGTTCTTGTTTGGAAAGGTCCAAATTATAGAAGAAAGAAAATATTATTTATGCAAATTTACAATTTTAATCCTATTTTACATTATTAATTACTTTAAAAATATTATCTTGAGACAGAAAAGTAAACTATATATATATAGTTGATAGAAGTTTAATATTTTGTTAACAATAATATATTACTTATTTTTAATATGGTTAGTTTGTTCTATAAACAAAAGTTTAATATTTAATTCAACAAAACATAATTTGAAGAACCATTTGCATGTTCAAATATACTATTTTACATTATTATTACTTTAAAAAAATATTAATCTTGAGACAGAAAAGTAAACTATGTAATATATAATAGTTATAGAATTTAAATATTTGTTAACAATAATATATATTACTTATTTTTAGATATGGTTATCTTTGTTTCTATAAACAAAAGTTAATATTTAATTCAACAAAAATACAGTAATTTGAAGAACTCATTTGCATGTTCAAAATATATATATATAATATATATATATATATATTAGCTATAGTATATATATATATTAATATGATTAGATAAGATTCATAAATTAAAAAATATGTATATCATCCTACATATTGGAACAATATATATATTAGATAGATTATAAATTAAAATATGTATAATCATCTACATATTGGAACAATAAACATAAATCCATGTATGTAAGAAAAGGGTTCATTACAAACTTCAATATGCATGTATTTTTTTGCTGAATATATAAATTTATCTCTGAATTTTGCAACTTCAATATTATGGCACACAGTACTTTGGTGGTGACTTATTGTGCACCTGAATTTGTAAATTTTGATAATATTATACACCTTTCGGCACTAATATCAAATAACCTTTAAAGTTTTTTGCTTTTATCTGCGTATCGACTTGATATGTGGTGAGCATAACTTTTGAAACAATAATTTTCATAAATTTTAGCTTTTTAATGAGTGTTTAATCGTTCTAATTTTATAAGTTAAAATGTTCAATAAAATAAATTTGAAAATTAAAATGTTTAATATGTATAATTTTATAAGTTGAAGTGTTTGACTAGTTAAAATATAAGTTGAGAGTGTCACAAGGCTAAAGTAACAAAATTTAAAAGTGACTTTATGTATTTGACCATATATTTTGTGCAAAAATTATGAGACGAGACCTAAACAATTAAGTCATTGTTGTTCAATTAATTAAATTCCATTAAATTCTTGAAAATGCTGGAATCAAATTTAATATGTTGCAAAAATTCTAAAATGCTTCAATACCTAAAACAAAAATCTGTGTTAATGTAAACAAAATATATTTTTCCCTTCCCTAACATAAAATTAAAAGTTTGCAACCTAATTAGCTAAGCTAGCTACATATTTTCCTCAAGTATAGCACTTGGCAGTAGCAAAACTCGTGGACATATCACTAGAAGAAGAATCCCAAAGCAAATTTGGTTTCCAAGCATCACCCAAACTGAAAGGAAATCCAATCGAACGAACTGTCTGCCACTGATCATCCATATTCGTCCCATTCACATGCTTAAACGACATTGCATTAATATTCTCATTATCTCCACTAGAAGGATTATCCCACACTTGCATTACTTGTGGCAAACAACTTAATGTGAAGCTATTACTATTGCAATGGCGATCTTCTTGTAATCCTCCGAGGTCAATGCTACCACTCTCTCCAAGCACTGACGAAGACATGTTTAACAACATAGAAGAAACATCAACTGTGCATTTTGATGGAGCTATTGTACTTTCAATTGGTGAAAAGAAAAAATTCTCTCCATTGGAAATAGGTGGCTTGTAGCAGGAGTTAAATTCTAAAGGAGAGAAATTCGTTATATCATTATTGTTGTTATAGTTATAGTTCAACTGTGCAGCTGAACATGTTTGATCTGTTGTCAATGGCAGATTCATATTTTGCGAGCCTTTGGCGAGCAAAGAAGAAGAAGCAGAAATTTCTGGTATCGGAGAAATCCAAGATTGTGAAATAGCTCTTTGTGTTGTGGAGTTTGTTTTCTTGAATATTCTGCATATTGCCCATGAATCCTGAAAATCCAAAGATAAAAATATTAATTAGTATCTGTAATTTTAATATCGAAACCTTAATTAGATTAATGTGTTTTTAAGGTGACTTACATTGGCAGGAATAATAGTTTTGTCGATGAATCTTTTTGGCGGTGCAGAGTGATCAGTAAGAGAAGGCAAACGAAACTCATGCATCATCCAATCGGTTTTGATTCCTTTAGCAGCTCTGCCTTTGTAGAAAACAAGAGATTTCTTTAAGCCTATGCATTTGTTTCCTTCTGAAGAATAAATAGGTCTGTCTGTTCCCGTTGCTTTCCAGAACCCAGCTCCTGTAACCCTATTAGGCCTTGCGCTATTTCTATATTTTCTGTCCCTAGGACAGTAGAAATACCACTCTTTTTCTCCAGTCGTCGCCAACTCTGCGTCCAAAACTATAACATAAGTAATCATATATCTCAATAACAGTAAAGTTTAACCTTCATATCACATATAACAGTAATCAAGTCTTCTATGCTCATAAAACACATATAAATTGATAAGCTTAACTCAGTGTTAGTAAAGTTATATCTTAAGTAAATATGTATTTGTATATAACAATATAATTTAATTTATCTTACTTGGAAGATCCCATGGATCATATTTGTAGATGTCTAGTTGCTTGATGAGTTCGACGGAAAGTGGCCGTTGTTGAATCTTCCTCTTTAGATAAAACCCGACAAGTTCTTCATCTGTCGGATGAAACCTAAACCCTGGTAACATAACTTCATCCATTTTATCAACATGATCATTTCTCTCATGATCCATAACTTAATTAATTAATTTCCCTCTTCTTCTTTTTCAATCAACTACAAAACCCAGATATGCTGGTTTCTAGGAGAAGAAAGTGCACTAAACTATGGAGAAAACCCTAATAACAAGCAAACCCTAGAAGAAGAAGTGAAGTACTAAAAGAAAGAGAGAGAGAGAGAGAGAGAGAGAGAAAGCAAGTTGACAATGAAATAGTTTCACTTAATTTGAAGCCAATATATGCTTCCTGAGAAGGAGTCTGCCTCCGAAGGATCAGCCGCCTTTTCTGCTGACTTTAAAGAAGAGAGTGAGTGTGTGTTTTGCGAGGATCGCGTTGGCTCACAACTCATAAGCACTGTAAGTTGTAGCTCTAATGGTAATTAAGTCTCTTATTAATAGAAACTACTATCAAGAAAACCCCAAGTCAAGAAAATGGATATTTTAATTTTCTTTGAGTTCAAAGACTTGAAGACTCTTATTTCTTTCACTTTATGTACATACCTTAATGAATCCATTTGGAGTTCTTTCTTTTTCTTTGAAATAAATACAAATTGAAGAATCTCAAGAAACTACCAAATCAGCAGTTTATTGGGATACTAATTTCTTGATTAATTTTTAATATTTTTCATTAATCACATTAATCCCACGAGAGTTTTGCCCTATCCACACATCAAATCAAGACAAAGCAAAATTCTGAAAAAATAATATTATTATTATTTTTAATGTAGTCTGGTAAGTGGAGCTGAACCAATTTCCAAGAACATAAGTTCAGAAAAATATTAACTGTAAAATTGCCATGAGTCTATCTTAAGATTAATTTAGTAATTTAGTACCTCAGAATCCGAAAATCCGGTTTCTATTCCATTCCCTCAGCTTCTATTCCACTGAACTTGTCAGTTTAATTACTAATATATGTTTCTGTTAAATTTAGATACAAATACAACCAAGCAATGGTGTGATTTGATTAAGTTTAATTAGCTAAAACCCTAATAAAGGAGACCACGTGCATGCCCTATTAAGATTTAGAGCATCTGTTAATTTTGAACTCTTGTATTGTTAGTCACTGTATATTATTGACTTTGGGCTCTCTTTGACTATGGAAGAGAAAATAGGTTCCATCTTTTGCCTTTTCACAACCCAATTTTATCTTTATCCATATTGCGGTTCAACCATTAATTATTTTGTCTCTCTTTTCTTTTTTTTTCTTTCTTTTTGCAATTAACTTATGTTGAAGATTGCTCTAACGTAATAAGTATGACTTTCCTAACGTTTTCAAGGTCCAATTTACATTAAGCTATATGCTTTTATAGAAAGAGTCCGCTTGGTGAACCGTAATGAATTAAAAATCAGTATATTTCCAGTATGATATTTATATTAAAATAAAAAAAATTCTAAAATGATAAATTTTTCTTAAAATAATGTTTATACATTAATTTGGTATATTGATAGTCCCATACACTGAGAGATAAGTACTTTTCATATTAAAAATGCATTTGATTACATTCTATTATATTTCATTATCAAATTACAAAACTTCTTGGCATTAAAAACTTCCAATTAATCTTATTTCCATTGGACAGTAATCGAATGGAATCCTCAATAGGATTTGTTGATGTTCTGAAAATACAATCTGAAATATTAGAGGATAAAAGATATAAAAAAAAATTAAAAATGGTTATTTCAATAAGGTTTAATGCAGTAATATTTGTATCTAATACTATAAAATTGGGAGTTGGAATTCCTGTCCAAATCAAATAAACTGAAAAATAAAAATTAAAACCTTGGGCGTTTCTCATGTTGTAGGAATTATTGGCATATTCTGTTTTTGTTTTTTTCGCATATATTTTTCAAACTGGAAGGGTTTGAACATAGACAATTAGACAGTACGAAAATATGTGTTTAGAAATTGTTTATTAGCAAGCAAAAGTCGGGTTCCTCAGATTTTGTGGGCTTTGGAGAAAACCCCAGGTATAGGATTCTTCAATTTCTTGTTTTTGGTAATGCAAGAAACCATAAATTTCCCAAAAAATAAATAAATAACCCTAATTTCATTACGTGCAGATTTCTAAGTTCTAACATTTTCACACTTAAATTTGCCAACAATGTCTAGTGGTTGGTTAGCAAGTGAGTTAGTGAAAGTACCATGAATTAAATGGCTAGGGGTCACTGAGTCAAATGCCAAACTTGGGACTCCAAATTCAGTGAAACTCCCCAAAATCTAGCCCTCGGTTGGAACCATTTTTGTCTGTTGCTTGACCTAGGGTTTGCTACCCAAGCGTGTAACCAAAGCATTTTTTAATCCAAAAAAAAAAAAAAAAAGAAAAGAAAAAAGAAAATTGAAGGGGGAAAAAAAAAAAAAGAAAGGGTCAAACTCTTCAAATCCAAGCTTCTATTCCTCTTTCTACGTGCAACATTATAACCCTCTTGATAATTACAATAATGTAAGTTACAAGTCCACTTAAGTATTGATAAATTAATAATAATGGATTGCATTTTAATCCTTTGTGATTAATTTAAATTCAAATTCAAACATCATTCCAAAACCATTTTAAGCATATTAATATCAGTAAGTACAAAGTCAAAACATAGTTGGACTAGTTGGCAACTTGGTCTCCGTTGGACTGACTAATCATCCAAACCAAAAAATGTTGACAATTTTAGCTTTCCAATTGCTGCACATTTTTCATGGAGCCCGGCAGCCGGCAATTCTTGAAGCTCGTATTCACTCGGTGAGACGATAGTGACGGTGAACATAATTTTCTTTTCCCCAAAGGTTGATTCTAACCCAATCTCAAGTTTCTTCTAACTCATAGATGAAAGTTAGCTGGGATATTTAATCCCAACTTTGGCGTGTTTAAGTGTAATTTATGTCTTTGGATGCTTCATATCATTGATACTCGTATAAATTGTGTTCCGCAGTAACTTTTCAAGCATATTAAACGCTATTTTTTATAAGGTTCGGTTGCATAGCATTTGAACTAGCTTTTAAAGATTAAGATAACATTTTATTTTATAAAAGACTAATAAAATGTTAATTCCTGTAATGTTTAGTTTGTAGCGTTTTATGAAAAGCTAGTCAAATAGTTACTAGTTACTAAAACAACTAATTTTATTGAACAGACCGATAATCTTAGTTAGGTTCGTTGATAAGAATGAAATTATTAATAATAAGAATTAATGAAACAAGACCTGATCATGTAACCTTCCCCCGACACAATGTTGCTTTCTGTAAGAGGACACTAGCAAGCAAATATATCAACTGACTTGTTTTTACCATGTAGAGAGAAAAAAAAAAAAAAAAAAAAAAAAAAAAAAAAAAAAAAAAAAAAAAAAAAAAAAAAAAAAAAAAACACAAATGCTCTTGCTTTCTGTTAAGCAGGACACTAGCAAGCAAATATATTCAAACTGACTTGTTTTACCATGTAGAGAGAAAGAAAAAAAAAAAAAAAAAAAAAAAAAAAAAAAAAAAAAAAAAATAAAAAAAAAAAAAAAAAAAAAAAAAAAAAAAAAAAAAAAACTCAGCGGTAAAAACAGGGCAAACCCTTTTACTTTTTCAGATGTACCAAAATTTTTTAGCAACAAGAAATACAGGAAACTGCTAAAAAATGCTGAAATTGTGCTTTTCTTCCAAACTCACATAGTCCCTAAGTGGATCAGAGTTGGGACTAATCACAAATTTATGCCGGATTGCATTTATTCCTTCTGAACCAAATTTTCTCTTCATCTAAACAACTCATGAAAAAAAAAAAAAAAAAAAAAAACAGGGTAAAACAGCAAACCCTTTTAGCTTTTCAGATGTACAAAATTTTTAGCAACAGAAATACAGAATACTGCTAAAAAGCTGAAATTGTGCTTTTCTCCAAATCACATAGCTAAGAGTGACTAATCAATTTTATGCATTTATCCTTCTGAACCAATTTTCTCTTCATCTAAACAACTTGTACAAGACAAGCGAGAAAAAAAAAAGGTACATTAGGAACAAACCCTGACTTCTCAAGCTTCATCAAGTCATCGATAAAGGAACCCACTATCATGTTGCCTGCAATATTTCCTTGATATCATATCCTTGGAGCTGCGCATGTAAACAAACAGAAGAACCAAAAGATTAGTAAAACCTAAATTTGCCACCCCAATAAGATTATAAACTATTAAAAGTCAGATTTGAGGCTTTTTCAAGAACAGAAAATACTCATAAGAAGGAAAGGAAATACCTGAAGCAAGGTGAGAATAAGGATCACTCCAGAGTTCCAGAAAGCATGAATTGTAATCGAGGTTAGAAGGTTACGAGTTTGAGCATATGAAAATCCTAGAGCAACCCCTGAACAGGTAATGGAGTTCTTTTGATTTTTCCAGAAAAAGGAAAGACAAGTTTGGAATTTATCTACGGAAAGATGTATTGTTTGATGTATAGCTTAAAATATTACCAAAGGAATGCATATAGTGGTCCTACATATTTTTTGTGTAAGAATAAATAGAAAATATAGTGAGCATGTAAGCATGTTACCTAACACAAATAGCTGGGGAAACTCTCCAGGAGTTAGGTGTGCTATTGCAAAAACTGCTGCACTAATTAGGATGGCAATTGGTGTGGGTACCCTGAAGAAAAATTGAAGGAAATATGAGACTGCAAACAGAATTCTGATGGAAAAAGTTATAATGAGTCATCTTAGGAATTACTCCCAGAGAATCAAACTCAAACTGGTAAAACTATCCCAAAGATAAGGATGGATGCAAAGTTTGTAGTCATTTATCCCAGCAAAATTATGATTGCTGATTACAGAAAGTAACCATAGCATATTATTAAAATGGAAAATGACTCAAAAGAAAGACAGAAAATTCAAGAACACATAAAAAAGGAGGTCCAATGTTGAATATTATCTAAACTACTAAAGCTTGTGAAATCCTTATCCCGGCTATTTGCTATTGAATATTCCAACATTCAACTTCATGAAGTTCACAAATATTGTGTTGATCCACAACATGTTGGCTCAATCTTGACCAGCATTCTTTTGCCACCTTGCAGTACCTCTTATGACACTCATAATTAGGGTCTAGTGCCACCGATTTTAATGTCTGTCATCATCCATCCTATCATCAATTCACACGTATGTAACAGCAATGGCAGTTTAAGACATGCTACCAAGCATGTTAAACCCACAACCATCTAAATCACTTACACTCCAATTGAATTGAAATTAGCTGAAGCTTCTGCTCCATGAAGAAATTTCTACATTCTCTATATCCTTCCAATCAAAATTCAAATGATGTTTCTTAGTTTCTTATTCTCAAATAATACTTCAGGTTTTTTACAAAAAGTACAAATCACAATTTTACCCTTTGTGAATGTCGGCGTCTAACAAAAAGCTTCACCAACTCTTAAATTAACAAAGGTAATAGATCATTTTCTGATAGTAAATTTACTGTTCCTATATTGTGGAGTACAGAATTCCCCCCCCAAAGGTAATAGATCATTTTCTGATTAGTAAATTTTACTGTTCCTATATTGTCCATAATGGAACGTACAGAATATCCCCCCCCCCCCCACCCCCCCCACCCGGGGCCATAAAAAAACACACTTATTCGATTGCTCTAATAGAATTTGAGAAAAAGGTTTTTAATTCAACACTGAATGTAGCAATACTTTGTTCCAAGGAAATCAGACAGAAAAAAATTACCGATTTTGTGTATTAGAAACCACTTTGAAAAATCTCAAACAGAGTCTCCTCCAGGAATATTGGAAGCAGGACACCATTGATAACCACCAAGCAAGCAGTGCTGCAACAGCAGTCATATAATTAGTTAACTGTTGAATTTTCAAATCAATCAGAGAGAAATTATACTCATAGGGTAACTAAATTCGGTAAAAATGGCAATCCCACCACTCAAAACCAGCTTCGGTGTGCGTAGGCGGCTAGCACACGTGACGTGTCCTGAACACCCGGGCCAAAAAAAAAACACACTTATGATTGCTCTAAGAATTGAGAAAAAGGTTTTTAATCAACACTGAATAGAATACTTGTTTCCAGAAATCAGACAGAAAAATACCATTTTGTTATAGAAACCATGAAAAATCCTCGAAACAGAGTCTCCTCCAGAATTGGAGCCAGGACACCAGTGATAACCACCAAGCAAGCAGTGCTGCAACAGCAGTCTATATAATTAGTTAACTGTTGAATTTTCAAATCAATCAGAGGAATATTACTGAAGACAAACATTCAGCATTTGCTTAGGCATGTTAACACATACAAGAACGGAAAACCTTGTTACCTGGTACTCGAAGATCCAATTAATGGAAGAAGCCGAACAAGTGCATCAGTCTGCAACCATGTTGCGTAAATGTTAAGGATTACCTTTTAGAAGAAAGCACATGTAGTTTTGATATTCACCAGCATATGTCAAGCAGAATATCAACCAATTCACTTCCTTTGTTCGAGTAAGCATGGTAAACCTAATTCCTTTATTCAAGCAAGTATAAATTCTACTTCCCCCAAAAAACACAAATCCTTAGTCCACTTTATAAGGCGTATGGAATCAATTTATTAATGCTCAAAGAAGGACTGTTTAAAAGCAATATTATGGTATTACAATGAAGGAGATGTGGGAGCCTATCATTTTGAATTAAAAGTTCACCATATGGTCTTTGAAAGATGAAATAGATTACCAATTTACCCTCTCTCTGCCTTACAAGAACAAAGATAATAACTTAACTAGAAAATCAATTCCTAACCTCTCTCTGTGGAGGCTCACCATTGAATGCAGACATGGCAACTCCTGTCAATGCAACAGCAAGTAGAGCGCCCACAAGACCAATCACAGCCCATAAAAACCACCCCCTTTGTAGATCGAAGGGTTCCCTCAAATCTAAAAGAATATAATTTGGTGCTAAATTAATAAATATGAATTACTGGAGCCAATGAGGCAAAGACCATATGTTAACAAATACAAAATTGAAAGCTCAAATTCAGAAACTAGACTGTCTATTATGAGGGCATAGAAACAAGAGTATCCTTGTTGAGACTAAAGATGACGCATAAGGCAGTAATTCATCCTTAATTTGCTTAGAGTTCTCCATATAAATCAGCAAAATGGACATCAAAGAGCAAAGTACAAAGGATAAGTAGCGTGTAACATTTGAAGGATTAGTACCATAGCGAAACATATCTTCAGGAAGAGGTTGAAAGGTGTTTGTGATACCATAAAGAACTCCAAGTACAACTGCAGTTGTAATGCTGCGTAATCAATAGCTAAACAAAGTTAGACGTATCAGCAGCCTCACAAAGCTCTATCCACACTTCACAAACTATGTTAGCACCCTATCAGGCCTATCTATTAGCATACAAAGGCCCATCTTCACCATCTATAACAAATTTGCCTAAGGAACTAAAGTGTATATTTTAGTGTTAAATGACAAGAGACCAAAGAGAATTGATCCATACCTTTGATCCAATAACAGCAGCTCTGCCTTCTCATCTAAACTTAACTCCTCAATTTTAATTCCGAGAAGTGGTATGGCTGCCGTCTCTGCTAATCCTGTCAAAACAAAACTGCCTGGCGAAAAATTAATTTATTGCATAATTTCCTTAAACATGACAGCTTTTTTAGCTAAAAAATGATAACCCAATTAAAAGAGATACAAATCAGTCTTTTAGCCGTTAAATTTGGGAACCAATAACTAATTAAACAAAAACAAACCTTAATCCACAAGCAAGTGAGGTTAAAGAAGCAGTTTGCCATTGCCAAGGCACGTCCCATCTTTTAAGTATAGGCCAATCCAATCCATTTTCCTAAAAGACACATATATTATCATCTAGTTTGCAACAAATGTTACAGCTTTACAATAAGCAGCTAACATTAAATAAACTGACGCTTGTAGACCAAACCTGGCCATCAAAATTGCCATTTGATTTCTCTTTTGCACTGAAGAAGCAAACTGAACGTAGCTCTCTATAATGAACTGGGAATGACCTCGAAAAACCAAAATTTGATGATAAATTTGGTCTGTTAAGAAGAGGGCGATTTTGTTTCACAAATAAGCCGAGTGAAGATAGCTTTGCAGAATCAGAGACACAGTATAACGACGACTGAGCTAAAGAAGTGAAGATAGTTGAAACCATGATTTGGTTTCTGTTTATCGGAAGTATTTGACTCAGAAATTTCGAAATTTTAGATGTGGGTTTTTGGTTAGGGTGCGGGTGAGGCCTCGGTGACCTCTCGCTGAGTGAAGGTGCTGGAGGATAAGGCTATTGTAACTGTCCCATAGGCTCCAGTTAAAATTTTGAAACGGTATTAGTCCTTCCGTAAGAAATAGGCTCTTTTAACTAATTCAAAATACACCTCAACACAGATATTCAGTCCCCTAACCACTTCGATAAACACTTTATTGATTTCTTTTCTGTTGATTAGTGATATACGGAGAAGATACCTAACTTTCTCACTCAATTTTAAGTACACAAAATTAAAATTCCAATAAATGTAGTAATTTAAGAATAGACATCAAGATTTAAATTTCGTCAACCATAAATCTCCTTTCAAGCACCTTAAAAAAAGAACAAAAGCATTTATAAACATAATAACAGAGCTAAAATTATTACAAGTTTTAACACTAAGCAAAATTATTTTACTTTTAGGGCATAAAACCCATAACATCAAGAAACTACCTTCACTGGCTCAAATTATAAAACAACCATATTCATGGCCAATCATGCTGTTTCCACCAAGCATAATTATCATCAGAAAGATAAAACCCAGTACCTGCTACTAACCAGTAGCAAAGTCCAGTTCCTTCACAAGCTAAGCCCTCTCCATTAGGCCTAAAAACATCAATCCTTGTATCCTTTTGCCCCATTTCATGTCACAGAAGAAAAGGGTTGTCCTTAAAATATTAATTCTGAAACCAAAATGAAAATTTTCTCCAATTTTCAAATCTTCATGGATACAAGATCATCGTCTTTCGATTTGCAATGAAGTACCAATAAATCTTTGTTGGAATCTAGGCCATTGATGATATAAACACGGTAATGCAAACGAAAGCCTCGAATTTTTATTTATGTTTGTGACAATGCTAATGAACGAAATATGCAAAAATATACCAAATTAAATATTGAAGCAACAAGTTTGGCTAGAAGAACAAGTCATGGTGACCCAATGATATGTGTCTGGCTTCTCCCCTTTTTAAGCTAAATATAAAGGGTATTATTGTCTATACCCAGTTAAGGAAATCAAATCTGTGTAAATTTTACAAATTTTAAATGCAAGATTTAGCATTAGCATTTTTTAAGGTTCATGCATGTTATGCAATTATAAAAGCTTAAATGGGATCGATGGGTCAGTTCACCTAATAGAATATTTTCTGAATTAAAGTCTCAATTGATTCGTGGGCATGTTTGACCTGTATGGGCCTTCATACCCAATGTTCATATTATGAAAATCCATAGCTCAATAAAAGCTTGGTATGCCAATGAAGTCTTGATCACATGATTAAGGCATAGGCCTAGGAAGGTCCCAGGTTGAATCCATAGCTCATTTCTTAATTAACATATTCGTACAAGAGCCTTATAATATAAAATAAAAAAAAAAAAAAAAGGGAAAATTACTTACCAGATTAATTTGAGCGGAAAAATATTTAGATTTTTCAAATAATAGATTATGAATATAATGTGATGCAAATATAATTTAATTTGCCCATTCAATTAAAGACACCTAATTAAGGTAAAAAAGAAAAAAAAAAAAAAAAGGAAAAAGATTATGAAAAAATCCATAGCCTCAATAAAAGCTTAGGCTATTTGCCAATGAAGTTCTTGATCACATGATTTAAAGGCAATAGGCCTAGGAAAGGTCCCAGGTTGTAATCCAGTAGCTCATGTTCTTTAATTAACATATTCGTACAAATGAGCCTTATAATATAAAAATAAAAAAAAAAAAAAAAAAGGGAAAAATTACTTACCAGAGTTAATTTGAGCGGAACAAAATTATTTTAGAATTTTTCAAATAATAGATCCCTATTTTGAATATAAACGGCTAGTAGATGGTGATGCCTAAAAATTATAATTTAATTTGCCCATTCTAATTGTAATAAAGACACCTAATTAAGGTAAAAGATAAAAAAATTAAAAAAAAAAAAGGAAAAAGTGAAGATTCTTTATGACCCTTTTCTTCCCCTTGTTTCTTCCCTTTTAAAAAATAAAAAAATAGTTCATGGTATTGTTTAAAAAAAAAAAAAAAAAAAAAAGGAAAAAGTGAGATTCTTTATGACCTTTTCTTCCCCTGTTTCTTTCTTTAAAAAATAAAAAATAGTTCATGTATTGTTTTATACTGATTTTTCTCAGGCTTTACCAGTCAGAAGGAACCATTCATTGCATTTAAAATTATGCAATTCGGCCAATGCCCATCATGACAATGGTAGGTCATGTATCATGAGTCGTGACTTCATTGTCCCTTGACTTTAATAATTTTATTTTATGTCTAATTTTCTAGAGAAAAATTATGTTCTCCATGTATTATTTTGATTTAAAATTTTTTTAATAAAATCTTAATACATTATATTAAAAAAATAGAACTAGAATCAAAAGGCATTTTGATACATACAATTAATTAAAAAGGAACAATTAAAATTAATTAAATTATATTTTGGATAACTCAAAAGTATATGCAGAAATATATACATAATATTTACTTTTTAAAATTTAATTCGCAAGGTATTTAATTTACATTCATTTAACTGTATGCGAATTTGATTAATTCTTATTCGCATCAAATCGCTTAATAAAGCCTCACAATAGGCATTGTCTCGGTACAAATAATTCCAAATAAACGATATTTGTACTTGTAATTTTTCTTAATGGATAAAAATATCGAACCACTTCTTTCAAACACCCATTGTACGAGTCTTATTTGGCAAATCAGGAGTAGGTTAAAAGAAGTCAAATATAATTGAAAAAGTCAAAAGGGAAAAATACAAAGAAAGAGACTGTCAACTTCCACTCTATGATACTATTTTCTAATGTGTCTCAACTCTATATTCTGAAAATTTATTTGATACAATTTGTTTGAATAATTTATTGCATTCCAAATACCTATCTAAAGAAAGTGCTAAGCCTGCATTAGCTAAATAATCAAACTATGAAAACGATTAATTAAGACGTGCCACCTACTTGCCAAAAATTTCAAAACTAATTAATTCCAAGCTTGATAACTATAGAAAATGCTAATTGTTTATTTATTTATTTATCTTTTTTTTTTTTTTAATTTAGGTGTAGTGAGATTCTACTGCTAATCAATTTTCATTTAGTGTATTAAATTCATTTTTCTAATACATTAAACGACAGATTATTTGTATAAAATACTCATTTTTCTCTCATTCAACTATTACACGCGACGATTTATATAAACTATATCTATAATATTACTGAATTTTGGAATGTTAATTGTTTAATTAAGAAAGCAAAATGGAATTATTGAAATAATAAAAAATGGAAGTCCAAATACATGTCTGAAGCACTCAGATTAGATCTAAATTTAAGAATATATATTTATTAAATAAAATGACACTATCATTTCATCTGTGATTAAAATAATAAGAAATGCCATAAAAATGAAATGGGACCTTCCTTAACCGAACTTGAATCTTGTATTCTAGTGTTTATTTATGTAGGAGACAGCTAAATTAAGGCTACTTAAAACATTATACCCTTGAAAGCGAAACCTTGATCCATTCCTTGTAATGATTTTGTTGCTTTAAATATCAAAGGTTTGAGTTTGACAATATTCTAATCATTTAGTACTTTTTTTTTTTTCTTTTCGTCTTTTTTGCTCTTGCCATTGTGTCGGTGTGCCCCTTAAGTGTTACCTCAATCCCTTCCATATCTTATTGATTCATGTCTATTAATACTCTTCTTACTTCTCATCAAATAATTTAACGTGTAGCTAGGATAATTATTTTGGAGAATTAAATAAATTTTTATTATATTTTAGAGATTAAATATAATTTTTTTTATATTTTTAAGGATTGAAATGTAATTCTTTATAATTTTTTTTTTAATTCTTGGGTCGTCCGCTCCAATTTAACTCCTAAAAAATTTTATTCAACAAGAGATTAAATGATTTTTTTAATAAATTCAAGATATTATATGATGCCTACTGCCTAGTCTTATATTGGCTAATATTAAAAAAGGTCTCGAGTTGGATTTTGATTAATATTAGGTGCCCCCTTAATTATATAAATTGCAGTCTTTGTATTTGACTGGTTCATTTTATAATTTTTTTTAAAAATTTTAATGCTCTCACCATTTCACTTTCAAAGCCATGTAAGAATATCTTATTGTTTCTCATCTTAACTAGTTATTTATGAATTTGAAAATATATTAATAAGTTTTTTAATTTTATTTATATTTATTAGGTATTATTGGAAAAATTTTTAATTTTAAAAATAGGAGATCGAGTTATTTTAGCATGTACTTTTAAAAAGTCAAAATTTTTTAATTTGTATGAAAAAAAAAAATATGGCTCTGAAAGTGGATGAATGGAGAAGATAAAAAAAATAAATAAATAAAGAAAGAAAGGGAGATACAGGTATAGCTGACCATAATAATTTTGGGATATCTAGAAAGATATTTTACTCTTATGGAATGGATCAAATGGCACGTCACTGATTTTGCCGTATCAACAAATAACTAAATAAAATATTTTGCCGTATAAATTAGAAAATTAAGTTTCTTGCAAGCTCCTAGATTTAACGCCGGCTTATGGAATTAATAAAACATTAGTAAGTTACTAATTTTTTTTTCTTTTTTTTGGCTTTTGGTGCAAATTCAGTTATTAAGAGTGTGTTCACACGGAGAAATTGCAGTAATTTTTTAGAAAATTCTTTTAAAAAAACTGAAAAATAAAATTTTATATTTAAATCGGTTAGTTTTTTATTTGGAAAACTAAAAAACAGTTTTTCAAAATTTAATTAAGATTTGAAAAAAAAATTTAAGTTATTTTTTAGAATTTTTCTTCATAATAAAAGAAATATTTTTCACTTTTTTAAAATGACATTTTCATAATTAAAATTATAATATCTATAAATAATTTTTTTTTATAAAACATTTTCATTTGAAAAAATAAAAATATTTAAAAAAACAGTTTTCTTCAAAATTTAATTAAGATTTTTGAAAAAAAAATTTAAGTTTATTTTTAGAATTTTCTCTTCATAATAAAAAGAAATATTTTTTCACTTTTTTTTTTTTTTAAAATGACATTTTTTTCATAATTAAAATTATAATAAATCTATAAATAATTTTTTTTTTAATTAAAACATTTTCATTGAAAAAATAAATAATATTTAAGCTAAAATAAAAATTATACAAATGCTTTAATAAAATAAATATTATTATTTATAAATATTAATAAATAAATATTTTTATTATTATAAATATCTTATATTATTTATTTTAAAAAAATTTATAAAATGAAAAAAAATGATAGTATTCTTATAAATAAATCAAAAGTAAAATTCTCAAATTTTTACATACAAAATTTGTAAATTTATCTTATTTGTATTTCTAAATTATCTTATAACATTTTATTTATTTTAATTATAAAAATTATGAATAATGTTTATGAAGTTAAATTAAAACATGATTTTTTTATTATTATCAAGTGAACACATTTTTCAATTTTTAAGAAAATTGTTTTATTAAAAAGCAAAAAATAGAAAATGTTTAATGCAACATAAATTACTAATTGAAATTTCACAATTCAATTTTATTCTTTTGATCTAAATTTAAAAAGTAAATTATATAAAAAATTAATTTTTGAACAAATTGAATATTGTTTTAAAATTCAAGGAGCAAATTGAACTTTATTTGTTTAAATATACTTCAAACATAATTTTTTTTTTTAAGAAATTAATTTTATTATTTTCTCTTTCTTTATAACATATGAAACGGAGATTCCGAAACGGTTTCATGTCCACAACTCACAAGATTAGTTTTCAAAAGACTGAAAATGGAAATAGGGAATTCTCATTGGCGCGTGGGTCCCATCTTCCAAACACGTTATTTGTTTGTGTTAAACAACCCAAAAAACACAAAAGGAAAAAGAAATAATCGTGATAGCGTGGGCCATATTTAATTCACGGCGCGCATCGCGCACCTCCATGCATTTTAGAAAACGCGGAACCAAAATTCGAAAAATCTCCAAATTATTTTCTGAAAAGAGTCTCCAATTTGATTATTAGCTTAAATAACTTCAAAATGAATTTCAAGAATAATCTCTGTTCCCCTCTATTCTCCTTCGATTACAATTAATTTTTTAAGATCATACTGTAAATAAAAATTTTCTTTGTTTATGAATTTTTTAATTTTATATGTATATTTATAAAATTTTTTAGTATCAGCATAATTGATTAGTCTGCATTTGTAAATATTTTGTTATTAGCATAATTGATTTGCCTTTGACAAAAAAGAATAATACATACTAAAACTAATATAATTAATTTTATGATTTCCGTCCATTGAAAAATTAAGAACAAAAATAATATAAATAACATTTGTAGTAATTCATATATAATAATAATAATAATAATATTTCATGCAATATAGAGTAAATTTACTATTTAGTTCCTGATATTTCACTTCAACTATCATTTACTCCCTATATTTTGACCAAAGAATTAAATACCCTTAGCTTTTGGATTTACTCCCCATGTCCTAGAACAATAAACTTATTTCTATTTTCACACAATTTTAAGAAAAACAATAATTATTATAGTTTGAATAGTAAATTTTATTTATATTTTTATTTGATATGCGCCTCTGTTATTGTTTAACATCATATTTCCTCCGCCCTGTACAGATAGACTTGATTATATTTTTACATAGATTAAAAAATTGATATTATTTGAACAATATATTTTATCTATATTTTTAAATATATCTTTATATTAATATTAAATATTATTTTCAATAAAGATCGAATCATAAATTATTAAAAATAATGAATATATTAGAGAATTACATTTTCAAAAATAAAAGTGATGCATAATTTGGTTCCTTAATTAATAAAATTTACACTGTTTAATATAAAGATTAAATAGTTTAATAGATTCAAAAAAATTAAATTATTAAAAGAATATAAATAATTCTTTTATTGTTAAACGATCAACGAATTTTCTATTAATTATAATAGTTTGTTTTATATCTGGTCTAATGAGTTTTGTGATACTTGATTTTATTATTAACGAATTATATTTCTCAAAAAAGTATTTTAAAAAAAGTTATTAAGTTAAAAAATATCAAAATAAAGACCAAATAATAATTATAGTCAAAATTTAGGACTAACTAATAATTTACCTTATATAAATAAATAGCAAAATAATTGAAAAATGAAAATGATAAATATTATGGATGGGAGAGAGAAACAGAAGACGTGTTTCACTCTTTTGTGGATTTATATTGCTTCCGTTGTTCGACGTACCGCAGTGGGAGCAACAACACACCCTCTGGAACTCTGAATTTCTTTTCTTTTATATATATCTTTTTTAGAAAGTAAATAATAATAATAATAATAAAATAGGCGATCAGAGCCAAGGTTTTCTGCGATTTATTTACACGGCGCGTTAGCATTGGATCTCTGAGATCTCCACTAAGAAGTATCTCTCCACATACATACAGCTTCGTCATTGTTTTTCTGTGTATAACTTGAGTGAAGCTACTCAACTGGAACCACTTCCTGTTCTTTTGGCCATTCTTTTTCTCTGATTGGATTAGATCTTTTCACCCCCCTTTGCTTCATGCGATTGGTAAGCTATTTGATTCTTTAATATTCTTTTCCTTCACGCTACTCTAACTTTGCCTTTGTTGTTCTTTCCAAATTTTCTCGTCTGATTTTATATTTTAGCTTCACTGGAAGTTTGTTTCCTTTCATTTCTTTTTGTTGGGTTAGATCAGTCGGTATTTGTTTATTTATTTCTTATTTTTGTTATTTGGTGCGGGTTTGAGATTAGATTTGGATTGGATCCGTGGCAAAATTTTAAATTAGTTGCTTAAAGTTCACATTTTTTTTTTTTTTTGGAAAAAGATAAATGAGGTTCCTTCCTTTTTTGTTGGGTAGCTTACAGAATAGAGTTAAATGACAGATTTACCTTCGAATTAATGAATTAACACAAAGTAATGCCATTATACTCCCTTTGAGGGTACTCTGCAGATTTATTCTATACTGCATAAATTTTTAGCTTGATTTTAGTTTCTGGTACTTGCATCTTGTATACATGTCAAAGAAAGTGAGTATAAACAAGGAGTTGATTTATTTATATTTTGTTTCTTTTAGATGAGTTTGCTTTCTTTTGTTTGTATGGTTCTTTTAGATGTTGAACCATATATAGCATGGCATGTGTCTTTGGTGGAAGAGATATTACTTGCTTAAAAGTGGGTTTGGACTTTAATTTAGCTCTATATATATGTAATACTTGGCTACTTGTGGATCTAGTCAGCCTTGGATATGTTTTCTTATTTTTGAGTGGATTTCATGCTGAATCAGTCTGTAACTGTTTTTCAGGGTTCTGATGGCATTGAAAACTAATTCAGCTGACAGTAGAACTAGAAGTTCTATACAAATTTTTATTGTAGTTGGGCTATGCTGTTTCTTCTATATACTAGGCGCATGGCAGAGGAGTGGATTTGGGAAGGCAGACAATCTTGCTATGGAGATCACTAAGAATACGGGAGACTGTAATTTAATCCCTAGTCTAAATTTTGAGACCCATCATGGTGGTGAAATTGAGAGCATCAATGATTCTGAATCGAAACCAAAAGTGTTTAAACCTTGTAAACCTCGCTACACCGACTACACGCCATGCCAAGATCAGAGGCGTGCTATGACTTTCCCTAGGGAAAACATGATTTATAGAGAGAGGCATTGCCCTCCAGAGGGAGAAAAGTTACATTGCCTAATTCCTGCACCCAAAGGTTATGTGACTCCATTTCCTTGGCCTAAGAGTCGTGACTATGTACCATTTGCTAATGCGCCATATAAGAGCTTGACAGTTGAGAAGGCCATTCAAAATTGGGTCCAGTATGAGGGTAATGTATTTAGGTTTCCAGGTGGAGGAACACAGTTTCCACAAGGGGCAGATAAGTATATTGATCAACTAGCTTCTGTGATACCAATTGCTAATGGGACAGTCAGAACTGCGCTGGACACTGGTTGTGGGGTATGTTATATTCCTGAATTTTTTTTAGTCTCATGTTACTTCTGTTTGATAATGTGAATCTGTCAATAGACCATGTGCATTTGGTTGTCTTACGTAGGTTGCCAGTTGGGGTGCATACCTTTGGAGTAGAAATGTTATTGCTATGTCATTTGCACCAAGAGATTCGCATGAAGCACAAGTTCAATTTGCTTTGGAAAGAGGTGTACCTGCTGTTATTGGTGTTCTTGGTACTGTAAAGATGCCTTACCCTTCTAGGGCCTTTGACATGGCTCACTGCTCTCGTTGCTTGATTCCATGGGGATCAAATGGTGAGACTTTATTCATATAAATAATTTGCTTGTTTTTTCTTCTTCTTTTGTCCTTTCTCTTGTTATTTTACTTTCGTAAGTTGTGATAGCTGTAGTTACATGATGGATTTTCTCTTGTAGATGGAACATATATGATAGAAGTTGACCGAGTTCTTAGACCTGGTGGTTACTGGGTGCTTTCGGGACCTCCGATCAATTGGAAGAATAATTACAAAGCATGGCAGCGTCCCAAGGAGGAACTTGAGGAGGAACAGCGAAAGATTGAAGAGATTGCTAAACTTCTTTGCTGGGAAAAGAAGTATGAGAAGGGTGAAATGGCCATATGGCAAAAGAGAGTAAATGCAGAATCCTGTCCTAGTAGACAAGATGATTCTCAAGTTACCTTTTGCAAATCGACAGACCCAAATGATGTGTGGTATGAATCTGTGAAAATTCAGTTAAATTTATTGTTTATATTGGATCTGCCATTGTGCTTGGAGTGAGATCATCATTCTTTATATTCCAAATTCTCATCAATTGAACATCGTCAAGTTTTATCTTAAGATGTCTGTTTATTTGTTGTTGCTGATAGGTACAAGAAAATGGAGACATGCATAACTCCATACCCTGAGGTCAGCAGTCGTGATGAGGTTGCTGGTGGGGAATTGAAGGCATTTCCGGAAAGGCTTTATGCTATTCCTCCCAGAGTTGCCAGCGGTTCTATTCCTGGAGTTTCTGTTGAGACATACCAGGAGGACAACAATAAATGGAAGAAGCATGTGAAGGCTTACAAGAAAATCAATAAGCTTATTGACTCTGGAAGGTACCGCAACATTATGGATATGAATGCTGGATTGGGAGGATTTGCTGCTGCACTTGAGTCTCCCAAATTATGGGTTATGAATGTTGTGCCCACCATAGCTGATAAAAGTACATTGGGTGTCATATATGAGAGAGGATTGATTGGAATATATCATGATTGGTAAGCTATTTTGAAGTTCCTTGTCTATTAATTTTCATCACAGTTTCTTTAATTTGTATATTTTAGTGAATTGAGTTTCTATTTTTGTATCTGTTTTGTTTCAGGTGTGAAGCTTTCTCCACGTACCCGAGGACATACGACCTTATTCATGCCAATGGTGTTTTCAGTTTGTACAAGGACAAGTAAGCTTTTGCATTTGTTTTTTATTTGGTTACAAGTTTTTGCTATTTCTGTCTTTAGTTTAGTTCATGAGTACAATTTTGATCTATTCTATTGGCATACTCAAAGTACAAGTAGAAATGGCACAATGGATCCATATATACAAATCAGATGGATTCCATTTGTTGATTGCAACTAGTGCCTCTATGTTGAAATAGCCAGCCCTTCTACAACACAGTAGAATAGTTGAATTATGTGATTTAGGTGACAAAATCACATAATGGGAATGGACGGAAGAGTGGATATATATGTTCCCATCCCTTGAAATCCCCGAGATGGGAGGATCTTGAGAGCTTCTGGATTTAAAATTTTTATTTACTTTCTCCTCATTTTAAGAATCCTTTTCTTCTCTAGAAAATACAAGGATGATCTGTTGTTATTTTGTTTTTATTTTCTTCTCTACCATTGGGCTAAGTTTTTGCTACTACTCTACTTCAGACCAGACTGACATTTTTCTTTTGGTGTCGTCCAAGTTTTCTACCAGTCTAATATAACACCTTTTACTTGGAATGTAATCAGCCTCAATTCCATACAATAATTCTGCATGCAGTGCCTTTATTTTTTGAATGACTTTTGCACAAAGCATTATTTTTGCATGCAATTATAAATTCATGATGTAAACAAGTGAATGCAGATGTAACACAGAGGACATTCTTCTTGAGATGGATCGAATTTTGCGACCAGAAGGCGCAGTTATATTCCGGGATGAGGTTGATGTGCTAATCAAGGTGAGGAAGATAGTAGGAGGAATGAGGTGGGATACTAAAATGGTGGACCATGAAGATGGTCCTCTGGTTCCTGAGAAGATACTCGTTGCCGTCAAACAGTACTGGGTTGCAGACGGAAACTCCACATCATCGGAGTGAAGAGTTAATGCGGAAAAAAGGTGAAAGCTTTGGGGGGATGTCTGCCGAGCTGTTAAGCTGGCAATGTAATGTTATAGGAGGTCTGACATGAACACTGATGCATTTGAGAGCAATCTTTAGCATAGAAAGAGAAGGTCTATTATTTGACAATGCTATTTTGTAGTCATAATTTATAAATAGATGTATGCCTGTATGATTTATGACAGCAATCAATTATTTTTTTGGTCCACCTCTTTTGTCATTAACGTTAAACTTATAGCTGGTATTTTGATCGAGGTAATACCAATTTGGTTTTATAACCAAAGATATTCTGTAGTCATAATTTATAAATAGATGTATGCCTGTATGATTTATGACAGCAATCAATTATTTTTTTGGTCCACCTCTTTTGTCATTCTAACGTTAAACTTATAGCTGGTATTTTGATCGAGGTAATACCAATTTGGTTTTATAGCCAAGGATATGGTTATTTGTCCTAGTAGTAGTAATGGTATATTTAGTCAAGTGATATCAGGTAAATTTTGTGTGGACTCTATATCTTGATTGCTCTCATAAACCAACAATGGCTATTGGCTTGATTGTGATGGAACAATACCTGGTGGATTTGTATCCTTTCCTATTATCCCTTTAGATTGTAGAATAAAAATATCTTTTTGCTCTTTCAGCAAAGTGTGCTTTTTAAGAGATGAATTTACATTCTCATTCATATGAGAATTGAGGTCGTTTGCTGCTTTAACCATAAGGGAGGTCGCCGCCCCAATTAAAATTGATGTCGCTTACTATTCAGTTTGAAATTCAATCACCTTTATGTTTTATATTTTTATAAAATATATCAAAATATTAGATAAGTCATCCTCTAAAATTTCTCTAGAAATTAATGAGATTGATGTAACATTAGTACTTAAGGATTCTTTAACAAATTATTAATATCCTTCTTACTACAAGTTCTTAACAACCAGATTGGATAGGAATGGGAACACCAGAAGAAAATGCATCTTTTTCTTATTTTTATCACAAGCCTTCACCTTTCATTCTTGGATGATGGATTATTAGTGATTCAACATAAACAACCTTAACAAAATCACTTTAATTTGTCTCTTATCGAATTTTTTTTTTTTTAATTTATCAGTATTATGCAAATGAAGGGCATGACCTATTTAATAAGACGGACAAATGTCAAAATTTAAAATTTTAATTTTATGAATTCGGACACAATGGTGACCTTGTGGACTAAGTAAGGCTATTGGAGGCGAGAATAGCATGTTGGATGATATATGAACCAAGAATATGAGAGGAGAGACTCGGCATAATGCTCTCCGCCACCCCAGGGCCAATATGCGGGACAAGCCCTAGTGAGTTAAGATGCGGGCATCATGTTCTATCAAAAGTGACTGATGTCTCCATAGAGAATGAGCTCTATGGACACCATAGGGCCGAAGGCCTATAGTGCGCATCTCTCCTGGAGTGGGAGTTTCGATACAGGCGGGTCTATACTGTCCAGGATGCTCAAAGGTCTTGAGCCCGTACACGGTTGTGCGGAATCCTTATATATGCATTGTAAGATGAGTTCTACAATTGGATGTTATGTAAATTGGATGTTATGTAAAGACCTTCAGAATATGCATGGCTAAATTATTGCTTATATGGCATGTTTGAGATCTAATATAATGGTCATTTTCCTATTTCAATTACATCTAACCAGGCTTCTAAAATGAAAAATGAAATTAATTATCTAAAAAATTAACTAAGGACCTCATTAAAATTAAGATTGTCTGTTTGATGGTGTAACAAGTGTTATGACAGTGTGTATAATGCAGACTTTGAAGGTTAAAGAAATATATCATCAAGATATGATAAAATCTAAGAAATCTTGAACAACTCCGAAAATTTCCATTTTATATGACCTTTAAATTTGAGAGATTAAAAAACAAAAAGTATATTCTTTAAATGACACCTGTTCATATACATATAACTGTTTATGAACGGAAATAACTACTTGTGAATACTGAACAGACATGATCAATGATTCATGAATAGTTATGACAGTTTATAAACATACATGATTTTTCATAATTTTTATTTTCCTCCATTTTTTCTTAAAGTTCCAAATTATCAATCTAAAAACAAACACGACTGTTCCAGAACACACATAATTTTGACAATTCATAAACAGATATCACTTTTCATAGTTTTATAAAGTGTACGAATAAATTTATTCATTTGAACCCAAACGAAACAATTAATAATAATGTTTTTATTTATCAGTCTGAAATGGAAAAAATATTTTTATTTCTACAAACTGAATTGACCAATCTGAGATTTCTTGCAATATGATTCCCTCTATGGTTATTAAGAGTGAGCCAAAATGGATCGACATAATGTCTCAGATCATCCGATCAAATTGGTCCTTTACTTGTCGATAGCCTTGGCAAAATCAACATGTCAACTGAAACTTTCTTACAAAAATATAAAATAATCCAATTTTTTTTTATCTAGAAACGTTGTATCCACAAAATATATGTAAATAGACACCCCCCCCCCCCCGTCATAGCCTGGCAAATCAACATGTCAACTGAAACTTTCTTACAAAAAATATAAAATAGATCCAATTTTTTTTATCTTAGAAAGTTGTAATCCACAAAATATTATGTAAATTATTCAGGACACCCGCCCCACCCCCCCCCCCCCACAAAAAAAAAGAAAAAAAAAAAAAAAAAAGAAAAAAAAAAATCTGATGTAAGCACTGTTGTATGCAAGCGATAAACAAAGACGCAACGTTCCACGGTGGCATGTTATAAATTAGTTAGGGGAAGTACGGTCTATATACTGGTCGTAGAATCAATTTGTACCAATAAAGTAAAATATTAGTTCAAAAAAAACTAAAAAAAGGAAATAATGTTTTTTTTTTTTTTTTTTTTGTATATATTTTTTTTTTTTTTTTTTTGTAATATTTATTTTGCATTCTATTTGAAGTTCGTCTCTCCAAATCAGTAAGAAAAAAAATACCATTTACATTAAGACTGAAATTCAAATTTCAAACCCATTTTTAACAACCTGGAGAGGAACCTTATATGGGAGAAATTTAACAGTGTGTCAGTTAGGTTAGAAGCATATGGACCTACTACTTCTTGACATCTTCTACTCCACTTGCCTACTTATAGCAGGAGCTAATTTTCTCAATAAGACAACCAACAAAACATAACACAAACACTTTCTTCCTCTCCATTCACTTCTTTCTCCTGAACTAATTTCAGCCTTTGATTTTGCTTCACAAATCCTCCATGTTTAGTTTCTTTCAGTTTGGTAGATAAAGGGACCTCATAAATCTAGCATTCTTTCTCTTTGTTAAGTTCAAATCCAAAATTCTTCTTGTCTATCCCCCATCAGGATCTTTCACAACTTTGGTCATTTCTCTTTTGTTTTAGTTACTTCCAAATTCTTTTCTGTAAAGTCCTTTTCTTTTTATATTCCATTTCATGGTTATGGCAGCCTCATCAAACACTAGCCTGAAACAAAATTTATCATCAGAAATCAACAGTAACAACAATCTTCGAAATGTTTCATTCTCTTCCTACTTGAGCAACGCGGAGGAAACCTTTGTGGATGAACTTGCAGAATCGAATAAGAAACTAATAGGTCAAGCTTTGGAAGGGATTCATTTTTCATCATCAGGAAGAAAGAAAGTAGCTGAAGATGGAGAAATTGGAGTATTTAGTGCAGAGAAATACTTCAATGGAGTAATAGATGAGGATAGTCCAAGAATTACAAAAATAATTCCAAGAAAGTATCAGCAGCCTAAAAAAGAAGAAATAAGTAATGATCATATAGTTCCTGCAAAACCCGCAGTAAATATTCAACCTGCAACGCCAAAAGTGAATATTCAACCTGCAACGCCAAGTGTTGTATCTGAGTCGAGCAGGCATAGCCAAACTGCGCTGTTGCACAACTTTGTCCAAAGAAAGACATCCTCAAGAAAAGCAAACAAAAGCGGTAGGAATTTTCTTGCTGGTCTTGGCTGCAAATGTTATTGTTCCGATAAAGATTCTATTGATGTTGATGATGAACATGTTGGCGAAATCAGTTTCAAGAAAAGTCCTAATCCTGCTGCTTTGTTTCAAGGCAAGTCAGTAATCACAAAACCAGTGATTAAAACTAGTCTTGACGAACTTGATCAGACATCACTCTCAGACGAAATTCATTCCAAGAATGGAATAAAAAAGGATACCTGTTTTAGTTTCCCAACTTCAACTACTTCAAATAATTCTTTCTCATCAGTAAGATTTCAAATTCAGGAAAAACAAGTACTAAAACCGCGAAAATCACTAGAAGTCTTTGGATCTCCAGTAAATGACGACAAGCGAAGCAAATCTTTCAGAATTGAAAGAAGATTATCAATGTTATCGTGGGATACAACAAAGAATCCAAAAATGGAAGAAATAGACTATTCTGCTACTTCAGGCGGTGGAATTTACAATGACAATGAAAGCGATGCAAGTTCAGACTTGTTTGAAATCGAAAGTCTCTCCGGAAAAGTCACACCATATCTTGCAAGACAAAAATCAGATGTCACTTCTGGTTGTGTTACCCCTACAACTTGCTATGCACCAAGTGAGGCTAGCATTGAATGGAGTGTTGTCACTGCAAGTGCTGCAGATTTTTCTGCTATGTCAGATTATGAAGAATTTAGGCCTCCACCGGGTCCATTAAGTCCTATCAAAACTTTTGCTATAAATAATAACTTAAACACAAGATTTCTATCTAGCAAGGAAATCATTCCAACGTGCCGCCCTGGCATTTTCTTGGGGTGTAATAGTCATAAAGCTGTAAGAGTTGCAGGTGATGGTTACACACCAAATGACAAGACCAATTTTGATCCTCGAGTAATGCATTCCTACATGCCAGTCGCAAAGTGTCCTGCTGAAACTAAGTTATTGATGGGCTTTGATCACAGACAAAGGCAACATGGCTTTACCAGCTCTCATTCACTCCCTCGCTCACACCCATCGCAAAGTTCGCATCTTTTGTACATTCAATAATTAATTCTACCTTTAATTTCCCAATGTCAGTTAATTTCAGTTATGTGTTCTTTGTTTTGTGAAATAAAGCTAGCTAGTACTGGTAGTTATCAGCATTTTACACTTTCAGTTCTAGCGTGTAAGTTTCTAAGGAAATTAAAAGCGTGTTTCGGGATCTATGAGTATTTTGCTGTGTTATTGGTACTAAATTTTGTAAACATTAATGTTTTTGTCTTTTTAGTTTTTACTACTTTTGATAAAATTTCCTTTTGCTATCCTCATTTACTAATTCTTCGAAGACTCGATACTCGTATTTTTTTATCTTGTTCTGTATTAGCATAACCCTGACGACCATAACAAATCTATTGATTATTAAACTGAAGAGCTAATACCTGCATTAAATTTACAACTAATGAACACATATTGGAAGATTTTTCAGAGGTCATGAAAAAAAAAAAAAAAAAAAAGGAAAAAAAAAAATTTTCAGAGGTCATGGAAAAAAAAAAAAAAAAGAAAGGAAAAAAAGAAATACCAAGAGAAAAAAAAAAAAAAAAAGAAAGGAAAAAAAAAAATACCAAGAGAACAACACTTTTTAATTTCCCTTTTAAGCTTTACGTATATAGATCAACAACAATCTAGGTCTCTGAATACTTGCATACACCATTTAAGAACTATAGGCCCCAGAAAGAGGGATAGATGCTATCTTTTCCAGAATGAAAATAAGCTTGATTTCAGTGCAGTAATTCATGCAAGGTGATCCAGAATGTGCACTAAAATGACATACTTAAATTTGTGACTTGCCTCTATGTGTTTATGAGGAAATGTAGGCTTCTCCAATCAATATCTGCAACCACCATATTAATGAGGTGGCCCATAATTCTATACCGTCCTTTCATCTTATAGTAGTTCACCTTTGTATTTACTCATAGATGCCCAGACAAGATTTTCAGTTTGGTCCATCAGAGATACAATATCATGCCAAATTGCATGTAGTTGCCTGCCTCTGCAACCCTTAACTCCAGCTTTATTCTTTCGTTTCTTTTCTGAATTTCTGATAATAATATCTATAAAAAAGAAGATTATATGTTTGAACTTATTGAGTGGTAAGCATTGTTTGAGATGATGAGGCATACAAATCTGAAATTAATGAGATGCTTTTCAGAGACATTCTCTTTTTCTTAGACAGAAGATGATAATAATTGTGTAGCTTGCCATGTGCATGATGGGGTACAAAGGATGAGCAGAGGTAGATGAACAATAAATGCAAAATTTAGAGGTATTCTTCATTGACATTTCAACCAAGGAAATGAATATTTTCTAGCCGGAAGAAGCTCATTTGTGGCAGCCAAAAGTAGATTACTTTTGGTACTTTTGGTATGCCATAAACTTTTTTTAAAAAGTCAATTTGAGGATTTGAATTGCTAATCTCCTATTATATCAGAAAAGAAATTAATGTTTCTAACAACTATAAATGGTGTCAAGTGTAATATATTTGAATGTTTGATTTCTTTAATAGATTGAAGAGAGAGTGAAATTTTAAATTTTAAAATTTTCATTCTATCTTTAATATAATAAATGACAAATCAACAATGGATGTGATGGTACAAATCTTAAAGTGCAGGCGAGGAACCCTGTATAAAAGGAGAAAATCATTGAATTCACTTGATGATAAAATTAGGTCAAATTTGAATAAGTCACACTTAAGATTAAATTAAATTAAAACATCTTAATTAGAAGCAAATTAAGTCAAATTTAATTCACACTTGAGATATAAATTCTATTAATAAACTCTAATTAAAAATTAAATTAAATTATATTTAATAAGTCACATTTGATCAGACTTTGAATTAAACTAAATTAAACTTTTTTCCAACATTCGCATTAAAATTCACTACACAAGCACTAATTACCCTGAATGTTTTAGATCAAATTCTATCCTCAATTGAGGTTACATGAAAGAAGAAAGAACCTCTTCCTCCATTTTGTTTTCAAAGTGCTAAAAATTGCTTAATTGAACAATTGATTGTCTCAATATTTATAGGCAAAAATTTGTCACTCACTGCGCCTTGGGCTAAAGGATAAGTGATCTGCTTTGAGTATTGTGCTTTCCTGTCACGGACCACCTGTGAGAGAGACAGAGATAGAGGCAGGCATTTAAGGCCCTCAGGTTAGGTTACTTACGTGGAGAGGAAAATGGAAATGAGCCTCCATGGAGCTTTAATGTCTGATAAAAACTGAAGGTGAGTTTGATAGAAGAAAAAGTTATGTAAAGTCTTCAGAAGCCGCCTATCATTTTCCAGGTCCATCATAGGTATGTTGGTTTCTAATAATTGGACCAGTGGTACTGAACATGTCCTTGTTGGGATTCTGCACTTTGAGCGCATTCTAATGGTTTGCAAATTGGGAATTGTTGAGATGGCGATCCATGATGATTGACCTGAAAGCTGTAAAAAACCACTTGGAAGAGAGTCCTTTCTTTACTAAAAATATTACCTTAAAAATGAGATTATGCTTCTTTTGATACAATAGAAATTAAGGGAATGACCTACTATGATGTAAGCTTCTGATCTCTTATTGTACAAGACAAATACTTGACCTCTACTTACAACTACTTCCATGGCAAAAAGTCATTAATTGTAATAAATTCCATCCTCCATTCTTTTCTTCCAGTCAAAGTGATGAAAGAAACTTACACTTTGTTTGGTTAGAAGCGAAGGAGGGATACATAAAACGAATGAGAGGTAACTAAAATATATATTCCGTTTGGAAAGGGGTGAGCTAAAGAAGGACGAGGGTAAATAAGAGTAAGACTTACCCTTCTTTACTTCTCAAATCTCAAATTTTATTACACCCCAATTTGGGCCGTAAGAAAGGAGAGGCAGGTAAGTATTTTTGTACTATATTTAATTATTTATCCCTCTTTTTGCCTTTCCATTGGTTTAACCCTTTCCAAATTCCAAACATCAATAAAATTCAACCCTTTCTAAACATCAACTTAATTTTATTGTAACTCCTCTTACCCTTCCCCTTATGTTAATTACCCTTCCCTCACCCCATCCAAACAGAGTGTTAGTTTCTGCATTTCAAGATTTTTCAAAATAATAGCACCCAGAAACACTAGATATAGTAACAGTAATTTTGTAGGCACAGCAATGCAAGGTCAATGAAATATAAAGCATCCAAGGATTTTGTCCTTTGAAAGTCCAATATGGCTGCCCTGCATATTGCTTAGGCGGCCCGCATACATCTTTTGAACAACACATCTGAGATATTGATAAGGTCGATCCTTCCAGTTACAATAGTCAGGAATCTCTTTTAACTCCTAGGCCATACAAAACTAGCATAGAGGATATTGATTATCATCAAGCCTGCTCTCCTACTTTTATGTTCTAGCTTAGTCGTAAGGCTTTATCAAATTGAGATAAAAATAAAAGACATGTATGCCAAACAATCCACCGTAAGAGCTCGATTTATATAAAACAGTAGAAACATAATCCACTGCCAAAATTTATATGGATACATCCTCTTTCATGTTAAAGATATAAACAAAGAACGAATAAAGCACAACAACTTATGTATATACAAACCACGAAAGTAAAGTTAATTAATACAGGGAAAAAAATAGTGGTGATACATTGTTGCAACAGTGTGCCTTCATCAGGCAACATCTAATCGTCTTTGCACTCTTTAGTAGGTCGTACTTCAAAGCCACCGCCTTCTTTCTTCTCAAGTGAATAAGGCATATAAGTTCCAAGGATTCTATCCCACATAACAAAGAATGGCTGTGAAAAGTTGTATTTGCTACCGTACAGTTGATGATGAACATCATGGTAAGCAGTATTGTTTTTAAAGAACACGTGGAAGAGATTCCCAGGAAGCCATAACCCACAATGGTCATCCACTGTTTTAATGGTAGCAAAGGAGAAAAAGAAAATGGAGGATCTAGGAGACATGCCTGACATGAGAAAAGATAAAGCCCCACCGATTGTGTCAAGCAGAAGCCCCTCTAGTGGATGATTGTATAGAGCCCCAAATGCATATGGGACAACAAGCCGATGATGTTGAGAATGAATATGCTTATACAGAAATTTGTTGTGATGCATGTATCTATGCATGAAATACTGCCAAGTATCCATAACCAACATTGCTGTAACAAATTGTCTTGCTAGAACAATTAAGGAAGGCTGTGGATATGTATCAGCTTGAGAATCATTTCCAGTTACCTATAGAAAAGACAAGATCCCATCATAAACTAGTAATTCACATAGCATCTAAAATTAAGGACAAGCTCACCCAAAAAAGAGAAACAAAAAAAAAAAAAAAAGAAAAATGATAAAGTTTAACTCATATAAATGAAAACAGTTTCTAAGCACCCCACATCCAACAAATTCCAATTGAAAAAATAAAAAAACAAGTTACAAAAAAATCTAATTCCAGATGGAGATAAGCGCTTTGACTTGCAAACTTACACCTCATTAAAAATCAAGAACTGCATCATAGTCATACTCAAGATACAGATTCTATTCTCCCATTTTGGCATAATAGATAACCAAAACCATTATTCATAACTGCTCAACCTTAATATTTCCTCAAGCTTCAAACCCAAACAACAGCCATATAAAGTCTTGCGAACTTTTCTTTCTGTACAAATTTGTTTAGATTTTATATTTTACTTCATTTATCTTCTTCAGTGCTATGTGGTAAAGAAGAAACTGTTCAGTGCTATTAACTGATAATATATCCATCTAACAGAATAATTTATGGGATACGCATCAATAAACTTCCTGATAGCAAAAACCTAGAACAGACATGTCTTTTATCACTTATCACTATCTGCCTCTCCTTGTATTAACTATTGACGGGTTCATGAAAAAAATTAGTCTCCAATCGTTTAACAGAACACAACCCATGCAGAAATAACAGAATATTGACTTCATTCATCCAATTTAGACAGATTTCCAGAAGACATAAATAGTAAAGTACTATCAGAACAAAATTATAGACTGCAGTCTGTTATTAGAAAGTCAAAATTTAAACACAGAAAAAAAAAAAAAAAAAAAAAAAAAAAAAAAAAAAAACAAAATTATAGACCTGCAGTGCTGTTATTAGAAATCAAAATTAAAAAAACACAGAAAAAAAAAAAAAAAAAAAAAAAAAAAAAAAAAAAAGAAAGACATGTTTTTGGTAAATGTCAAGAAAGTTTCTGAAAAAAAAAAAAAAAAAAAAAAAAAAAAAAAAAAAAAGAAAGACATGTTTTTGGTAATTCAGAAGTTTCTGAATTCAAAAGTGAAAGCCGACAAACAGAATTAGAAACAACTACGATCATCCAATTCCACAAAAAGATAAAGATAGAAGAAATATATACGTATCAAAATCAAATCGATCAGACCCAAAATTAAAATTACAAAATATATATAAAAACATACCGTAAACAAGAGAATAGCAACAACAGCTTGGATAGACTGCTGGAGAAGAACGCCCTTGAAAACAGTGGATTTAGAGACTAAATTTTTCTCATCCTCGTCTTGTTTGGTATGCAATCTATAATTATCAAAAAATCCTAAAAGAATATATAGTCCCGAATAAACCCAGTAAACAACGATTGGAGCAAAAGTACCCAATAATTCATCAGAAATTTGAAAACCCATGTTAGAAAATAACATCAATCAATAATAATACTCAAAGCATAAGACAGCAACGAACCCCAAGAAGCTAGCTAGATGGGGAAAGTTAATAGTTTTTCTTTGATAATAGTGATGAGTGATGATCACCGTTACTATATAAATAATAAGAACATGAGCTGTTGTTACGAAAGATTTGGGTCACATTATTGCAATTAGGGCTTGAATAGGAGAAGAAGATTCCATTCGAGTCGTTGGAATCGACGAGGAGAAAGAGAGAGGAAAGGAGGTGAATTTGGCTTTGGATAGAGACTAATAATAATAATAATAATAACAAAATACTAGTAAAAAGAAAAATCAAGCCCACAACTCGGGGATGGTGGTTTGTTTTATTTCCTGTGTGTTTGGTCAAAACGACATCGACTCTGACTAAGAACTGAAAGGAAAGGTTAGCGTAAGCGCGTGTTTGATTTTTACAAGGCCTTGTCATCGAGCTTAAGTGGACTAAAAGACAAAATGATGAATTTAATTTAATATAAATATTTTTTTTATTAATTTAGCTTAATTTTACTTTATGTAGAATCATGCAACAAACAAATCACTGAAAATTAATTATGCTTTGACAAGAGACGATTATTTATTTTAAAATTTAACAAGAAAATTCTTTTTCACTGGCCAATCTGGCAATGAATTAGCAAAGAAAAAAATCTTATGATTTTATATATATTTTTTTTAGAGGTTTAAAATCTGGAGTATTATATGCTTGATGCATGTGATTGCACATCAGATTGAACCGCCCCGCTCATTCTCAACAGACAAAGAAAACCTCCACCTAGCTGTTTTAGGAATCTTGAAATACTTTATTAATAGTTCAATTATCAAGTATTTGTGTTGAAAATATTGTATGGTGAGATACCCTTTCAAGAGTAGAATGCATTAAATTTAGACATGTTTATATGGGATTTATATAGAATTTGATGCTTGTGAAATAAAATTTACTTAACAGATTTGAAAAAACTATAATTAAATGAATAACATTAGCTGCCAATATGTACAGTTTCAATTGTTATAAAACAGGCATTCTCCTTATACGGCAAATGTTTCTGTGAGAGCATCAGCAAAATAAACAAAAAAACCAAATTTGGAGCAATTTTCTTCCTCTTCCTTCCCATTTAAACTTCCAGAAAAATTGGACTAAACAACCATAGTATAGCAAAAATGGCCTTATATGTCTTTCACAGAGCTTCCAACCCTGCAGTCTCAGGAACTTCTTTGAAAAAGTTAAGGCGAGTTTGTCTGGTTTGCTTACAAGGACCTGAGGAGACAGACAAGTACCAGTTAAATTGGCCTCCTTTGATTGCAATGCATCAGAATAAATAAAAGGTGAAAATCTCAGTTAACCTTTTGATTTGCTCTTTGCATTGGATGATAAGACAGAAGACTTCCACTCCTGATAAGCAACTTTCTCCGCTGTTTTGCGCTTCTTGTAACTTGAAAGCTGCAGCATTTTATGTAATTAGCAATTTTAAAGGACAGTGAAAAACTAGAATTTGCAAATTAGTATTAACTGAGTAGTTCAGCATTAGCAGAATTGATGAAAGCAAGTGACAAGTGATGGCTCTTCATGTTACTTGAAAGCTAAATCAATAGATATCTGATTTTGGACTGTGTAAAAAGGTCCTACCAAACTGTCTAACAGGCATGTCATGTCTTTCCAAATAGAATCTCAAAGCTAAGCAGATAAAGAATAAGAGACAGAGAATAGCTGCAGTAGTACCTCTGCTCCATCATCAGATAAATAACCACCATCTTCAAATTTTCTTTTCTCAGGTAAAACATCCAGCAGTTCTGCAACCAGAAAATTGGGGTAAAAATCTTGAACAAGTGAAATACTTTTTCAACTAAAACCATTAACCTTCAAGTCATTACTCTCCAGTTCAATGATATCAAAAATTGAGAAATTGGAAACAAAAACAGAAGTGAATAAACATTTAAAGCTTGATAAGCTCTTACCTCGGTTACCCTTCACTTCTCTTGGATCCTTCTTTTCTTTTGAGATGCCAAACACATCATAGCAGAGGTCATTCATGGAGGTGGAGACCTATAATATCAAACTCCTATTAAGAAATATATTGCTAAGTGGAAAACGAATTTTCCAGTTTAAACTAAATATTTATGCAGAGGTGAGAGTTTCTCTTACACTTTTGAATTCAGATTCAGATGTGCCACAAACTTCAATCAACTTAATTTTGTCTATCTTGAGCTGTGAAGCAAGAAACATTAATCACACTTGCTAAAATATGAAGACATTACAATCGTTCAATATAAATTATTGAAGAAACTTGTCACTTACCTTGTGTTTTTTTGCGCACAAGTAGAATGCAACTGCAGTGAACACAGGCCGAGTGAAGTCAGCACTTGCTCGTCTAGTAGCCGGCAGTGATGCAAGAAACCGCTCCTTGTACCTGACAATCGATACCTCCAAGTTAGAATCAGTTGTTCACAGGCATTTCTACAAACACATAGCATGTATAGCACTTTATGTATTCTAATGTTAACAAAAGAATCCAAACAAAAAGGGGCAAAGAAACCTTACAATGATAATCCTTTTTTCACTAAAGGAATCAGCCTTATGCAGCCAAATTGAATCCCCAATTCTCTAATATCAAGCTTTGTTCTACAGCAAAATCAAAAAAATAACCAAATTAAGATTCCACAAAATTTGAATAAAAAAATGTAACCCACGAAGAAGAGAATAAAAACCCACTTGACACCGAGACTGTTTTGCAGTGAATTGAAAGATCTAGTATAAGCCTTCTCTGACAGTCCACTCAGTCTTATTGCAGCTTGTCTATCAAAAATCACTTGAAATCTGCATTCGTTTAACCAACCCATAATCATACACATAACCGTCTATCAAAAATACCAAAAAGATATTATAATCGAGACGCGTACCTTGTTGCAGCGATTTCTAAGCAGATTATAGCCTTGCTAACCTCTCCCTATAAGTAATTACACAGTGTTTGCGACATTAGAAAGGAAACAAAATGTTGCTTATTTAATCAAATAAAATATAAATTTAGAATTAGTACTTACAACTCCGATAATGGACGAGTCAAACTGCACGTCACAGAGACGGCGGAGCTCCGCCGCTTTTCGGATCAGATTCTTGGATTCGGAGAGACCCAGTTTCTTTGCAATTTCCGAGAGATCCATTTGATTGATGAAGGATTGTATTTTTGCCGCTTATTGGGTTTCTGGTCTGTTGTTGAGACTCAGAATTGGAGAATATAAGAGGAAATTGCTTTTCTCCTTTTGGCATCTGAAGTAAGAAGAGAAAAATACGTAGGAAAAATAAACTGGCAGACATGGCGGGAAACAGATTGCCGGCAATCCTTTGTGGCAATTTTTGAAGGTTTGGCGCGCACTATTTTTGCTAGAATTTACCGGGAAGTTTAGGCGCCAAGTTAATTGTTTATTGTAATTCATAGTCGATTAATTGTTCATTTTAGGGGTATTAATTGTAATTCTATACCTTTCAAAAAAAAATTGTAGTTCTATATTTCTATTTTTTGTTTAAATATAAAAATATTTTTTTATTTTTTAAAAAATCATAAAATTATACTTTAACTTCATGAAAAATATAATATGTATACTGATCATATTTATAAATTACCTTAATTCATTCTTTTACGGTCAGATCGAGTGCTGAAATAAATTTGACCAATTGGCAACCCTAATCGGATTAAGGAAAATAAGTATTTTGAATATAATATGTTTGTTAGTATGTTTTTAATAAATTTAAAGGGAAGATCTTAAAAAGACAAACATATTCATATCACACGACACTGTCGTTTATTGATGCTTCTTCCTTCGTTTTATCATCACAATGAACTGAAAACAAATGATACTTTGAAAAATAAATTACAAAAGAAAAGATCAAAAAGTTATTAACACTACAGCTAATTAGCACTAATAATATTATGGAAGATCAACTACGCTGAACATGTTGGATTTAATTTTCTATTGTGGGCTTAATATGTAAAATTAAATATGTACAGCAGTCCAATTGTAAAGTCAATTTCAAATGTGGTCTTAATTTTCCCTATTGTGGGGCTTTAATATGTAAAATTAAATATGTACAGCAGTCCACAGCAGTCTAATTGTAAAGTCAATTTCAAATGTGGTCTTGATTGTGAATAATTGACTATTGAGGTATCAACTAATTATAGATATTAAGTGTATAGACCATTATATAGTTTCTATTTCGTTAAAGGACCGAAATAGGAATTGTACTAACCTACAGGTATATAAAGGTTGTGGTCCCCAGAGGAGTTGAATACGATTCAGTTTTACGTTCCTTTCGTACTGCTTCCGTTAAATCGATTCTTCAATTCTCTGGAAGGCTGCAAACCTAATTCTGCACATCAAGATCGACGAACAACGATGTCAGGTACGCAACCTTTTAAATCCTTTTCTTTATTCAATCTATTTTTGTTGAATCTAGTGGTGTCATGATCTAGGTTATTGTGGAATTATTTGAGAGATTAATTCATAACAAGTGGTATCAAGAGCGTTGTGCATAAATTTGCTAGATTTTAGATTGATTTTCGTATGTTTTTTATTTGTTTACCCTACTGTTTACGGATTGAGGTTTTGTTTAATTAAAAAAAAAAAAAAAAAAAAAAAATTTTTTCTCACTGTTCTTCTTTTCTATCGGATTCCCCAAGAACAAGTAAGAGATTTTGAACTGCCATTCACCGTCCAATGGCTACTGGAGTTTGTCTTCGGTTGGAACTAGTGGTGTTGGCGGCCGAAAGGGGCTGGAACGGCAGGTGGAGAGAGTTGGCGGCGGACCTGGTTCTTTTTTTTTCTTTGTTTTTTCTCTGTTCGTTTTTGTGTCAAGGTTAGGGATGGAAAATTATGGTTAGGTCCCTGGCAAATTTCATATTAGTCCTTTAATTTTATGTAATTTCATATTAGTCCCTTAAATTTCTGTAATTTCATATTGGTCCCTTAATTTTCTGTAACTTCAGATTAGTCCTCTAAGTTTCTGTAACTTCAGATTAGGTCCCTAAATTTTCTGTAACTTGTAAACTTCAGATTAGGCTATTTTTTTCGTCTAGACCCGTGGACATATATTTAATTATATTAGAACCCCGAACTTTATTTATTCAAATTTATTTAGTCCAATTTTATAACTTAGTCTCTAATTTAGTGACTTAAAGACTAGATTATAATTTTTTTTTATTTTTTAGGGCTAAATAATTTTAGATTATTAAATATTTAGACAATCAATTCCTTTAATTGCAATTGTTTTGCTTTAATTACAATTAAATGAATTAATTTGTCGACTTGAGATTAAATTTTGGAGTGATTAAGTCCCTATTGTGTTTAATATTTGTTAAAATAAATTGATTTGATCAATAAGTCACCAGTCACCAAAGGTGACCTTTTGCTTTGAATTGATTTTATTTTAGAATATTACGACTAGGTGTATTAGAATTCGTTGCGGATGAGTTAATCGCCCAAAGGAAGGTTGCTATCTGGCTTGAGTTTTGAATACATGTTGCAATAAGTATGTGATAATTGTTTGATTATTTTCCATGACAATGATATATCGGTCCAAAGGAAGATTTATTATTTGTCAGGACTATGTTATCAATATTTGATTGCTGCGTTGAGATACTAATTACAAGTGAATATTTTACATCCAAAGATGAGAATATTAATGTTGAGTCTGTATCTTATTTCCATTTTTATCTCTACTTATGTGAATTGTTTCATTTGTGAATTGTGAGCTTATACTTATCTATTTGTTTATTTTCTCTGATGTCAGCTAACATGTCATTTAATCCTGATTGTGTCCCTAAACTTAAGGGATCAAATTTTGAGTCTTGGAAATCAGACATTATGATCTTTCTGGGCTGTATGGATTTGGATCTTGCATTCAGGATGGACGAACCTGCTCCTCTTTACTGCTACGAGCACTGATGTTCAAAGGGTTCAGTATGAGAAGCGGGAGCGTTCTAATCGCTTAGGTCTGATGATCATGCAGAAAGGAGTACCAGAACATGTTCGAGACTCTGTCTCAGCTGAAAAGAACAATGCTCAAAACTATCTTGCCGAGCTGGAGAGGGCTTATGTCAAGAATGACAAAGCCGAAACACTTTTAGGAAAATTAACCTTTATGAAGTTTGCTGGCAATGGTGGTGTTCGGGAGCATATTCTTAGCATGTCTCAGATTGCAAAGAGACTGAAGTCGCTGGGGATGGCTTTACCAGATGACCTTTTAGTCCATTTGGTTATGAATTCTCTTCCTTCTCAGTATGGACAAATTAGGACTTCCTACCTATAAATTGTCAGCGAATAAATGGATATGGACTCTTAACGAGCTCATTTCTCATTGTGTTGATGAGGAGGAAAAGATGAATTCTAACAAAAGAGAGAGTGCTCATTTTGTTTCTTCAGCTGAGAAGGGCAAGAACAAGAAAAGAAAGAGGCCTTCTGCAAAGACTGTTGAAAAGGCTATTGAGAAACCTGCTGTTGCTACTGCTGTAGATCCAGTACAAAAGAAGCCTTATGTGCCAAAATGCTTCTTTTGTGGAAAGACGGATCACTTGAGAAAGGACTGTCCTAAATTTGCTAATTGGCTTGCAAAGAGGGGTAAGTACCTTGTAAGTACCTTGTTTTAGTCTGTTATGAAGTTAATTTAACTTCAGCTCCTAAAAACACTTATTGGATGGATTCTGGTGCTACCGCTCATATAAGTGTTTCATTGCAGGGCTGCCTTAACTACAGAAAGCCAACTGACGGTGAAAGAAGATACGTCTATGTAGGAAATGGCGATCCGGTTGAAGTAGAGGCAATTGGACATTTTAGATTATGTTTAAATAAATTATAAACGATACTGTGACATCCTACCGAGTCGAGTCTTAGAGTCGAGTCGAGTCGAGTCGAGTTGAACCAAACCCGGTTGGGGTAGAATGGGATTATAAGTGGACTTACTTGAGTGAGAGAAAAATCTAATGAATTCAAAAGTTTTGGTTACTGGTTTGGTTGCTTGAATGAATGTGATAATCTATATATGTTAGACATTGATACTAGTTATCATGAATCCCTGCATGTTACTACAAGAGGTACCAAAAGAAAATTGAATATTGATAACTCAGTTGTACTTTGGCATAGACGTTTGGGTCATGTATCCAAATCAAGGATTGAGCGTCTTGTTTCTGATGGTATCTTAGATACACTTGATTACACAGGTTTGGATTCTTGTATTGAGTGTATTAAAGGAAAACAGACTAAACAGAAGAGACTAGGTGCCATTCGGTCATCCAATGTTTTAGAACTGATTCATACAGATATTTGCGGTCCATTCCATATTGCAGCTAGAAATGGCCAAAGATATTATATCATTCATTGATGACTATTCTCGTTATGGTTACTTATATCTCATTCATGAAAAATCTGAGTCTTTGGACCTGTTTAAATCTTATAAAGCCGAAGTTGAAAATCAACTAGGAAAGAAGATTAAATCTGTTCGATCTGACCGTGGTGGTGAATATTATGGTAAATATGACATGGTAAATATGACGGTTCAGGCGAACAACGTCCAGGACCTTTTCGCTTTTCCTACAGGAATGTGGAATTGTCCCTCAATATACAATGCCTGGTACTCCCAGCATGAATGGTGTATCTGAGAGACGTAATAGGACTCTTATGTGGATATGGGTAAGGAGATTGATAGTCATTTTTTTTTTTTTTTTTTTTTTTTGGTTTTTTGATACAATAGGAAGAGAAAAATACTAACTATTGCACCATCTTGATTAATTGTCCCATAAGAATAATGAATTAACCACCGAACAATATGATCATGAAGGAACAAATTTGCCTACCAAGAATCAGCACAAAAGTTAGCTTTACGAAGCATGCGGCAGATTTGAACATTCCGATGAAATCGTCTTAATCTGCTAAATCAAAGAGCGAACAATGCTAGGAGGTTTTATGTCCCCCTTCATCATCTTCACTGCTACCAAGGTATTACATTCGCTAACAAGATTGTTAACCTTTTAGCCCTGGCTTGTTGGATGTTGATTTTGGAGGGAGAAATAAAGAAAGAAACATTGTCTTTGAAGAGGAACCAAGTAAGGATGATTCGGTTCTCATTCCTTTTGTGTTGTTTCTGATAGCGTACAGACTCCAGTTGCTCCTGTCACTATTCAAGATCCAATTCCAGACAATGCTATTCTTCCTTAAGAACAAATTCAACAACCTCAAGAATTAGAGTCTGTTCAAATGCCTTTGAGGAGATCTACTAGGGAGAGAAGAAGTGGCATGATTATATAGTGTTTCTTCGAGGAACTGAGGATCTGTAAACATGATAGGATGATGTCCAGTTAGTTCTATCATACCATCAGAGTTCTGACTCTCATAAAGTGGATTGAGGCAATGAACCAAGAGTATAAGTCTATCGCAAGACAATGCAAAGTTTGGGATCTTGTTGGGATCTTGTTCAATTACCTGAAGGAAAGAAACCCATTGGTTGCAAATGGATATTTAAAACCAAAAGGGATTCTCAAGGTAATGTGGAAAGATATAACGCACGTCTTGTAGCAAAAGGCTTTACTCAAAAGGAAGGGACTGACTATAAAGAAACCTTCTCTCCAGTTTCTTCGAAGGATTCTTTTAGGACAATCATGGACTTAGTTGCAAATCTTGATCTTGAGCTTCATCAAATAGATGTTAAGACTACGTTTCTCAATGGCAACATTGATGAAACAATATATATGGTGCAACCAGAAAATTTTGTAATTGGAGATCCAAAACATCTGGTATGCAAATTAAAGAAATCCATTTATGGACTCAAGCGAGCTTCTCGTCAATGGTACTTTAAGTTCAACTAAGTAATTGTCTCGTTTGGCTTTGAGGCAAATTGAAGAATTGTGGCTACCATAAGTTCAGTGGAGTTAGTTTATCTTGTTTGGTCTTATATTGGATGACATACTTCTTGCTACTAATTGTAAAGTCTTAGCTACATGAAACCAAAGTTTTTCTTTCAAAGCATTGTGAAGATGAAAGATTTAGGTGACAGGCTTCTTTTGTTTTAGGGATTCAGATACATCCGAGACCGTTCTCGAGGTGATTCTGGATTATCACAAAAGAGCTATATTATAAAGTGGCTCAAGAGATTAGTATGCAGAATTCAGACCATTTAGACCATTGGATACCCCTATTGCAAAAGGTGATAAATTTAGTAATCAACAATGTCCAAAGAGTGAACTTGAAATTTAGGAAATGCAAAAGGTTCCTTATACGTCAGCTATAGGAAGTCTTAAGTCTTATGTATGTTCAAGTTTGTACTCGTCCAGACATTTCTTTTATAGTTGGCATGTTAGGTAGATATCTTAGCAATCCAGGAATGGATTATTGGAAAGCAGCCAAAAGAGTTATGAGATATCTTCAGAGGACTAAGGGACATATGCTCACATATAGGAGATCAGATCAGCTTGAGATCATTGGGTATACTGATTCTGATTTCGTTGGATGCCAAGACAGAAGAAAATCCACATCTGGCTATGTTTTTCTATTGGCTGGTGGTGCTATTTCTTGGAAGAGTGTGAAACAAACTCTAGTGGCAACCTCCACCATGACCATGGAAGCTGAATTTGTAGCATCTTATGAGGCATCCAATCAAGCTATTTGGTTGAGAAACCTTGTCACTGGGCTGCGTGTAGTAGGTGGAATAGAAAGACCACTGAAGTTGTATTGTGACAGCAGGTCAGTCGTTTTATTCTCCAACAACAACAGGAGCTCTTCTCGATCAAAACACATTGACATTAAGTTCTTGGCTACGAAGGAGAGGGTACAGAGTGGACAGATATCCTTAGAGCATATTGGAACAAACTCTATGATTGCGGATCCGCTTACAAAGGCAGTGATACCGAAAGTTTTATACCGAAAGTTTTCCATGAGCACACCGCTCATATGGGTATCGTTTTGTTTGAGACTGTCTAGTTTTAGTGGGAGTCTGCTCTTTATGTATACATTATGGTTTTGAATGCTCTATTTATGTTTTTGAATGCTCTATTTTGTTTTGGATATGTTTTATTATGTTGATGAAATTTTATTGAGTACTCATTTTGGTTGATGGTTACACTCTGTATTATTATTGTTTTGCTTGATCTCACTTTTGTTGGTGACCAGTTGGAAACAAACATGATGATCACATTACATTTAGTTTTCATCCTACACTTCTATAATGAATCTGTGTCATTTAGGGGTATTGGTAAGGTAGTTGATGATGAACTTAGTCATAAGATCTATGGCGAATGTTTCTTCAGCTCTTTATCAATATAATTAATGGACGAGATTGTTTTTGGATACCTCGTATGACTGCGTTTGTTGAGCTCATTTTGGTGTATGTATTTTATTTAACATAACATAATGTCGCCCAAGTGGGAGATTGTTGGATTTAATTTTCTATTGTGGGCTTAATATGTAAAATTAAATATGTACAGCAGTCTAATTATAAAGTCAATTTTAAATGCGGTCTTGATTGTGAATAATTGACTATTGAGGTATCAACTAATTATAGATATTAAGTGTAGAGACCATTATATAATTCCTATTTCTTTAAAGGACCGAAATAGGAATTGTACTAACATTCGCATTTAAATATATATTTATCATTCCTAAAATTTCGTTAAAGGGACCGAAATAGAAATTGTACTAACCGCTACAGGTATATAAAGTCGTGCGTCGGAGTTTGAAATACGATTCAGTTACCACCCGACCGAAATATTTTTATTGACCCGCGATACTTAACACCTAATACACAATCGTATTGCGGCTACTGCTTTTGTTCGCATATCAACATTAACTTTTAAATTTACCGATTCATACTTCAATTAATCTCTGGAAGTGACTGACAAACCTAACAATCTATATTTACAATCTTTTAAGGGCATTATTCCTACCCAGACCCCGATTCACGTTAACAACGAAATCGTTGGTTCAGAGACCCTACGTTCCTCAAACCCATTATGTAATCTCCTTCACCTGGCTCAAATTTTCGTATTTTACTTTGGTATAGAATCTAGTTGGTGTTGACATTTTCGTAATACTAGGTTATTTGGTGGGAATATATTAATTTGAGCATTAATTTTTATTTCATCAAACTAGAACAACACCTTATAAAAGATTTAACCCTTCCAAATGGAATTTTAGCTATAGGATTACTGAAAACACAAAAAAAGAAAGAATTAAAATTTCCCCCCCATTCACATACACAAACCCACTGAAGAGGGTGAGCACCATTTAAATTTCGTTCAGAATTTAAACTACATATACGAGTAATAAAGGTTTTTTATAAATACAATTATTTACACCATTGATCATACAAGAAATATTTCTTTCGAGGTTATCCCTACTCGACAAAATATTGAAAGTTGGTCCATTATATTAAATCTTTGTTCTTTTCTCATGTCCATACGCCCAATTTTTGTTCCAGATAGTTCTTTCATGCCAAAATGATGAATTTGCTTACGCTATGCACCAGGCTCTTATCGCGTCCGAAGACATCATAGCCCTCTCCTGCGCCTCACATGGACAGCTGTAAAACAAATGGACAATTGTGAAATAAATCAAAATAATTGAGTGACGTCTTAAGATGAAATAGATTTTTATGCAATTGTTATTCCGACACTTTCCGGTGGAGAAAACGTACGCAACCTTTTCTTATTCAATCTATTTTGTTGAATCTAGTGGTGTGCATGATCTAGGTTATTGTGGAATTATTTGAGATTAATTCATAACAGAACAAACCAAAAGATAACTTATTTTGTATATATGAAAAAAAAAAAAAAAATTCCCAAATTCACATACACAACATGAAGATGGGCAAAACAAGATAAAACTACAAAGTTTATAAATAAATATCACAATGATACAAAAATTTTCAGGTTCCTCTCGAAAAATTGAAAGGCCATTTCGTTCTTTCTCGACCAATTTTGTTCCAATGCATGCACAAAATGATGAATTGCTGCTATGAGGTTTCGCCCGAAGACACAGCTGCCCCGCGCTCATGAACCAGCTGTAAAACAAATGGAATTGTGTTCAAGGGACGTAAGATGAAATAATAGAAGATGACACTTCGGTGGAAAAACGAATTGTTTGAAATAACACACCAGTGAGCCGACTTGTTCATAAGCTTCCATCACTTTAGGATCCTGTTCATCTTCATATCCAACTTGCAGTATACGAGGTCCATTAACAGACCAAAAGGCTCTTAGACCCGCCTCCTGTCATTGTACAACAGACTCGACATTGGTCAATAAGAATATGCAAGCCATAATAGGAAATAACAAATTTAATTCCATGTTGTGCACCATGTCGAAATAAGCTTCAAGTCCAAATTTTAGAATATAAACAATTGTGTGCCAAAATATAATAACTTAGAAAGCAAGGTCAATAATCAAGCCAAATTAAATTGGGTTTAGAAGTTTGCAACTGTATATCTATGATAACCAACTCTCAAACCTATTGAAATCCAAAGACAACGATAAAATGTATGTCTGCATATTCTTTTTGCAATCTTTCACCTCTCTATCTGAATACTTCTAGTTCATCAGATAACAAAAGTGCAACACAAACTTAAACAAATTACAATAAGATAGGGACAGAAATTAGAAATTTTACCTGTAATGTGATCAAGTAAATAGACTCCAGTGCTTGAATACGAATATCAGGGTCATCACAAGGTTCACGTTCGATAGAAAGTGCACTGCCAAGCTCAAGAGGCATTTTTGATATGTCTTGTTCACTGTATATCTGGGAAGAGCAAAAGAAGAGTTAATTAACTTCTGCATAGAGAAAGCAAGAGACAGGAAGACAAATGTTTGAAAATGCAAATGAAATGGGTATATAATACAGAAAAGCACATCACACTCTAAGAATCATTGTCATGTATCTTTTAAGTTATTCATGAGGTAAACAAGGCAGCAACTGCCACAATGGAAATGGCTCTAGAGGAAAAAATGCCGACTCATGGGAAAATCCATACAGAAGGATTTATGATGGTTAATCAGTACCATGTGTAGGTACAACAGAAAGATTGGAGAGAGAATTGTTGTTACACTGGCATGTAGCTAGTGAAATTATCAGCTCGTCTTATCCATATTTTAATATTCAATTTGTAATGCCTTCAACTAAAATTGGTTGCCTGAAAGAAGTCGGTTTCATAAACATCCTTATATGATCAGGTTTATAGCGAGAGAGAATGAAAGTTGTTTTGTTCTCAACTGACAGTGATTCAGTTGGACAATAGGCATCAATTTATTACTACTGCTATACCATAAACCACATCCATAATGTGAACAAACTGCAAACGTGTTAAAACAAATAACACCCTTGAAAAATGAAAAGAATAAATAGAAAGGTAAAAGAGTTACCTTATTGCCAGCAACAGGCAGGAGTAGTGCTGGCCAAAGAAACTCAGATATCAAAAGCAAATCTTGAAGCTCATTCTCAGCTTCAAAACAGCAGTTGCGAATCGTTCCAGAAACCTGCAATGAAAAATATAATCCCACTAAATTTCTGCCATGCCAAGAATATTGGTTATTCAAGCTTGAGCTTATGGGGCTTGGTGACAAGCTTTTCTTGCACATACAGGCCTCAGATCATATTTAGTTTTTTCTTTTCTTTTTCTTTTTTTCTCTCTGTGCAGTTTTAGTCAGGAACTGCATTGAGCCCAGGCACTCATGATCAGAGGGAAGCTTATATTATGTACAATAGTTCAAGCCACATATGTTTAATTTGCTGTAGGTATAGTAAAGCATCTTATACTCACAAGCCTAATTGAATAGACATACAAGTAAAACCAAAATTCATCAAAATAAACACATTGACTCTCAAACAGTCACGCTTCAATCATTCATTCAACATATATTCTGTTAGTGAGATTCTGAAAGCTTATGTTTTAAACATTGTGTGACAGCAACCAAACACAGCTAACGATTTTTCTTATTATTATTACCTTTGTTTTTTTTTTTGGGAGAAAGGCAGAGGATGTTTAGTGTTGGACTTGTAAGTTCCCACTCAGAAACTTTGACAATATCTTCTTAATATATCGAAGAGGAAAAACCTTTTATAGTGTCCACACAATGAGAAGAGGTAATAATGTGCCAAAAGTAAACAGCAGCTGAAATTGCAAGCTACACTATTACCCTTGATTTATCCCATTTGGCATGCAACAAATGGATGGTACAACCTTAAATCCTAAAGAAGTCCAAACACATTTTGAACATGTAAAGAGTCCTTCAAAACTGTATACATTACACAGACACACAGACAAACACAAGTCACACGCAAATTATTCACACAGACAAAGGATATTCAAGTATAATTGATAAAAAAATTGAAAGTTCGACCAGAATAAAGGACTGCATGCAAAATGGCGTGCAAGTCTCAGCAACTGCTCACAACTCCCGCCCCCTAGCTCTTTTTTTCTTCCATGAACAAATGCTACTTATGAAAGTCTAGAACACGTATTCTATTTTGCAAACACAAATAATCACTAACTACCAAATGAATTAATAGTTCTCTAAAGAAGCTTAGAACTCTAAGTTAATAAGTTATGCATACCCCTTTCCTCCGCAATGGACTTGTGGAGTCAGACTGTCTGAGGATCTGTTTCAGCAACCCTCGCTTAGGGTCCAATAACATTTTCCTACCAGCTTCTTTCTTTGATATATTTACAAGAATGGAACCAACATGATCAAATGGATTGTCTGGAAAATGACAACACCACAAGTTAGGTTCCATAGTATGGGAAATAAAATACTATACATGCTAGAAAAGTCATAAAACTCATATAAGAGAAGAACAAAATAGAAACAAATTATTAGTGGTTTTGTAAAAGCCAATCAAATGCATGAACTTCAAGGGGAAGCAACCTTGCAAATGAGTTGGCCTTCAATTCTTGCAAACAGGAAGTCTAATCCTTGTCCACTATTTCAGGCATGCCACAGAGAAAAGTCAGGCTAAGATCCAATAAAATGACACCAAAACCTCCAAAGTCATTCTTATCAATCAAAATATGTGATCTCTTGAAAGAGAAGTAATTTAATTTTTTCAAGGCTATGTGCACTAGGATATTGCCAGAACTCATTTTGATAAGTCACATACATAAAAACTAAGTGTAGAAATTTACATAACTTACATGCAGAAGCAAACTTATGCACAATATAAGCAATACACACCTCTAGTTTCACTGGAGGTTCTACAGAATGATCTCACAAGCTTCATAACAAACAGTCCTTGCATCTTCTCATCATCAGTCTAGCAAATTGGGAAAATGCTCATGATAACTAATATTGTTTGGGTATAGTGACTAACAAGTCAGAGTAAAGCAAAATCATTTTACTAAAAAATCCACAAAGTGAAAAAAAAAAAAAAAAAAAAAAAAAAAAAAAAAAAAAAAAAAAAAAAAAAAAAAAAAAAAAAAAAAAAGGAAAGGTACAAAAAAAAAAAAAGGTTAGCGTACTAATAAATAAATTAAAAAATGGAAAAATGCTGAAAAAAAAAAAAAAAAAAAAAAAAAAAAAAAAAAAGGAAAGGTACAAAAAAAAAAAAAAGGTTAGCTACTAATAAAATAAATTAAAAATGGAAAAATGCTTTTGATAAATAAAAATTAATTAAAAATGAGGCATATGAAACTGCAAATAGCATTCGTAACAATAGCATGAACTGATGAATATATCACCTGAAGCAAGGATTGAATACCAGCATCCAACTGAGTGAGATTAACTAGGAGCATTACAAGTAATCGGGTAATGCTAGAGTCTGGCTTATATAATAGATCCATGGCCATTTGAATCATCCCAGTCTCAACCATCTTAGTAGCTAAATTTGAGTTCTGTGACAGATTCACAAGAGCTTCTGCTGCAGGCTCAGATACCTCCTGAAACATTTAATCAATGGTCAAATTCAGATGACTGACCAGTAAAACAAAGAATTTATAAAAACAACTCTTTTGCAAAGTCATCATTAACATAAATTACCAAAACTCAGAACCTGGTAACAATCACAGAACTTCCAAACCAATTTTAGCACTATAAAATGTAAGCACATTGACAAAATTATTAAAGCATGGTTTTTTTTTTTTTTTTTTGTTAGCTTAATAATTGATTAGCACAACAAAGCACCTTCTTTCGGCTTAAAAGTCGAGATAATGAGGGAAGCACAATATTAGCATACTTAGAAAGGGACAGTAACCCATCTTCAGACCCAGTTAAGTCCCGAACAATATCAACAGCCGCCTTCTGCACCTGAATTCATTGAAATTCACATTAAAACAAAAAGAACCCACATGAGCTTCTTCAAATGAAGATAATCAAAAGCAACAATCAATAACAATGACTATCTGGAAACAAGCCTAGAAAAAACAGCAATTTTTATCAAATAATATATGAAGCGGAATCAAATGGGTTTTTTATAAGATAAAAAGAAACAAATTTTAGTCTGTTTGGAGCTGAGAAATCGAATTAGAGTTAGACCAAAGAAGAAAGTCGAAACTTTAAATTAATTGCCAATAGTACAAACTAGTAGTTAACTTTTTTTTTTTTCCCCCTTTCCTTTTTCAATTATTTTCAAGCGAACGGAGCTTGAGCAGAGAATAAGGGACCTACCGGCGGAGAGGAAGCAGATAGAAATCCCACCAACTCTTCAAGCTCAGTTGCCATTGCTGCTGCCGCCTCCCGAAGTTATCCCAGAGCTAGTCGACAACAATGTAATATACACAAAGCGACAAAAACTCCGTGTACCATATTTACCCTCAGCGACTAGTCGTTTGTTTATCAATATGGCAACTTGCTCGGTCGTTTAAAAGTTTTTGTCATATGAACATCGTTTGCAATTACATTGGGTTTTTGCAATTAAAAAAGGCGAACTATACAAATGTCTTAACTTTTAAGGATTATCCGTAACTCTAATTTTAAGTAAGAATTATAGCGCATTTAAAATTATGAATTTTATTAATTTTACACGCCCATTGAACAAATCAATTACTATGACAATTTATATGCAGGGGACGGATCCAGAAAATTAAATTAATAGGGAGAATGCATGAAAGTAGTAATTTAGTGAGACAATATAAAAATTTAGTAGAATAAGTATAAATTAACATAAATATATATATATATTAAAATATAAAAAATTATAAATTAAACTGAAAAAACCAGTAGAGGTAAGTGCCCCCACTGCCCCACTGTAGATCCACCCTTTCTATATGTATACGTTTAACTAAAAATTTCATTTGCACACTAAAAGATAGCCTAACGATAAATATAAATATGATCTGATAATAAATTTAAATTTAAATTTTTCGATCAATACTAAAAAATAAAATTTAAAATTTCATCCAACTTGTGAAGTGTACCATCAAACCACATCTGAGGCGAGTTTTAATGAACATTTACAAAAAGCTGCGCAAAAGTTTATGGAAAAACATAAATTAATCTAAAACCATTTTTTACCAACATGCAAAATCATTTGCTTATAATAATTCAATCAGACGGAGTACTAGAATTTGATGGAAACAGCTGGATAAATCACCATCGTTCATTAATATTATCTTCCTTTTCACATGGACACAGTAGTGACCAGACTATACACATAGAGGCTGTAATATTTGGAGGTCAACCTCCCTCACTTTAGCTAGTTGGTCCCACAATTAGTTAATGCAATTTATATGGTCCAAATCTGCAATTACCTACCAACTAGTTAGTTAATTATTGTTATGTTATGACATTTTGAATGACAACACAGACACAGAAACTCTGCTTCTTATTACTCTATGGTAGTTATGACTGCTTCTCTTTTACAGTACGATGGTTTTTTTTTTTATGCATTTCACTGTTTGTAAAATAAAAAAAATTAAATCCATCGCACTGGGAAACCATCATAACTTGCAATCAGCAACCGATGAATCTTACGGTTTTGGAGGAGACAGAGCATATTAAGCTTGTTACTTATTTGTCAGAAATATATATTCTGATTATTGTATTGCTCTTTATTTGAAAAAAAAAAAACAGTAAAAAAAAATGAAAATTTGGAATGAAGAAGAGACTTAAATCAACTCATACATAAAAAAAAAAGGAGAGGAAGCAAAAAAAGAAAAGCGTTTAATTAATCTTGCATTGTATTTTTCTAGTTAATTATTTTTCACGTGATTTCATGCCCTAAAGATAGTAATATTCAAATAAAGTTATTTTAGCAGTCGCAATTTCAGATTATGAATCATGACCTAATAGGTGAAAATAGTATATTTAAATGGTATAATTTGCAGTAAAATATTTTTCACAGTTTTCTATTGTTAGCGTTCAGAAAAATGAGGTAATGGAAAATATTTTCCTCATAAAAAAAAAAATTAAATCATTTTTAAGAAAAAATAATTTCTCATTTTCAAAAACATAAAATATTTTATGGATTTTGGCAAACTTATTGAAACCTTATATATTCATATTTTTTTTTAATTTATTAATCATCAATAGCCACTGCGACTAGTCATTGTTCACCACCGGCCACCACCACCATCACCAGCAACTTTTATAATTTACTATTTTTTTAATTATTTTCATATTTAACAATAAAATTTTTAAAATATGAAATCTATATTATTATTATTATTATTCTTACTGTCGCATTTTGTTTGCATAGTTTGACAAAAGATCTATATCAAAAATTTACTCAACAATAGTTGTTTTTTCATTTTTTACCTTTAACTCATTAATTAAGATATCAATAAAAACGTTCTTTTAATGAACAATCACAAAAGTTATAACGGAACAAATAATTGTTTATATATCTAAATTTAAAACCTTGTAAACATTTTAGAACATCTAAAAAAGAATAATAAACAAATAAAATGGGACAGAAACAATGTTATTATTATTATTATTATTATTTATATATCTAAATTTAAACACCTTGTAAAACATTTTAGAACATCCTAAAAAGAATAATAAACATAAAATGGGAACAGAACCAATGTTATTTTATTATTCTTATTTTATTATTATTATTATTATTTTATCATTGTTTTGTCGGTCAATCTTAATGAGTATTGTTAACTAATCTTCAATATTGTTAATTCAACACAATAAAAAAATAAATTATTTAAAAAAATATTCTTAATAAAAAAAGACATTTTTTTTGAAAGAATATTTTAAACAATAATTATTTTCCGAACAACAAAACCCTAAGCTAATTTTCAACAAGAGCGATGCCTGAAATTATGTTAATAATACCCTTTATATAATATAATCAACAGCAATAATTTATTTATTATTATTATTATTATCATTGTTATTGTCGTCATCTTATGAGTATTTTTAACTAATATTCAATATTGTAATCAAACAATAAAAAATAAATTATTTAAAAAATATTTATAAAAAAAGACATTTTTTTGAAAAATATTTTTCAAAAATAAATTATTTTCCGAAAACAAAACCTAAGCTAATTTCACAAGCCGATGCCTGAAATTATGTTAAATAATACTCTTTATAATAATATATCACACAATAATTTATTTCCTTATAATTGTCTCTTTCTATATATAATCAACAAATTAACCAAATGCGGCAACTCTGGCTTTATTAATAATTGCTCTTTTCGATAACCAAGCACAAAAAACAATCGCCATAAGACATACAACAACAACTCCCCATAACAAGCTTATTTTCACCTTAAATCCAGTTTTCTCTTTCTTCCAATCCTTTACTGTCACAGCCTGTACTCCACCATCACCACCACCACCACTATCGCTGCCGTCGCCGCCACTTCCGCCGTGGATTTCAAAGCAGGAAAAGAACTTATAGCTCTCATATCGAACAATACAATACCCAGAAGCTACTATTCCTCCTTCTTTACCACCACATTGCTCATAAAGCTTTTCAATGGCTTTTACTACACAAACTTCGCAATCTTTTGGCGATAAAGACTTAACACACTCAACTGCTGCATAAATTCTGCTACCATTATTACCATACCTAATGCTTGAAAGCCCATGCAAGTTATTACTGTAGTCATAAATACTAGCTCTTAGCTTTAGAAGCAGTGTTTCAAGACCCAGTTCAAAATTAACAGAGTCCTGGATCTTACAAGCTTGGTTTGAGCAAGAACAGCTAGTAACTTCAAGATCTGCACGAGATACTTTCACATGGCTCTGATAATAGTTAAGGTAACAGCCATCAAACCAAGCTGTTACAGAAGGAGTATTATTTGGGCACAGACTTTGAACGGTTTGTTTAGCTTTTTGGATACAGAAGGTGCATTGGGCTGGATTTATATTAGCGAGGCATTGCATGACTCCATTGATGTAGCCGTTAGGTCCGAGACTAACAGTTGAGGTTATGAACCTGGTTTTTGTCACTTGAGCTGTGAGATTATCAAGAAGAGTTTTTAATTTTATGGGTTTAATAGCCTCTTGAGTTGTTGACGTACAAGCTATGGACATAAGAGAAGGAAATTGTGAAGCTTTGGAGAAAGACATGATAGAGAGGATACAGAGAAGATGAAATGCTAGAAGAGAAGCCATGGAAGTAGACACCTACACTTCTTTTATTATTACATTTTTTTAATTTGGACATCATATAAGTATCATATCGTTATAAAGAAGGAATAATTTTAGATAACCATGCCTTTACTACCAACTGCCGAGCACATGAGGCATAAGGCTAGTAGAGTTCAACCAAGAATTATGTGAGAGACAGAGATCAAGCATGATTGTATGAGAAAAAGACAACATTAATTGCATTAATTGAAAACATTACATAAATAATTTTGCTTAATGGCTAAAACTAGGGTGTCAAAACGAGAACACGATTCGCTTAACATGGAAATTATTAAAAGGTTGTAGTTGAATCTGTCATAAACGGATTACTCGTATATGACACTAGTTTAAACGAGTTATACCATTGGTTGAATCGTCTAATCTGTTTATTTAAGGATAAATATGTAATCTCATATATATATATATATATTAAGTAGATCATGCGGGTTACATGTGTTATAGGTGTCACATTTATGATCTGTGTGCAATCTATTTAATTAAATTTTTTATTTATATATGACCTATTTAGTTAAATGGATTACACGTGCTGTGTTTGTGTCATTCGTTCAATTTTCGTGTCGTATTTATATATATTTAAACATTTGATATGATTATTAAATAAATTATATTTATATCGACCATAATCGTGTTGCGTGTTAGGTAAGTTTGTATAGAATCTGATACCTCAATCTTTTTTAACACCCTTAATTAAAACAAATCAAAATGTTTCATAAGTGTATAATTTTATCATATTTATTTTAATTTTGTTATCTTCAGATTGGATAGTGAAGGTGAATTTCGAGAAGCTAATTTTTATGAGAATTATCTTGCCGATTTTGCTTCATCTTTGGCGTATTCATGTGGTAAATGACCCTCTTACTGAACTTCGTTATCCGTTAGATCATGATCATGTCGATTTATATATGGCATTATTTATTAATTTTGTCTTTTTTTTAGCTTATAGCTATCATTTTGAATAAAAAAATCTTAATTTTTACATTTGCTTACAAAATTTTCCTATGATTAAAACTAAAATTGCATCAATACATAACATGTGATGTAAACTCCTTTCGACAAGTTTCAAATTCTGATTTCACAAGTAAAATTTATAGAGAAACATAATCTATTCGCTGATAATTACAGCCATTTGTTGTCATTGAAAATATTATTTCGTTCTCAATTTAAAAAAAAAAAAAAAAAGAAGAAGAAATATTTAATCATGGAAAAATAGTAGTTGGACCGACATATTCAAGATGGCCCAATCTAAAAAAGGAAAAAGATAATTTCTCATGGCCCATTTTAATTAACCAACAATATATCCCGACCCGACCCATGTAACGAACCAACGTCCAACGGTTCCGCAATTTAACCCATTGATTGATATTAATTCACACTATATAACCTTTCCAAAGTCGATTTCCCGCTTAGCGTCAATCATTTCTTCAATTAATTAATAAAAATCATCCATTGTTGAATATGGATTATATAAATAACGATTCGGCAATTAGGTTTGCTGAATCTGAATTCTGTACTAAATTATAGCACAAAGAATGAGCTTTGGAGGTTTTCAATGTCATTTGATTTGCTCAATCAATGGCTCTTCACAAATACAATGGAGAATTATTACCGGAGAGAAGAGGCATTATCGGCGCGGTTTTCAATTCTCTCGATCGACGGATCGTTCGTCGAGGAAGAAGATTCGCTCGGTTTTTTACTAAACCCAGTTTTTGCATTTGGGTTTTGCTTCTTTCTGCTCTCTTTTTGATTTCTCTTTCTGTCTTTGGCCTTAAATTGCATCTTCCTGGTAAGCAATTTACTATGTACTCTCTTAATTATCTACTTTGAATTTTGTTTATCAAGGTTGTAATTTGTTTTTGATTATTTGTTAATTATCGTTATTTTTGGTAGGTAATTTGGAAAGTTTGGAGCGTAGGATTTCATCTCTAGAGAAATTTGATGTTGCTGATGGTAGAGAAAGTGAAGTCCAGTCTTCAGATGAATTAAAGCAACAAAAAGCAACAAAAAGCAAGCATCGTAACCTGCGTAAGTGAAGTTGACTTGTATCTCTTTAATTCATAAATGTTTTATTATTTGAATTTTCAATTATGTTGTTAAAATTATCAACTTAGTGCTTTTGATATCTAGTTAAAGAAAAGTCATAAAAAGATAATTATTATAAACCGACTTCCTTAATCTCAATAAGGAGAATCTTCAATCACAGTGTGGCTTTTAATCACATTTAACAAGCTAAAATTGTGGCTTTTAGAACAAACTCTCCGCAGCAATTTCAGTGCCCCACAGAACACTCGTCTGTAGACTATGATATTCTACTTCATATTACTAATGATTGAAGAATTAATTGGATAAATCCAGACAAAGTTTGTTACTCATTTCTTCTTTATAACATGATTTCTCTGCTGATATTTCAGATTTGCCTTGTGATATTGAGTTTTCGGAATCAGTTGATCATCTCATTGAGCCCCAGGATATAAGAAATTTCGCTCAATTTTCGCTTCGTTATGTGGCCACTGAAGAGAAACCTCTGGGAACAACTTTATTTCAATCTAGATTTGGAGGACATCAGACCCACGAGGAAAGAGAGAAATCTTTCTATGCTAGAAATCAAACACTTCATTGTGGTTTTGTTAAAGGATCCCCTGGAGTCCATAGCACTGGATTTGATTTGGATGAAAAGGACAAGGCATACATGAATAGCTGTCGGGTAGTGGTTTCCTCTTGCATTTTTGGCAGCTCGGACTTTCTGAGAAGGCCTACAAGTAAAAAGGTATCTATCTCATATATTTTCATGTTTGCATAAGTTTTTTTTTGGACGGGTTAGGGCTGGGCGCGGGGGGGTTGGAGGAGCGGGCGGCAGGGAAGGTAAGATTGTGACTAATAGTGCAATTTTACCCTTTTCTTAATTTTTTTTTAGTGTTATTTATGCTCTCTAGCTATTCTTTCAATGACCTAATATATTGCTTGTTTCAGATCAGCGAATTTTCCAAGAGAACTGTTTGTTTCATTATGTTTGTGGATGAGCAAACACTATCCAAGCTGTCTTCAGATGGACATATACCTGATGATGGAGGGAATGTTGGTCTATGGAGAATAGTAGTTGTTCGGAATTTACCGTATAAAGACATGCGGAGAACTGGAAAAGTGCCAAAATTTTTATCACATCGCCTCTTCCCTTCTTCTAGGTAATTCTTCAGTATGATTTGTTTATTTAGTCTATAGCTCCAGGAGTTATTTTCTCTATATAATTCTGACTAGATCTTTAAATTAATTTCTATTATCGGCTTTTATGCTTCTATTTCCAGCTATTCAATTTGGCTTGATAGCAAGATGCGACTCAACACTGATCCAATGTTGATTATTGAATATTTCTTATGGCGTACAAGATCAGAGTATGCCATTTCAAACCATTATGATCGACACTGTGTCTGGGAGGAGGTACTTCAAAATAAGCGCCTAAATAAGTACAATCACACTGCGATTGATGAACAATTCAACTTTTATCAGTCTGATGGCCTCATGAAGTTTGACCCTTCAGACCCAAATGCTCTTCTTCCAAGTTGTATGTATTTTCATTTCAAATTTTTGGTTCAAATATTGGTTTTTCCTTTTTCTTCTGTATGCGTGGATATTAGATGTTGATTCTACTTTTTAATCCTGCAGACGTGCCAGAAGGTTCATTTATTGTACGGGCCCATACACCAATGTCAAATTTATTTTCATGCCTCTGGTTCAATGAAGTTGATCGATTTACATCACGTGATCAACTTAGCTTTGCATATACGTACTTGAAAGTGAGGAGACTAAATCCAGATCGACCATTCTATCTAAATATGTTTAAGGTAAAATAATAAATCTATGATATGTATAACTAATAATATTGTAAGTTGGTTATGATGAATCTTGCTGTAACCTTTGATAAGTGCTGTGACAATCATCTTTTTGTCCAAAACTTTTCTTATTTATCGCTCAATTCCTAGCACTACGCTGTGTCAGTCTATCTGTTAAGAAATCTCCACGAAGTTGCTTATTAGTTATTTGCTGAGAATTCTTCTAATGTAACTTCTTATGAGAATAATTCCCATCTTTTTTTTGGCATTTTTTTCTTATAATTTTTATCAAGCTGACCGCAACTAGTTTGGAATTAAGGCTTTCTTGAGCTGATTGAGAATCAGGAAATGTGCATTATGCAATCCTGTGGCTGTGAAATTGTTCTGCATTGAATTATTTAGACATGTGAAATTGGAGACAATCATTAGACTCAAGATTAACATAAATCTTGTTTCTATGATTTCAAGGAAATGACAAGAACCTCATAAACGATCAAGTTGTGTAATTTACTTCATTGCTTGATGTTAATTTCTGCAGGATTGTGAACGCAGAGCACTAGCAAAGCTATTCCATCATAGGGTATTGCCATCAGCTCCGCCTGGTCCTTGATCATTGAAATTATATGCCTTTACTGGTAAGATTAAACACGTTCTTATCCCTATGCCCCTCAATTTACTTTAGTTTTCCCTGTTCTTTCTCCATGTAGACTGCCTTGAATGCCAAAGTCCAGTCTGCTAATAACACTATTTCTAGTGTCCAAAACATTCTAAAAACTGAACACCTAAAATTGAATTTGACTGGGACTGTTTCAGAAAGCTTTTGATGGAAGAGGCTTAAATTTTATCCTTTGAATGGAAAACAGCATGGCACCTTGTTCAACTTTGTTTCTCTCAATTTGTGTATAGTGATGGGATATTTTGTATTTTAATCATATTGCTTTCAAAAATGTTTACCACTACTTAGGGAGACTGCACAGAGCAATTGATTATTTGACTCAGTTGTATTGATCCAATGGTGGATCCTGATGCTTGGATGCACAACAGCTTTTGTATTTAGGTTTTAGATCCTTGATATCTCCTGTTTGGCAATCTAATGGTTGAACCTAGCATGATTGGTATAATTAAGAGAACTGTAGCCAAAATCAGCATGTTTTAAGGTGTGTATACAACTCTACAATTTTCTGAGTTGAATCTGTTAGTGGGTCAACTCTTTGAAGATAGTAGTTTCCATATCTGTACTAAATAGCTGTAAATATCTGTATAATTATGGTGTGCATATCTTTCTTTAATTAGGCCAAGATTATATCTGATTATGGTGTAAATAGGTTACTATATTTAGGCCGAGATTCAGTAATCAGTAGCTAATTCTGTGTAATGTACATCATATTTTTCCTATATAACGAAACACACCCTCACTTGAGAGGTATTGAGCCAAATTGACTGAATCTATTTAATTGCCTTGCTTAAAATTATTAGGCAGATCCAGCTATTCTTACTGAATAATCTATGGTTAGTTTGTGATGGATCCTATGCTGTCTGTGCAGGAATTTTTATTGAAAGAAGGAGAAACACTCAGGAATCATGATTGCCTTATTCAAGAATTTAATGCGTTTAATCTTTCAAGCTTGATCAGAAATCAGGCCTGAGCAGTGAGCTGCCTTATTAGATAGTGAATTTGATTAGTTGGATCTTGGATGCAGTCCTGTCCATGATAAATGACTTTGGAAAAACTCTATTATGTTGGCCCAGCATTTTCTCAATTGAGAGATGAAGGATTTGTGGGCTTCATCGCAACCTCACTCAAACCAAGCTAATTGAACCATATGTGCACATAACATAGAGATTGATGACTGACATTGATTTCTACTATGTTACATTTTTTTTCTTCTTCTGAATATTGGATTTTCCAACAAATCCTTCAGAGAGGAGGTGCTAAATTTTGAAGGCATTTTTTTATCTCTCTCTCTCTTTTTTTTTTTTTTTTTCTCTCTCTCTCTCCAACCTACTCACTCAAACGCAAGCTAATTGAACATATGTGCAACATAACATAGACGATTGAGACTGACATTGATTTCTACTATGTTACAGATTTTTTTTATTCTTCTGAATATTTGGATTTTTCCAACAATCTTCAGAGAGGAAGGTGCTAATTTTGAAAAGGCATTATTTTTATCTCCTCCTCTCTCTTTTTTTTTTTTTTTATCTCTCTCTCTCTCTTTTTTTTTTTTTTTTCTCTTTTTTTTTTTTTTTTCCTTTGTTCCATAACCAGTTGTCACCAGATGGGCATGCCTATTATGCTTTTCTGACTGTTGAATTCATAGCTCCTGTGGTCCTCAGGCACTGACACTTGTAACTGTCTGTGAGAATGTCAATTACATTTTTAAAGATAATATAATTCTTTTCATGCAAAATTTGTGTTGTCCTGCTCTCTAACCTGTCTATAAATACCAGATTGTGGTTTTGCTTGATGCACCAACAAATACTTTGCCAAGTGCAGTGAGAGAGGACAGGAAAAGAAGTGTTATTGTAGATTTTGTATGTGAAAATTGGAGGGAATTAAACAATTAGCATTTTGATTTTACTTTCTGTTTAGTTTCCTCCAATATTTCATATCCAATCTTCACACAATTGATGTATGATCTTCAAGTAATGTCTAAGTTGTATGTGAGGATTGGAGGAAATTAAATAAATTAACATTGAAAAGTGCAACTAGTTTATTTAATTTCCTCCAATATCTCATATCCAGCCTTTTCATTTTGTCCTGCCATTCTAACTAATTTGTTTGTGAGGACATTCTATAATTCTGCCGAAGTTGTAAATGAGGATTGGAGGAAATTAAATAAATGGTTGTTCTGGCTACAGTTTGTTTAATTTCCTCCAATATCTCATCTACAGCTTTTTCACTACAGAAAAAAATGTGGATGTCGCATGTGAGAATTAGAGGAACCTAAATAGACTGATTTTGTTTTTGCTACGTTTCTATTTAGTTTCCTCTAATATCTCACGTTCGACCTTGACAATTGGTGGAAAATCATATGGGTTCCTTTGTAACTCCTGTGTTACCAGTATTGAAATGCTTTGATTATCATAATTCGATAATTTGAGTTGATGGTTTTACGTCCTAACGACCAAGGATGAAAATATAATTATATTAACTCACATCTCAGATTGCTTTGGTCTCCGGAGATGTAATTTATTTTCAATTAGACAATTAAAATTAATATTTAATATTTAAAAAAATAAAGGTTTGTAAAAAATAAAAACCAGCTTATTGCAGCCTGTAATTAGAACGAAAAATACACAAACTTGAGTTGCTTAAATTGCAACACGTTATGTCGTTTTACCTTCATTTGTCTTGTATAAAGGTCAAACGACAAGTGGAAGTCTGGAACTAACTTGAGTTGCATAAATTGCAAAAACCGAAAGCCTAATGCTGCTTCTCCAAACCTGACTTAGTTGCGTGAATGTGAAAAATGGAAGGTTGGTTAATGAAATGCTCTTTTGGGAGTAATTTCTTTAGAGCTCTAAAACCTCTCAATTTGAAAATCTCTAGCTCTTCGTTTCGCTGCCTTTACATGCCCACTCATTCTGGTTTGTTTCCCTCCTAAGTTATTCTTTTTCCACATAAATATGTGTGTATTTCATCCTCTGATAACAAGTCGGTATTTTTTTTAATCATAGGAGGCGCAAAGCCCATTAGAAAGGCATACGATGCTTTATTATTGGATGCCGGCGGAACCCTTTTGCAATTGGCATACCCTGTTGAAGAAACTTACGCTTCTATTGGGAGAAAATATGGTTCATTTTTCTTTTTTTTTTTTTTTCCCTTCCCTTTTTTTTTTTTTTTTTTTTTTTTTTTTGGTTTCATTTTCTTTTTTTTTTTTTTTTTCCCTTCCCTTTTTTTTTTTTTTTTTTTTTTTTTTTTTTTTTTCTGGTGGGAGTCTTAAAATTTAACATTTCCATTTATGTTTTTAAGCGGTAGATTTGTTAGTCAATTAGTTAGGAATATTTTTGTTATAAATGGCACTAAAGATACCTGTTTTGCTGCTAGATGATTATTCTTGGAGTTACTGGGTTTGTGAATTTTGTATTGCGTTGTTGAAGTAGTTTATGCTTATTGTGAATCAACTGTGCTACTCTGATTTGATTGGAAAACACGATAATTAAATTCCAAACAATTGCTTATGTTTTCAGGTATGAGCACAAGTTCAGCCGAAATAAAGAAGGGATTCAAGAGAGCTTTTTCTGCTCCATGGCCTGAAAAGCTGCGTTACCAGGTCTCTACTGTTTTTGAACTGAGTGTGTCCTTCATTACATAAAATCACAAGTTTGATTTCATTTAATTCTGCTGAGGGATTATTGTTCTCTTTGAGGTACACGCCTCATTTTGCATAACTAATATGTCTCTGTTTTTTTCTTCCAGTCAGCCATTCTCTTTTTTCCTACTGATCTAACTTTTTTCATTTTAGAAAGCAGCAAGTTTTATGTGGATAAATTTGGTTTCCAAAAGAATTAATCTAACCATATTTTGTTGATCTGTGAAAATCATTTTAATTAAGGAAAATATACTGGATACTTATCAGCTTGTTATATGTGCATCTTTGTAAGATGTAGGAATCCAAATAGGTGACACATTTTTGTAGGTAAACTATAAAGAGATGACCCTTCTTTCTTTGGTTCAGCTAAATTCTTCTTCATTTGTCCGTTGGAGGGTTTGTGGGTTTTTTTTTTTTTTTTTGTTGAAGAAGGAGGCAGGTTTTTTTTTTTTTTTTTGGCTAATGTAAAATAAGGATTGAAGAAGGAGGCTTTGCTGAATTCGTATGAGTATCAAAATGCCTCTTATGCTGGCATTCTATGTGAGCCATTACATTGTATGGATTCAATGAAGATCTCCACTCCATCTTCATAAAAAGCAGCCATCCTAGGACACCTTAAGTTCTGATTTATCAGAAGCTAAAATTTCTTTAATACATTCCTTTGCAATGGTGGGATTCTGTAGTAATAGAGAGAAGGTTCTTAATTAGAAAGAAGACTGCTCCCAACCTTGGCATTAATGCATCCTGTTGTTGAAACCCGCGGATTGGTGTTGTATCCCTTTTCCTGAAGATAATTGAAATAGACAGAAAGCATATCATTTCCTTGTTGCATTTATTATATGTATAATGTATTGTTCTTTTTATTCTTTATCATTTTCCATCTATTTTTCTTGAACGAACCTCTGACTAAACTCCTGTGTGTTTTGCATAACTTCTACTATTGAAAGGGAGATGGGAGGCCATTTTGGAAATTAGTTGTTTCTGAAGCCACTGGTTGCTCAAATGATGATTATTTTGAAGAAGTGTACAAGGTACTTTTGTGAGATCCACTGCTGTTCTATATCAAATTATCAATGTTCCCTTCTCCACTGGTATTATAGCATAGGAAAAAACAATTTACTGAATGCATATAAAGCCGGTCTGTTCTGTACAGAAACCTGCCTGCAAATAAAATAGTTTCATCATTTTATTTTGGAGGCATTTGTCTCAAATGCCAATAGTTGCTTTGTGCAGTACTATGCAAATGGAAATGCATGGCATCTTCCAAATGGAGCTTATGAAACATTAGTCTTTCTCAAAGAAGCCGGAGGTCATATTCATCAAGTATTCTCCTTTTTTTCATGCATTACTTTTGGCAACAAGCATTATCTTTGAATGAATTGTTTCTTTGCTTTCCCTAACTTGGTGAGTAATGACACAGTTAAGCTGGCTGTTGTGTCCAATTTTGACACCCGCTTAAGGAAGCTTTTGAAGGACCTAAATGTTTTAGAATTGTAAGACTTAATTCTTTTTCCAATTTTTCTTCCATCCTCACCTTTTCATTCTCTGCAACTGGACTTCTCACATTCATACTTCCTTTATTAATGAGCTGTTCATCTAGGTGGCTGAATGATTCATAAGATGCAAAATAACTGGCTTAACATGTCTATACATATTTTTATTTGATAAGTATGCCCATGATGTAGGTGAAGAAGGACAGAATCAAATCATTTATGAAATTGTGTAGTATAGCAGATACATGTGCTTTATTGCTCTAAGTGTGAAAGATTTACTTTTTATTCTAACATTTGGGTTTGGGTCTTCTTACCAGGTTTGATGCTCTAATTATATCTTCAGAAGTTGGTTACGAAAAACCAGATCCAAAGATATTTAAGGCTGCTTTAGGTATGTAACCCAATGTCATCAGTTCTTATAGTGACAAAGTAGGCAGGTAGGAAACTGTGATGCAAAATCAAAATCCTTGCTTGGGGCACAAACAAATTATTAGTAACCGGTATAATTTTCATCTGTAGCTAGAGTCAGATAGCTGCTTGTGCTTTTAATAAAAAATGGACTTAATGAAAAATAAAACAATGCTAGTCGTTCGCTAACACACTACTGCTGAAGGTATTCTTACCCAAAAAAATAAATGGGGATATTTTTCAAGTAATTTTATCTTTTATAGGGTTGAAAATTTGTTAAAAACTAAAAGGTAGTGTTCTGTTCTAACCCCCCATAATCCACACTAACATGATCCAACTTATATCTTTTGGTGCAAAAACCTAATGAAACGTTCCTCAAATATTTGGCATTTTTATAGATCAAGTGTGTGTGGAGGCTAGCAGGGCAGTACATGTAGGAGATGACCTCAAGGCAGATAAGGATGGAGCCAATGCTATTGGGATTGATTGCTGGTAAGCAGAGCTTATCCTGTTAAATGTTCCTCATCCACCTGAAGCTCTGTTTTTCATTTCCATCGCCATCTTTTTTTTTTTTTTTTTTATGTTCCTCATCCACTGAGTCTGTCTTTTCCATTTCTCCATCGCCATCTTTTTTTTTTTTTTTTTATGCAGTTAAATAAGTGCTTTCTTGTTTTTGTTTATCAATTCCATTGTTAGTTGACACGCAGTCCAACATGGCAAGGCATACAATTTTGAATTATTTAGATTTTATGTTTCTTGAAAATAAGAACACAACCTACCGAATGAGCCATAACAACTTTTTTTTTTTTTTTTTATGCAGTTAAATAAGTGCTTTCTTGTTTTGTTATCAATTCATTGTTAGTTGACACGAGTCAACATGGCAAGCATACATTTGAATTATTTAGATTTTATGTTTCTTGAAAATAAGAACACAACCTACGAATGAGCCATAACAGCTACTGCTCTCTGATAATATAATCAGGTTATGGGGAGGAGATGTCAAGACCTTCACGGATATACAAAATCGGATGGTCCATGAATAGATGGGTTCTAGAAATTTGGCGTCAGCAACAGTTCTTGGTGGCTTTCAAGTTTCAACCTTGACCTTGAAAAATTGTCCCATCTTTTAGAATTCATCATTAACATTGTTGAAAAACTGACCTGACTCGTTATATGGTCAATAAATGTCACTAGAGACAGTGACCACTCTTTCTTAGAGATAAAGATAATGGTTGGATATGGTTATTGGCAATGAGATTGTTATCATAAATGAAATGTAATTTCAGTTTAAAGAATTTATACACTTCTACTTGCCATCAAGCAGGCATCTAAAATGGTAGCTTTCTCATTTGGAAGTTGGCATTTATTAGGTGATTATGGAGTTGGAAGGAGGTCAATGTTAAAATACCTAATTAGCAAGAATACAAATTTGTAAAAATTAATTATTTCGGATTAGATTTAGCTCATTAGGAAGAAATAGTAATAATGATTAGCTGATGTAAACAGGTCAGTCTAAAAATACTTTGAACAGGGACTGGTTAACTTAACCATGAGCAACCCTAGAGGATTGGACATTTCCAATAACCTTGTATTTTACCATAACTAAATAAGTTTTATATGGTAAAATATGCAAATCAAAATCAGAAAACCTTTACCAGGTCAGCTGGACGAAGCAATGGATATGTAATCAATAATCATAATCCAGGAACATTAACATTAATCACCTGAACAACCAGCACAATCTGAAATACAAGATAAAAGCCTATAGAATTCGACCTGTACAACATTTTACAGAGGTTTGAGGAAAATCCTGTCGCCATGGGACAGAGGCAAGGCAGAACTATTTGGAACTTGAAACCGGTAGATGGCGATAATAACTTTCCCTTTGTGGTCAAACCAAAGGCACATCACTTCTCTTCGTAGTAAAATCAAAATTCAAGACGCAACCTTAAGGGAAACTAATACGGCTCCTGCAATAACATTTCTAAAGCTGATGACATGAAAATAAAAAAGGCAACTGCCAATATTTAATAGAACCATATATGTGTAAAGATATGCCCCTGCTACTTGCACTAGTAATATTATAATCCCTGCGGTCATACTGATTATTGACAACCACCTTTTGAGTTTGGAAAATGAACAAAGAAGAAACAGCTAAGGTTGGGCCAATAATGAAAGCAGAAATAAATGGTATTCATTAAAATCCAATAAACTTGCGGAACTACAACAATTTTTCCACTTACCAAGGTACAATCCAATTGGTAATGCTTAAACCTTCCCACAAGAAGGAAAAAAGAGTAACCTGCTCAAGCCATCCTTTTAAGCAAGGTACCGATACAATTTTCTGTCAGAACTATCCCTCTCTAAGAAATCTCGTTCAATAAGAGACTCAATACGTTTCTTAATCTCTGTGGGATTGGCCAGAAATCGCGACTGCAACTGCTTTGTGACCTCAGCAATTATATTGTTATGATCCAACACCCTTCTTGATTTCATGATCCTAACTATTGCTGCTTCTATCTGGGGCTTCCTGTCCTCCTCCACTCTCTGCCGAGTCTCTTGCTTTTCAGGTTCTGATTCCTTTTGTGCAACTACAGTTCCTATCTTCACCTTGTAGAATTTGCTTGTAAATTTGTCGTTGACGAAAAAAGCATCTTCCTCACCAATGTCTTTACTCATGGGCTCTTTTCGAAGCACATTCTTTCCTTTCACACAAGCCATAGATTGCAGGCACCTCTTCAGGTCTGAAGCAGGAATTTCTGTTGCTTGCTCAATCTCCTTGTAGCTAAGCCGATCAGCATTGTTAAACAGCATAAGGACGCACATTTGATAAGTAGAAACATTCAACTCGTGTTTCTGACCCTTCCCAAATGTTGCTTTAATGTCTGCTGTGCCCATGTTAGTCTGCCAGGAGAGTCTCCGACCGGTATGGGTTCCAAGGTAATAGGATCGGAACTTCTCACATAGTGCTGACATTTCAGTAGGCAAGTTGCAAGTAACACTAGGCTGAGTTGGCCAAGATCCCGTTGTCAAAACCTGGACAACCAGTGTAGGTCCATCCCCTAGCTCAGGGTGGCTTGCATAAAACCCTTGCATTGTGTCCTGGGAGGTCTTCATGTCAGTAAACATGCCTTCTAACTTTGAAGTGAATTGATATCCACATTCAGTCTTAAGTTTGACTATTAAACTTCTCTCTGCGTCATCAGAGACAGTTTTACCTGATAACAACCGTTTAGCCAAATGCTGTTTATAATACTTCTCAAATACATCTTTCTCCTGCAAGTAACGGAACAACATCATCACTTTATCAAGAATAATCTCCACATCTTCCTCACTAACTCCCTTTAGACCTTTCCGAAGTTTGTCGTCCACGAACAACGAGATAAACTCAGGAGAGCGAGCATTCAAGTTAATGAAGTATTCAAAAGAGGAATTCAAAGCATTCTGGAATGTCTTATCATTGTTGAATGCCAAGCTTATGATGCTATCATACTTATCTTTTTCATCCAGCAAACGCTGAACAAATTCCACAGGATCCTTCAATCTTTCTGGATCAGTAACTAGTTGTTTTCCTGTCTCCCTGAGGTGAGAAGTCATCACTTCTCGTATTTTTAGAAGACCATTAGGAACCCGACGGAATAGGTTATACATTCTTCCCAAGTCTTCATACTTATCATCAAGAAGCATATTTACCAGGCCTGAGTTATCCATGTGCACTAGTCTCAGCATGTGGTTAGCAATCATTTCCTTCTCCACCACATTAGTTATCTTGACTTCACTCTTGGTATCCAAGTAGTGGGTCACTCTCTCCATCTCTTCATTCAAACGTTTCTCGGCTTTTTTCAAATATTCCCCACAATCACAGCATTCAATAAATTTTTGAGATTCACCCCTATAAAACTCAGCTGAAACCTCAAGAAATGGCTTCTCAAAGTCTTCTTGGTAAACTGAAGAACCTAAATCCATAAGCATCTTGATTATGTTCCTCATCAATCCTCTGTCTATAACTTCAACAGTCCGTTCTCTGTGAACAAGTTCAAGAAGTGTATTAAGAAGCCTGGTTTGGATTTTGCTCGAGTGTATGATATTATCCCTCCACAAGTTTAGTCCAAGCTCATGAACTGGAGTTTTATGCGTGCTTGGAATATATGTCCTATCCATGTACATCAATATATCCCTAATCATTTGCAATGCTTTGTTATGGTCATTCCATTTCCTGTTCAGCTCCTCTAAAAATGAATCTCCCTGAGCAGCCTCAATAGATTTTGATATTTCTTTAAGATGTAAAGTCATAGTTGAGACCAGACCAGAATATAACTTTTCACCAAATTTGTGAAGCACCATATTATAGGCATTCCTGAAATAATGCCAAAACTGTAGCATTAGAAATACAACTGTTTTAAATTCTGTGAGCTTTTGTCCCTTCCAATGATAACCAAACGTAATGGATGTTTCAGGAAGTGTGCAAGCCCTAGAAGTAGTGAATATTAGCAGCCTAAATAATTGCAAACTTCGGATGGGTAGTGCAGAAAAATCTAAAAAACAGGCTTGTATATACAAAAGAGGATTATAACAAGGGTGAATAATCAATATATGGATTCCACAACTATAAAAATCTAAAAAATATTCTGGTTTCCATACAAAATAAATATATAAGTTATAAATAAAATTTTTAAAAAAATAAAGAAGCAACTCTGGAGAGAGAAGCCATTGTGGAAAAGCACAGAGAGCACCAGAACGTCTTCAAATTCCTCTCTCTTAAAAACGGGCAGAGTTAGACCTTTGCACATGCATCCAAATTTTAATTCCTTCTACACACACACAATATTATCATAATAAAGAAAATCAACAGATAATACAATCAAATGTTATCTACAATGAAGAAAATAAGATGACCAAGGAAATTGTCTTTTTTCACAGACAGAAAAGGGAAAGGAACAAGAAATGACTTAGAGACAATAAAAGCAAATTCAACAGTTAGATTCACAATTCAATATAATCGAATCCTATTAAATTTGAATTTGCTTCAAGAATTTAGTCCATTTCCTATATATATTTTTCTTTTTCTTATACACGGAAGGGAAAATAAAAAAGAAACAGACGTAATACTATCACACCTATAAAGTCCACTTCCAATTGAAATTTTCTTAACTAGCTATGAGCTCTTTTTCTGCTACTTGAGGTAGTAAATAACACTTAATCACCAGCAATTAAAGATCATAATGTACTCAAGTAACCAACACCGAGTCCAAAAATAATATAAAGAACAAAATATGTAAATAATACTATGGCAGAGAAACTAAATAGCTCAGATGCTATTGTTCAAAAGACAAAGCAATAATACGAGCAAAATCATCAAATTGCACCATCCAATTCTAACACCATTCTCTCCTCCAATCAAATACCAACATATCTATTAGTAATATCAAATTTCACCAAAATATGCAACCTAAGTAGCAAAACCGAAGTCAGGAAAAAGAAATGAAAGCAAATAATCAACAAATATAATTATCAAACATAAAAAACGCAATACTAAAGTTTTTTCTAGCACAGATAGAAATAAACCATTCTTAATTTCAAAGGACCTAAACAATATCAATACATGCAAACTTGTAATTTCAAACAGATTAAAGAGAACAAACCTATAAAGCTCTTCAAAACTGAGACCACTAGCGTTATGATTGTAAATCTCATGAATAGCATGTTCCAGAATCTTCCAGGTCTTATCAGCGTATTTCGGATCCACCACGACCCGGTGCTTAAACGCCTCTATTTGGAAGTTCCTCTTCTTCTGATTACTCATCTTTTCCCTCCCGGATCCGAATCCTAAACCTAAAAACCCTGATCTCCCGCTCCAAATCCACAAATGATCCAACGGCGACGATCGAAGAATCGGAGGAGCTGAAAAAGAAAGCTGGCAAAGAGAGGCTAGTCACCGGAGACCGGTTAAAAGACCGGAAGATGTGTACGGAAGGGAAATTAGGGTTTGAAAATTGAGGTTTTTTGGAGGGGGTATTACTATTAAAGGGGAAATATCAAATCAGGGAAAGACGGCATGGGGCCTAAAATGAAATTATTTATCAGGAGAAATTTTAAAAAAAGAAAAAAAAAAAAAAAAAAAAAACGGAAGGGAAATTAGGGTTTGAAAAAATTGAAGGTTTTTTTGGTGAGGGGGTATTACTATGGGGAAATATCAAATCAGGGAAAGGGAAACGGCATGGGGCCTACAAATGAAATAATTTTATCAGGAGAATTTTAAAAAAAAGAAAAAAAAAAAAAAAAAAAAAAAGAAAGAAAGAGAGGAAGCAATGATAAAAATGGTCTATAGGTGGAGAAGCAGATGATTGATTTGAGCGTGTGGAAAAAGAAGCACGGAAGGCTTTGGCTTTTTCGGTGGGTTTTTGGAATGCCGTTTGGGCTAGCAGAATGAAGTTTACGAATTTGTTTTCCCCTTTTGTTTCGTGATTTGAAACGTTTCTTTTCCGTTTTTGTTATTCGTGATTTAATAGACTGAGCACTAGATACGTTTTCGCCAGTTGGAACTGTTTTGAGCAAAAAAAAAAAAAAAAAAAAAAAAAAAAAAGAAAGAAAGAGAGGAAGCAATGACTAAAAATGTCTATAGGTGGAGAACAGATGATTGATTTGAGCGTGTGGAAAAGAAGCACGGAAGGACTTGGCCTTTTTCGGTGGGTTTTGGATGCCGTTTGGTAGCAGATGAAGTTACGAATTTGTTTTCCCTTTTGGTTTCGGATTTGAAACGTTTCTTTTCCGTTTTTGTATTGATTTAATAGACTGAGCACTAGATACGTTTCGCAGTTGAATGTTTTGAGCGCGTCTAAATAAATAAAAACGACGAAACAGTACACTGTTTCGACCCATGGGCTGACTTAACAAACTAAAATGGGTCAATAGTGAAACAAGACCGATAAGAATAAAACTTTGGGCCCATACAAGTATATAAATCCAGCCCATTAGTATCGTTATTTTCGTTTCCGAGTATTACCCTTACTCTTTAGCTTAATTTTGAAGCACAAGATACGTGGCGTCGTATTGACGCATCCAAATGAGTCCCTACATAGACCGCGAAGTTTCGAAACTTGACTAGCGGTAGCTCTACAACTCTCCACTGTCTCTCTTCTCACGCCTACTACTGGTACGATTCTTCATTGCAGAATCTTCTAGTTTCACTGTTCATCTTGAATTATTGGTTTTATTAATCCTTTGATTCTTTATTTCTTTCTGTCTTTTTGTTTCTTTTTATTTGGCGTATTTGTGATTCGAGTTGACTTGATGATTCTTTGCTGGTTGTGAAGGACGAATTTATTTTATCTGCCAAAAATGCCGGAAGATTTTCATACTGAGCGCCCTTTGTTTGGTGGTGCTATTGTTAGCACCTTTCCTGTTAGATTTCAGGTTAGTCAATTGTTGCTATCGTTTATTTCGTTGTACTTTTTTCTAAAGGTTGTTAATTTGACCAAAGCGTACCGAAACTTGTAGGATGTGAGCAATGTTCGGCAAGTCCCTGATAATCAGGTTTGGTTATGTATAATTGTCGAGAATTAAATGAAATGACTTTTTTTATTTGTTTTTTAATTCTGGGTATTTGTTTTATTTTTTAATGTTATTGAACACTTGTTATTTATGGTTATGAAGGAGGTATTTGTGGACCCTGCACGTGATGAAAGCTTGATCTTCGAGCTTTTAGATTTTAAGCATGATGTTGCAGATAATGGAAGTGCCACCTGGTTTCTTCAGGACCTTGCTAATGAACAAGATGCAGAGGGTTGCACGGTATGTCCGTTGTGATTTTAGGCTTCTAGTTTGGCCACGTAATAAGTGTATCTGGTTGTCTTATATTTACATTAATATACATGAATAATGAAATTAGTGTGGTAGTTGACATTTGTTCATTGTCTTGTGAATAACTGTGTCACATTATTTTCAATCGCGCACCTTGTTAGGGGGAAATCCAAAGGTTTCTTTGAAAAAATTTATGTTTATAATGTGTAAGGATGGTGATTGTCTGGTAGACAACTTTCTTTTGACTGAATTGGGCACTTTTTGTTGTTTGTAAATTTAACCCTTTTTGTTTTCTGCTGTCTTACTTCAGCTGATTGAGCAGTCTGGAGTAGTTGAGGCCCCTAGTTTCCTTTACAGGAATGTTCCTGCAGTTGTTACCACTGCTGTTGGCCAAATGGTGCGTGTTCTATCTATTACATTTAGCAATTTTATCGCTTAGTGGCTCTAGCTTTTGCTGTTTTATGCTTTTTATACTGCTGTTGGCCACTGCTGGTTATGCTTTTTTCTCTAGTTATTTGTGTCATTCAAGTGGCTAGTGTCATATATCTCTTGCATTTTCCTTGATAGGTATTAAAGCCTAATGCTTTGTTAGTTGGTTTAGATTTGATCTAAAGAGAGGTCTTTGACTCTTTTCAAATGTCCCACCTTTTCATATTATGAGCATGAATCTAAGGTTGATTTAGTTTTATTAGGATAGCAGTATAATGTTTGTGGAGTTGAAAATTAATGTTATGTATAAAGAGACATGAGACATTTAAAGAAAAGTAATAGAGGGAACTTATTTGTATTAAATTATAAGCAATAAAGTAACTTGGGAAAAGGATGTGAAAATTTTGAACTGTGTGTATTCGCAATAGCAGAGCTGCTGAGGCAGCTTATATAAATTTTAGTCAAAAGTGCATTCAATTTTCTCTTCCAACATGATATAAGAGAGTAGCTTAGTCTGTTTTGAAATTGTCTGCTCTGCTTTAAATATAATGACTCCTGAGGATATGGTTTACTAATTAACTAAGGCACATTGTTGTATAAAACCTTAAGAAACTTGTTCTGCTGCTTGTCTTTCTTCACTCTAATATTTTAATCTGTTTCTTCTCATAGTCTGCATTTCTTCACATTATGACGTAAACAGGCGATTTCTAAGGGACGACAAGGAAGGGAAGCGCAAAATGTTGTTAGGGTAAATATGTTGGATGTTCTCTCCATTCTCCAATTTTTCAAAAATGTTGAGCATGATATTGATTTGTATATTTGCTGCAGGTTTATTTGGCCAATCTACGTCTTAAGGGAGTTACAACAGATGTGCTTATAACTGCATATGAACCCATCTTAATAAAGTAAGTGTAAAACAATGCAACAGAAGGAAAAAAAAATTCATATTTACAAGAGCATAATGTAGGAATTCCTTTAATATGAATTCTGGAGAAGTAAAAAATTCCGCCTATCTTGGATTTTGACCTAGTGATGAATTCTGCTGAGCCTGTCTGGAGCCCAATGCAAGGAGAAAGGCTGGATTAGGCTAACAGCTGCTATAAAATTGTCATATTTTTATGACATGAATGCTAGGAAACAAGAAAAGGGATTCGCACAGCCAACTTCAGATAGTCTGGGACCTTATTAGAATTTGGTTTTGTCTTAAGAGTGAAAGAGCCTCTATTTGTAGGATTTACTTTAGACATGTAGTTTCTTGCTTTGGAACTATTAGAGCTAACAACAGGAGATTTCAACTGTTAATTATCATTATAATTTTAGGCCATTGGAGGTCACGGGACGTAGAAGCACTTGAAAGTAAAAAGAATCCTTAATTTAGGCTTCATTTGTTACATATATGTATATAGTATTATAGCAAAAGGCAAAAAAAAGAGAACAGGTAGACCATAAGAGCTTATGTTATTAGTTCTATCTTAGATTCACACGTGACATGTGTGAAGATTTGAACCCAGGATACAACAATCTGATGCCTGCTTAATCACTTGGGTGAAAGCCCAGAGGTTTCTTTTATGAATGGTTCATGCATATTTCATCTGGTTGTGCACCAAAATAAAGAGATCATTTTTTGCACTTGCCTGTTTCTCTTACAGTGGGCTTCTGTTTTATTTTGTGATTGCAGTCCCCTAAGTGAAAGTGCAAGCACTGTTGGTGCGGGTTTAGCAGTTCCTGCAACACAATCTGGATTCCTGCCAATGTCCGAGGTATTTAAACTTGCTGTTTCTACCTTCAAAGTCAATGACTGGAACCTTTTTGGTAGTTCGGCTGCCTGAGTCTTGTGAAAGTTGCAACTACACAGAAACAAGTTCTGCGACCAAAGCAATGTGAAGGTGTAGTTTAGACGAGAGTTTTATTGTTTATTTTCATGTTTAAATTAACATTTAGACAATTCTGCACAAAGTAGCCCTTCTCCTTATTTGTTCTTGGTTTGTTGAATTAATTAATAGATAAACGCATATTTTGATTGCTCGCACGAGACTATCGTGACTAAATTGTATATTGACAACTGGTATGATTATTTGCTAGAAAAGACTGAAAGAGAGAGCTCTGGTTAACCACCACTATAACAAATTAGGGGAATGAAATGATACATGCAGAATCATCTCTCTTGACTGAGAAAATGCAGGGTATGCACACATGGGGAAAAGTTGATGTCGGTTTTGAATCCAAAGAAAATTTTGACCCTTATAAACGTGCTGCTTGAGAAGATTTAGCTCATTTTATCTAGTCCAGTTGCACTCTATATATATTAGTTCTATCTTTACGTGAAAAGAAAGAAAGTGCAGATGCCACTTTAGTAAAGAGAACTCCTCAAATCATTATCATGGAACTTGGTTGGGTAAGTAGAAAAGCAGACACTCAATCAATGTACTAACAATTATGAAGAAGTTGAGAAGCTGTTGCAGTGAAATCTTGACCAGGAAAGGTCATTATTTGACAAGACAATTTGATACTTATCGGTGAAAATTTGACAATTGTTATAAGCAGTTACATTAATTTTAAATCCCTTCATGCTTCATGTTTTTTAGCAGCTTAATTTTTAATAATGAGAATTTTACATCTTTGGTAAAAAATAATATAGAAGTGAGTGAAAGAAGTAAGAAGAGAGGTGATGTAGGTCAAATCATTTTGTTTCTGATGCTTCCTTATCTTTGTAATAATTTATCTTTTTGCTTGATTATCTGTTTAGTACTAGATGTCGGCGCAGTGATTTAGACAAACATCTTCCAAATCAAAAAAAGACATTTTCATTAGACTTATCAAATCAAATCTTCTCTCTCTCTCTCTCTCTCTAATGACACACATTAATGGAGACTGCTATCCAGTGGTTAAGTGTCCCTTTTGGCTGAGGCTGCTTCAATCATGGAGGTAACATTGATAGCAACTCTCTATGCCTTTGAAAGCTACATTCTGGCTACCACTTCTCATTTTTCTACTTTATAATCAACCCTTTTAATAATCAACCCTTTTAATAACACCTCAAATCATCATTAAGTTTTAAATCAAACTCCCTAGCCCATTTAAATTACCGATTAAAATTAAATGAAGGTAAGAGTTAGATTTTTATAAATAATTTCTAAGTTATTTGAATAGAGGTAAAATATAGAAAAGATGTAAAATAGAAGTGAAAATGTTTTGAGATTCTCAAAATCTCTTTCACCCTATTTTCACTCCATTTTGAAAGGAAAATAAATAATAAAATTTCACACTTTTATTTTACCTTTTCCTTTTTTCCAAACATAATATTGGTATTGCACTCGAGATAACTGTTTGTTTAATACTAAAAAATTTTTTTTTTAAAATCAAATTCATTTAAATGTTTATAAGCTTTTCACGTGCATTTTCATGGTTACATCGAGGATGGTATTTAGATAGTTATCTTTTTTTTTTTAAAATGAAAATATTACTTTGTAAATTATTTAACTCATGATTGAAAATATCTACTAGGATAGATAAATGACATTCCCCTCATCTTGCTTCATCAAATATAGAATCAGTCATCCCAACAATCGTATTAACCACTTGATTCACTATTTCTTTGATAAAGCTAATCCACGTAAACTCATTTTAGCAATAGCTAATCAAAAACTCTTCATATAAATTAAAAATGACCTAATACGCAGTCTACTTCCACTTTCTAACTACATGTTGCTATTAATTAAAGCATATTGAAAAGCACTAATGTTGAAAAACAAGTTTAATAGTCAATCGCGTGGTAAAGTAGTGGGTCCAATGTAATTCAAAGAGACACAATTAAAATTGTTTTCTCATATGTGATGGTGACTCTATTTGAAATGTTTGTGCCCAATTCACATTAAATATCATATACTAAAAATAATATATAATTAGTCAGAATTCACAAAGATTTCCAAAAAGTCCAAAATTTTAACATCAAGATTGATCTTATTAATTCCATGCATAACAAAATTTCAAAAGCAAACTACTAATCAAAACTTTTGATTGTAGATGCCTCCTAAGATAGGTTGTTGTGATTTGCCCAACATTAAAACATTAATTATTATAATTAACGAATAAAACCACATTACTTGGTCTCTGATGAACATCACCAACCTTATAATAAAAAAATGGAAAAATTACCAAAGCAAAAATGATTTACAGCAAAAAGCAACAATAAAAAGGACAGAAATAAAAATAATATAAATAATAGAGCATATGGGTCATGGCGGTCAATCCTAGCCCAGCCCAATTGAGACGAAGAAGACACATCATACTTCTAATATCATGAGTCCATAAAAGCAGGCAGTGGGCAAAAAGTCATGCATGATGTGACCCAACTTCCATTATTTATAGGCAAATTACATATCCATTCTAAATATTTTTACATTATACAAATTGCCCCTGTATTTGAAAAAATCTTATAGTGTTTTATAATACACATAAGGAGTTATCATATTTAAAATTATAAATTTCAACTCTAGTTAAATATTACAATATTATATTTCTTTATTTGAATATTTACTATGATGTGATGGTCAATTTTTATGATTGCAAGTTCAAAATATAACTACCAACAGTTTTTAGCTAATTAGATTTCGATTAGGTTAATAATTGATTCATTATACGAAATTTGTAGACTGTATGTCTATATGATTTTGATCAATCAAAATTTTTAAGTATATATATAAATATTATAAATTAGTTAAATTTGAATTTAATTATAGTTACTAACAAGGACTTAGATCAATGAAAATAGACTATAATTTCTAGGCAAATTATAAATAAAAAATAAAAATGTCATATTTCCCTTTTGTCAATAATCATTCAATTTTCTTCATTTGCATGATCAAGAAAAGGAAAAAGGATAAAGAAAGGCTGAAAATGTTTAGTAACACGTCAGCCCTAAGTTTTGGGAGGGAATCGTGGGAGCGTAGCGAATAAGAGATAAAGGTGATGTAAGCCCTAAGAGGAAGATTCCAACTGTCGAGTATGACGTGGCACTGTCAGCCAAACCACCAACTTGGCCAGAGAGAGTAGAGAAGGACATTCCATTACATGAGCTGGATTGTGGGTCCATTGCCTTCTTTTAGCTTAGTAAGTGCTTAACTATCACCAGATTTATTGGAGCTTTATGCTTAGTCTCTTTCCTATGTATGGTAGTAGCCAAAAATATCAAGTTTTTTTTTTCAAACAAATTAATAATTATTACTGAATTATTTGCAAAAAAAAAAAATTATTTTTATTTTTACAAATCAAATAATTTTGTCCTCACTTTAACGTATACATTGGTAAAAAATAACTGTAATATTACTCAATCAAATTTATTTATATAAAATTTTTAAATCTTTAATTTATTTTTTTTTAAATTGTCCAAATTCTTTTCTAAAGAGTCGAGATAAAATTAAACTTATTATCATGAAAGAGAGGTTCTAAAGATATATAAAAGGTATGAACATGACAAAAATATCAGCCGCCATGGAGGTCTATATTATCATAATATTTAATATTTAAATTCTAAAAGATAAATCACCGATCTTTGGACCGAGTATAATTAAGCTTAAGTACACATATATAGAGTACAGATCATAGAGGTCCATTTCTTTAATTTTTGTGACAAAGTCAAGATCTACAGACGAAGAATCAAGAATGTATAGAATTTCGTGGCAAAAAATTATGCCGACATAAATGTATATAGTCAATTCTTGATTTAAAGGTTTACCATGCAAAAATAAAGCAGCCCATTGCTGGAAGAAGACCTAGCTAGGTAGGTCAACTGGTGTCGGGTTACAGAAATTTATATATAAGATGAAGACACCGATAGATAGAGTACAAAAATTCTTTCATCAAATTAACCTAACTACTATATCCAAATTCTTAATTAATTAATTCATATGCTTCATTTTCTTTATATGGCGGTGCATTGGACACTAGCTATACGTCCTAAGTCTTGACTTTCTTGTCAACATTGTCTTTCAACCATATCATGATTTTATGATATATTATTCAGCAAAATGTTAATTTCTTTCCAATCAAATACGGTGTGATTTGATTTGGTTTTTCCAGGGGTGAGAAGTTTTGAATATCTTCGAAATGTTGAGCTTTTTCTGATGTATTTAACCAGATTTTTTTATTTTAGCATAATTGAATTACTTTTGGACGTACATGAAAAGTTTATTAGCTCGGATAAAATATATTAATAAAATTAAAATATTTATCTGCCGATAAAAGAAATGATATCTTAAATTAAAGAGATGTTTTGAATTTGAATTCTCTTTAAGATAAAAGCTATCCTTTATTATATAATTTATAATATTATTTCAGTTTATTAGATTGATATTTATAGATTACTTACTTGAATGTAGAAACTGAATTAGAAAAATAGGGATCAAATTATATATAAAGATGGTTTGGATTTGAAGTGCAACAAAATATTTTGAATGAAAAAGAAACAGTGATGCTGTTTTGTAATAATTGCATGGTCCAGATACCAAAAATCAAGGATTACTGCAACCAAATTAATTAAAGAAAAATATTGTATTTTTTATTTTGATTTTAATTTGTTAGGCGGTTTCAATATTGTAATTTGGAATTTTTTTTATCGTAAAAAAAAAGATGAATTTTATATAAATCGAGGTTTTTTTAAGTTATTTTACTTAACATTTTAGAATTAGATGGGTGTATTTAGAAATTAAATTTTTTCTGAATATAAATTAATAAAATAAACACTTATTGCTGATAAAAAAAAAATGCATGCATACATTATATACATTGCTTTTAGTGCAGGGTACGGAAAGTGATGTGATTGTATAGTCTTTCTTTCTTTCTTAAAATGGTGGAGTGATCCCATTTTGTTAATCTATAGGGTTGGTGCATGCCAACCTGTCATTCCTCATCTCATTCTTCCCTCATGACCCAATCCAATCATTAATTTCATGAATAGGAAAATAACATTTTAATACTTTAATTTACATGTTAGCCTTGAAACAGTGAGTCATGTCATTTTCACTCGGTAAGTAAGTTAGCTCTATCTATGTTTAATTCAGACAATTATCAATCAGTAAATTAAAAAAAAAAAAAAAGTTAAAAGAAATTGATTCGGACAATTGGTGGAAACAAAGGTGAAAATTTCTCCTAGGAAACTAATTTTAATACTGATTAATTAATTAAACTGATAAATATATATTTTTTTTTATCATGAGATGTCTTTGAGCATACTCAGCAAAATGTGCTTGCTTTAATTGGTGTTCTCATCTTTACGAAAATTGAAGTTGTTTATCACTTTAATTAATATATTGTTCATATTTTAAGATATCTCACTAATTAGATTACTATATCTTTATCTGAAAGCAGTTAGTTTTCTATTTTTTTCGTTTTTACTTTTTATTTTTTAGAAAAAAATGAACTTTGCAAAATATAAAGCATGATGCTGGCCTCAGAGGCTCAAACACAAGGACCACACACAGTGTATAGAAACCAGAAATATTGTGAAATTAGGATTTCTTAACCTGATTTTGGATATGTAATAAAACATAATTAGAATGGTTATTGAGGTAGTAAGTTTGAAGTGATGAAACCAGATTGAACTAAAATACATATAAATACTTTAGAAAATGACTTAAATCTGCAGCCCAGTAACGCCCAACATTCCGACAAATTTGTTTCTATGATTGGCCAATTTTTGGATGGTAAGCTATCTGCATCACCGCTATGGGTGCCGTGGCACGTGATTTTTCACGCAATCTTTTTTATTTCTTTCTTTCGTTATATATCCTTTTTTTTCAATGGATTGGATAAGATAAAAAAAAAAAAAAAAAAAAAAAACACACAGTGTATAGAACCAGAAAATAATTGTTGAAATTAGGATTTCTTAACTCTGATTTTGGATACTGTAATAAAAACATAAATTAGAATGGTTATTTGAAAGTAGTTAAGTTTGAAGTGATGTAAACCAGAATTGAACTAAAATACATATAAATACTTTAGAAAATGACTTAAATCTGCAGCCCAGTAACGCCGCAACATTTCCGACAAATTTGTTTTCTATGATTGGCCAATTTTTGGATGGTAAGCTATCTGCCATCACCGCTATGGGTGCCGTGGCACGCTTGATTTTTCACGGCAATCTTTTTTATTTCTTTCTTTCGTTTATATATCCTTTTTTTTTCATATGGACTTTGATAAGAAAAAAAAAAAAAAAAAAAAAAAACATTTATCGGTCGACCCATCTTCAAATTTCAGATCAATAAATTCGATCAAACCTAACCCCTGTGGTACGTGTAGTCCTAAATATAGTACGTCACTGTGGCTATAGGACTATAAATATATATACATACTCAAAAATTAGGGTTTTTATATAAGAAGGGTTCCTTATTTTTAACCATTTTACATTTAGATAGAAAGAGAGCACCAAACAGCAGGTGTAGACTCCATTTTAAGAGATTTATATGGCAAAAAATTAATCATAATTATTATTATCTAGTCGCTGCAAATATATATATATATATACTCTCTCTCTCTCTCTCTCTCTCTCTCTCTCATTATGTATATTTCCTTGTCAATGAAACTTCAACCAACTAACATGGAATAATTAATACAGGTGGTCCCTAGAGATTGATGATTCTGATTGACTGTGGATAGCCATGGCTTGCTAGATTTTTTCACACACATATATACAGTTAATTAATTATAGTTTAATTGTTTAATTACCCTTAATCTAGTAATTAATATATGTTATTTATGAAAAAAGAAAAGAAATGTGTCTATCTGATAGAAGAAACATGGTAACTGTCAGAGGTTCAATGATTAAATTATGGGTTCGATTCAATTTAATGTAATGAAGAATTGAAAAAAGTTGACGATAACCAAAAGGCTTACAGGTTTTCCCTACCCAAAATAATTCTGAATCCTGTTAGGATTGGACTACAACGTGATTGTGTCGTTGGATTTGGTGACATTTCCATGAGGACAGGACCTTGATATTATTGGTTTCATCTTTATACTTACTATTATTATTATTATTATTATTATTATAAAAATATTTGGAAAAGAAGGGGAAAAAAAAACATATCTATGAAGCTTTCATATTATTAATTGGAACAAAGAGATCGAGTTTCAGATTTCATCATTGTTAGGTATAAATAATGTTGGTTGTTTAACTTGTGTCCATCACTACTATATTTTGTTTGTTTCCTTCCAAGTTACACTTCAGCAGTCACCAGCCATGAATTAAAATTAAGGGGCTAAAAAAAGTTTCAAGAGTCAAGAAGATTGAAATTGAAAAAAATTATTATTTTGCAGGATAAAATAAAAAAAATTTAATATTTTATGGGTTTTTTTTTTTTTTAAAAAAAAATTGTTAGTGGGGATAGGGCCATCCCTAGACCCCCTAGTTCCATCACTGCACTTCTGGATGCAATGCACATAATCACATATTATCGGTCTTGATTGAATTTTGGAAAAATGTATAAATTGGTGTTTAAATTTATAAAGCTTTACTTGTTACACCCATGAACTTTTATTCGTCGACTTTAAGCCCTTAAAACTTTATTTTAGTAAAAATTAATTAGCCTTTCAACAAATTATGCAGATATTATAAAAATTTATCTAAAAATTTTAAACTCCAACATTTCCCAATTTTTTAAAACAAACAAAGATAGTCACCAATTGAAAATATTTGATAATAATAAAATAGCTCTCCTAACTGGCTTATAAAGAAAAATTATTAATAATAAAATAAGTTTTCTCAAAAAATAAAAAATAAAAAATAAAAAAGCTAATTAAATCTAAAAATAACCACATATTTTTTTTACTAATAAAAATACCTATTGACGGATTAGTAATGAAAAGTGTATGTTAATGGTTTTGTGAAAGAGTATATAATATCTCTAAGCCATGTAAAAAAAAAAAAATTCCTGTGGCAATATCATTTTTAATTATTTTCTTCAATCTTATTATTCAGTGATGGTTAAAAATTAAATAAAAAAGAATTAGTTCATAAAAAAAATCAGCTATCATTGAAAGAAATAACTACTTACTATCTCAACTATCATCAATATAATTACAACTCCCACATAATGAATAAGGTATATACATCCCCTTTGCATAATAGAAGGGAGGGAAATTGAGGGTTAGAGGTTGATATGCAAATGCTCCTCAATTCATTTATTTTCGAAGCCAAACGTCTTTAATTGTATTAAATAATTTAATTTAATAGGAGGATTTTAACATAATCGCTTTTCAATCCAGAATGTATTTAATTTTTATCTAATAATTAAATAGAGGATGATAGAGGAATACCCTTATAGCACCAAAATAAATGACCTTTCTTTAAAAATAGCAAATATCAAAATTGGGATTAAGTGGGGAAAATAACTGGAAAAAGAAAATGATTTAGAAAGAAAAGCAAAGGTGCATTAGTATTTAGCAACACGGTAAAGACTAAAGAGCAAAGCGAGAGAAGGAAGGGCACAATGATTGCTGGAATGGGATGGGACCCACCTCGATTATCTTTTCTTTAACAATTCTTTCTTTCAGTTTTTTTGACTTGGGATATTGGGCCCCTCCACTGTCTTTATGGATTGAATGATAAATAGCACCGCACGTGGAGTCTGAATCAAGCCACTGTCCATTCCAACCACAATAAAACCACGCACACACACACACACACACACACACACCAAAAACCCCAAAATCCAAAATAATATAATAAAAGTAATTTCTTTTTCTCAAATAAAAACAACCTAACATATCCCCATTTTCCCAATCATTTTGGAGACTAAGATTAAAAATCCGAAAATAAAATTTAAAAAAAAATACTCTGTATGAAAAAGAATAAAATATATCTTTTTCCTTTAATTTTCCATTCTCCGGTCCAGCACCATCATCTCCATAATTCTCACTCATGGTATATGTTGCTTAAAGGTTGGCCTCTTTGAAGGCTCTGTGTTGGTCTCTTACCTTCTCAAAACAAAAATTCGAAATGCTACTCTATCACCAACAACTACCGCAAACAAATACACAACAGACCCACCAAAGTCAGTGAAAAACCCATCAAAATATGTACTACCTTACACCCAAAAGCTATCCAAAACTTATATAAAATTTTTTTATATAAATATATACATATATTTTCTTTTTTCAATTTTCTTTTTTTTTCTTTTTTAAATCTTACCCCCACATCACATGATCATGGAACCTGAAAATGGGATCCGCAACATCAGAACCAGTTTTCCTCTTCAATTACTAGATGAAAAGGATCAATCTATTTCTTCCTCCTCTAATCCTCCTCTTCCTCTTCCTCCTCCTCCTCCTCCGCCTAAAAAACCGCCTCCCAAACGCACCTCCACCAAAGACCGCCACACTAAAGTCGAAGGCCGTGGCCGCCGGATCCGTATGCCTGCCACTTGTGCTGCCCGTGTTTTCCAACTCACTCGTGAACTCGGCCACAAATCAGACGGCGAAACTATTGAATGGTTATTGCAACAAGCTGAACCTGCCGTCGTCGCTGCCACTGGTACTGGTACTATTCCCGCCAACTTTACTTCTCTTAATATTTCTCTTCGTAGCTCTGGCTCTTCCTTCTCCGCTTCTCACCATTTGAGAAACTCTTATTTTAACCCTAATTTGGCCGCTCATCAACACCTACGATCGAGAACCGACTGGGAAAGGAGCATAGCCGCCGTTGATGAATCACCACAACCGCCACAACAGAGAAGAATTCTGTTTCCGTCTGAGGATTCGCTAGGTTTTAGTTCTATTAATTCAAGCATTGAATTACTTAATAAACAAGAAGTGCGCGGCAGCGATACTACTACTTGTTTAGATGTATCTGATGGAGAAACTAGTTTAGGAAGAAAGAGAAGGCTGGAGCATGAATTGTTGTCGCAGAGTAGTCATCAGATGGGGAATTATCTGTTGCAATCCACTAGTGCCGGAACAATCCCGTCGACTCATAGTCCGATTCCGGCGACATTTTGGATGGTGACTAATCCTAATAGCAATAACAGTAACCAAGTGATAAGTGGTGATTCAATGGCGACCTTTCCACCTTTTACTGGTAGTAATAATAATATGTATAGAGGCTCTATGTCCAGTAGTTTGCATTTTATGAATTTTCCTGCCCCGATGGCTCTCTTGCCTGGACAACAATTGGGCGGCGCCAGCGGTGGTGTTGGTGGTATTGTTACGGATAGTCATTTAGGCGTACTTGCTGCACTGAATGCTTATAGGCCAATTATGGGCAGTGGTGACGCCTCGGAGTCTCCGGCGAGTGGGTCAAACCAACACCACGGAGGAGAGGAACATGAACCAAACTAGCTCTGAGTCAACATTTACCCAGATACATGAAGCTGCGAGTCTTGTGATTTGATCTAGAACTTTTCTCACTGTTTCTCATATATGTAAGTATATATACATGATGTGCATTTTGCAAGATAGGTTCAGGGTTTGATATTTGCTTTAAAATTGAGTTTTGAGTTTTAAGTAATTATTGAGTAGTAGTCGGTTTTGGTGTGATTAGTGAGGAGAAAAAAGTTTAGGGTTTGATTAATGAAGTAAGTAACTTGAATATTTGCCCGATGGCCCTCTTAAAGCTCTTTTTTTTTGTCCTTTTGGTATGGCAAATCTTTTCCTTTTCATGCAGGTTACATATGTATTCTATTCTGTAGGCATATATGTCCCTGCTTATTAGTTATTATACATATATAGGCATTCCTAACCCCCTCACATTCATATATATACATCACTCTTCTCAAAAACTTTAGTACTCTTTTATTACAGCTTTACAATGCTTGATTTTGAAATCTCCATCGCTATCTAGGACAGTTAAACATTATATCTTTTCTTATATTTTATGGCTTCCTTAAATCAAGCATTGTATTTCCTCTTTCATATGCATATGCATGCATGTTCAGATCATGTATATTAATCACATCTCATAATATTCAACGAACTGGCACTCGCATCCCAATTGGAAATCATTCAACCAGTAATATAGTAAGAGATAATTGAAGGTGAAGAAGAAGAAGATCAATTGGAAACCATTAGATGACAATTAAGGAACTCCTAATGTTAATTAGTTAAGAAAATCTAGGTTAGGATTGAAGTAGACCTGCAGTTCTGGATTCCAATTATTAATTATGGAATCACCTAGTTCTACCTTCAAGATATCTGTATATATATTATATATGTTTATAAAGTATAACTATAAACCCTAACCGGCCATTACATAACATTATCCTGATTTTATGATCAAGCTGTGATGTCTCATATATATGTTATCTGGTAGTTCAGTACCTGCCATGCATGAATGGTTAAGTATTTGTCTCGTAAGATTGAAGATCAGGGTATAAACCCTAATCAAGATAATCCCTTCCCCTTGAGATTTTTCTTTATAGTAAAAAAAGAATCGCACACCGCTGTATATATATATGCACACATTAATGGCGAGCTATAAATAATATAAGAGAGGTTGCGGTTGGATATGGAGCAGAATGTATGTGGGGCTAGCAAGGTCAGGATTTAAATTCAAGTTTCATGAGAATGGTATGGCCAAGAACTTATTAATGCTTTAGTTTCTATTTGGAGATGATAAACAGAATTATATATATTCCTGTCAAGCTGGCCTGATGCTGCTAATGTTACTACATTAGTTTAAAGGAAATTTTGTACATTTCACAGAGTTGTAAATGCTAATGTTAATACTATATTTATGCTCTTTAATTTAATTTGGTATCTAAGATTGCAATTAATTTTTGGTCTAGGATTGCAGGATGCTGCAATATTGCATATATTTTATTTTTTAAATTTTAATGAACAAAAAGGTTTATATCATAACGTCTTATGGATTGTTGAAATGTTAATTAAACATATGTAAAAATAAAAATAAGAAAAGGACATGGTTATATAGATCTATATGATCATATTAAGTATGTAAGTAATGGTAAATATTAGAAGATTTATCATCTTTTATAGTTTTTGTGTTTTCATTATATTTCAAGTAATATATATCATTTGAAAAAAAAAAAATTGCATCCTAATATTTACTTTAAAATTGAAATATTGAAAGAAAAAATAAATGATTTTTTATAAAAGACTAATCTCGTTTTGAGATTTATGACTGTCTTTTTTATGAGTAAGAAATAATCTTGAAGAAAGCATATGTTGATTCATATATGTTTTACCGTTTGAATCACTCATTATGAGTAAAATAATAGAGATTTAAATGTATCTTTGTAGTTTAATGTGTATTCAGTACTAATCTTAGGGTAAAAATATGATGCAAAATAAAAATTTCTGCATCTATACAGAATTTTATTGTTATCCACTTGATTCAAAATATTCGATGGGAAACGTTGGATTGATTTTAAATGTATGACTTCCTACTTAAAAAACAAATGTCAAAAACTCAAAATAATTATGCTATTTTTTTTCTTTGAAGATGGACTAAATGTCATCCGATTGAGGCAATGAACTTTTTTAAGCAGTCCAATTTAATTAAAAATATATTATATTTTCAATCTAATTGGCCACGTAATGGAATTTTAACTCATGCATATTTTATTATACTTAATTTGGATGTCTATGCTTTTTAATTTAAATTATCAAATATTTTGTCTCAATTAGCTAAAAATTAAATTTCATAATTCATCGGTTCAAATTTTGAATTTTGATAATATATATATTTAAAAAAAAAAACTAAACCAAACCAAATTTTATAAAAAGCAATAATATATAATTTAGTTCGGTTCGGGTATTTTGATTTTTCATTACCAAAAATAAACTAAATAAAAAAAAAATGAAAATTGAATGGTACTCAAAAGTGAATTAAACCAAATTATTTTTGAAAAAATGTGCACGATAGTAAAAGCCTTGACCTCAAATTCTTAATCCAACTATAAATGCACCTTTGAGAGTTGGATAACACAATAACAAAATCTTCGGCCTGGTAAATGATCATACAAATAGATTTGGGCTTTGAGAGGCTAACGGCCCATTGTAATTGATCTGGGCTGCGTGTAAAGGAGTCTATTTTTTAAATTTCTTGTGCATTTTGTATGCAACCGTAGAATAAAAATAATAATATTATTATTTATCATCATCATTATTATTATTATTATTAAGGATATCTATAATTTAAAAAAGTATCATTTCATATTAATATAGTATATTAGAAACATTATTGTTGTTGAAATACTTATTAATTGTGTCAAATTTGTATTGATTGCAGATATATTACTAATTAAACATATAATAAAATAAGATAAAAAAATTATTGAGTACATATACTGTGACTAGGACATTGGATTATTTTACATGCATACAATATATAAAGTTTAACGAGGCAAAATTAGATACAATATTTCAGAAATTGCCATGTTAAATTTTCACTTGATAAATTTTGCCAAGTAATATAAACAAGCAATCAAAAAAAAGGTTATTTAATTAATTACTTGGTGACGCCAATTATCAAATTACGGTCAGCAAGAACAAATTACCACAAATCATGGAAACCAAATGTAACAATAAGTGACCAAAAAAAATAATAAATCAAGAAAAAAAATAAAAAAAAAAAGAAGCAGAAAGTCAAGGGTAATTGATAAAGTTGATGATTTGGCAAGCAGTAATTGGTTTCTGATTTTGAGAGACACAAAGCTGAATAGAATTACATATTCACATGCACACGTCAGATGATTTATAAAAAAATCGGTGCCTCTTTTCTTGTGCTTCATAATATTCTACCCAAAGTCCTCTTTTCTGTGTCCTCTTTTTTGACCTTTTTCATCTCTTCTTTACTTCTTTTCAGTGGCAGGCTGGCAGCAGTGACATTGTGTACACTGTTTCCTCTCTCTCTCTCTCTCTGTCTCAATCAGTTGCTCCCACTGTCTGTATCGTAATAACAAAAGCAAGAAAGCTTCTTGGACAAGAACAAGAGAAATGGGTGGTCGTGGTGGTTCTGGAAATCCTAATTTTCTCCAAGTTATAGGCAACAACTTTGATGTTCTTGCTCTGTATGTCTTTTTAACTGTCTACTCTACTTCATTAATTTTCTGGTTTTTGGTTATTTTATAATTATTTGCTTTTTATTATTATTTTGCAGACCATTAGTCACTCTTGTTTACCCCCTGTAAGTGTCTGTTTGCTTATATTTGGATTTTGTTTTGGACCAGCAGTAGTAGAGATAATCTTATTACGGTATGGATATTTTGCTTTGATATTAACAGATATGCTTCAATCAAGGCTATAGAGACTAAATCTCGCAGTGATGATCAACAATGGCTAACCTATTGGGTTCTATATTCCATGTTGACCTTGTTCGAGCTAACATTTTCCAAAATCCTAGAATGGTAACAATGTCTAAAACTTGGCTTTTTTTCTTTTCTTTTCTTTTTTTTTTTTTTTTTTTTTAATTTCTGATCTCCTGCATTATGAGGCAGCTATATATCTGATCACTAAATTTGGGTTTTTTTTTTTTTTTTAAAAAAAATGCAGTCTCCCTATATGGCCTTATGCAAAGCTGATAATGACATGCTGGTTGGTGCTGCCACAGTTCAATGGAGCAGCATATGTTTATAAGCATTTCATTAGACCATTTTATATGAACCCACAAATTGCTCATCAAAAGATATGGTATGTCCCCAGAAAGAAGGATATATTTAGTAAACAAGATGACATTTTAACTGCAGCAGAAAAGTATATGGAAGAGAATGGAACTGAGGCATTTGAGAGGCTTATAACCAAGGTATACATAATTAATGTATTCTTGCATGCCTAACTAGCAATATGGTATTATAATTTTCTTGCTTTGGTTGTGTAATTTTTTCAGGCTGATAGAGAAGAAAGAGCTAGAAGGAATGGGAATTACATGATCTTTGATGATGATTATATATATTGAGTCTTGTTTAGTGTATCAGTAAAATGGAAAAGGGTGATCCTAATGTATGGTACAATGGCTTGGAATTACTTATATGTGTATTCATTTATATTAATGAAGCTAGTTGTAATCTATTTTAAGGACAAAATGGAAGGTGTTGGAGATTTTCTCAGCTTTGAACTTATTTCCTATGTTTTAGTTTTGCGTACAATCTATGAAGCACCAATAATTTGTTCTCGAACATTATTAATGCTAAACGCTTCCTATGCAGCATTTTGTAGTATTTTTGTTTTTTATAAAATATGACAATATACGCACATATGGGGATGTAGCTCAGATGGTAGAGCGCTCGCTTAGCATGCGAGAGGTACGGGGATCGATACCCCGCATTTCCATTTTCAATTCTTACAATTTTTGATGTGCGAGAGGTACAGGGATCAAACGTCATCTCCATTTTAAATTTTTACAACCTTTTGATACGCGCAACTAATACACATCAACTTAGAATTTACAGGTGTTTTCTTTTTTAAAAATTCAGTTCACGTTGATTATACTAGTCACACTTATTTTTATATTTAATTTTTAGTTTAGATTAAAAATATTTTTTACTAAATCACAAAACCAAAAAAACTAAAAATAAACTAGAAAATTGATTAATTTTTTTATGGAAATTGGTTGGTTCAATTATTATTGTAAATTTTAATTCTATTCAATTTGAACCGAGTTATTTTGATTTCGACTAAACCGGACATTAGCACATTCTGTGATAAATCCATTCAACATCAGCCTCCATGTATTTTTGATTTGGATTAAAAATAGTTGTAGGTAAAATTATAATAAAAAAAAAAGTATAATGACTAGACAAATTCAAATCTGTGCATATACTTATGTGAAAATTTTGTCAATTTTATATGTAAATCATAGTTTGTTCATAATTGAATTTAATTTTTTGACATATTTCCTCCCTATTATATGCTATGCTATTTCTATCGTTTTGTACCACATTTCATATTCTACTCTTTTATTATTATTATTATTGAAGAAGGATATTCGAACCCGACTATTGGTATTTACTATTAAATTATAGTGTCCTTCATATTCTACTCTCTTCGCCTCTCCTTTAAAGTAATAAATTATTCATCTTAAAATCTATAATAGAGGGAGGATAAAAATTTTAAAAATTACTTTCTTTCGAGCGTGACTATAATATTTTATTTTCAAATTTTAATTTTGATTACTTGTTCTCATTTGTATATAATTGCAATTAAAGTTTTTAAATTGAAACAAATTTGATAAAGTTATACAAGCTTTTGAATAAAATAGCAAACACGTTAAAAAATTGGATTCTTTTACTGATTATGCCTAAAAACATTTGAATATATACTAGTAAATGAAAATTGGTTAAATCATAAGAATAGTTCGGTTTAAAAAAATTTTTGAATTGTAAATTTTGTTACCATTAAAGCATATTATTATAATAATATTTTATACTAATTAAGTCTATCAAATTGATTTAGTATTATCAATCGGTGTGGTCTTATTGGTCTTTATACCTGTTGTATAAAATGTAGGGAGTGAGAGGTTAAAAGGGACTGCCCATGCCGTATAGCCCACAAAGTTATTCCAATTCATTAGGCCTTTCATGCATAAAAAAAATTACTTTAGAATTAATTAATGGTATATAAAATTTAATATATAGACTGTAATATTTGATGATATAACATATTAAGAATAAAATTATAATTTATTGAGTCACAACAATAGAAGCAAAAATACTTGTCTTTTGACCCTCACCCTACTCAAATCTTTTTCTTTCATATCATGATGTGTCACGACCCATTTCCGTGGGTCGGACCGGCACTAGGACCTGGGTAGGCTTAAGGCCCCCGAAGCCCGTAGTAAGCCTAACTGTCCCATGACCCATTTTCCGTGGGTCGGACCGGCATCTATGGAACCTGGGTAGGCTTAAGGTTTTCTTCCGAAGGCCGTAGTAAGCCTAACTTATTTAATATCTCACAGTCTATTCATAATTAATGGATCAGGGCCCATTAACTTAATTATACATATGGCATTCCAAATACAATTCAATATTATTTAATATGGACTTTAATAATTTATTTACAACGCCAACTGGAATACAATTGTCGAAACCTACCTTTATATTTACATCGTTAATTTCTATCCTTAACAGTCTTCTACAAATAAGTGTCTCAACTCTACAAGGCTTTTCTTTCTTTCTTTACCTGAAAAAAAAAAAAAAAAAAAATAGTAGGCAGGGGTGAGCCGCCAAACTCAATGAGTACGGGTTTAGATAACCCTCTCCCCCACACAATCCACACAGAATGCTAAATATTTTTTAATCTAGTTACCGTTAATTATATGATCATCAGTTTTGTCACACAAAATGGCAAGTACAACAGCAATCACAAGTATTCACCTTCATATATCACATCACGTGGAAAATTAGTCAGTGGCACCACCTGAAACCCCAACGAGTCGTCCTCACACATGGCTCGCCTCTCAATACATGTGCACTCGGGGAGCCGTCCCCATATCGGCCAACTTGGTCTAATCCTCACTGACCAGTCCTCTCATTGTTTTTCCATTCTCTCTTTTCCTTTTCGCATACCCACAGGAGGCACCCGGTGGTCTCCATCCAATCTTAGATCAGTCATAGTGCTCACAACAGGAGGCACCCTGCCGGGCTTACAATCAATATCTAGATTATCAGGTGCGCACAACAAGAAGCCATCTCTGTGGTTTTCTCATGCCTAATCCATATCATCAGGTGCAACATCGGGGGAGCCGATCTCCCATTTTCCCGGCCGACGGTCAAATTTTTTCATATCATATGCATATTCAGGATCCCATATCACAGACACGTCCTCACAAACCCATGGTGGTCCACGCTCCAATATCACACAACAAGGCACAGTGTAATTCACAGCACAAGTAATCAACAATTTTTAATAATCATACAAATGGTGCATTCATATATATGGTAATTCAATAAAATAATGCATGATAACATTTAAGCCGTGATGCATGAATGCAGGGCGGATGAATACTAGTTATCTATACTACTACTCACTGTTTTTTGTTTGTCCCTTAAAAGGAACTGCCTTTCCTATTTGTGCGCTCCTCAGCCTTTGTAATTCACAGTCCGAGACTTTTATCACGTTCTATATATTATTAAGAAAATTCTACATAAAGAATTCATAATTTGGGGAAAACAGTTATCATTCATTTATTTTGTTTCGTTTACTCGTCGTTCATCTAACTTATCAAACTAAACTGTATATCTAGTAGTGCATTTTATTTGATTTAGTTCTTCTAATTTAATCATTGAGTAGAACGTCTAATTTATTTGGTAATTAATTATTTTTATGAATATACTAATCAAAACATTAATATGATTAATGATAATAATATTAATAATGATAATGCGATTGATCATTATAATATTCATAACATTAATAACTTTAAGTCGTATTAATTCCCTAAACTACATATATAATTTTCGTTTCTCTTGTTTATTTATTTTTTGAATTTATCGCTTCTCATAATCTTATTCTATATTTTTATTTCTATGAAATAATTTAATCGCTATAAGTAATTTAATTCTAAAATACAATTTTTTCTATACGATCTTTTCGGCAGCATCTCCCTAAAAATTGGATTATCCCACGTCTGGTAAAATATCAACATTAATATCATTAAATTCCAAACCACAACAGCATCCATCGGGCAATCACCCTCATCAACAATCCCATCTCGCACATTTTCCCGTACCAATTTACATACATTTATAAATTTTCTTTAATTCCATACATCTGACTTATCTGACTTTTCCCAATTATTTAGTTGTTAAAATACCAGTATTAAAATTTTAAAACTAATATTGTTAATAATTAATAAATCCAAACACGAATTGCTTTTTAATTTAAACTCCTACAAAAGTTAAGTTTCATACTGTATTTACTTTTCTAATATTTCATTAATCAATAATTCAATACTACTTTAAAATTAATTTCACCACATAAATTAATTAACTACGCAAATGACTAAAATTAAGTTAACCTAAATATGAACTAAATTTAATTTAACTACAATAAATTAAATTTAATTCAAGTAACGAAAATCATAAAATTAATTTTTACCATCAAACAAAAAAAATATAAATTTTTGTCAATTTTCGCTAGATCGGAAAAAAAGGAAAAAAAAAAAAATTTTTTAAAAACACCAATTGGCCCCCCAAAGAAAAATTTCCCGAAAAAAGAGCAGTTAGCTGCCAGTAGCCGGAATCCGACTGACAGTGCCGGAGAGAGGAGAGAACGGCGCGAAGAAGCTGGACAGCTCGTTCCTGGTGGTCGGAGGCACACTGGGAGCGGCGGCAGGGCCGGTGGCGGCAGATCTGTTGAGGCGCGAATGCAGTCCTTCTCTAAGGCTCTATCTCCGCTTGGTTCGAGCGGAGGGAGGGCGGAACGGCAAGCTTGCCGAGGTCGAGCTGTCGCGGGGAGGCAGCGGTGGCGCGCAGGAGGTCCGATCAGCTGGGGGTGGTCGCGCGACGCTTGCTGCTGTTTTTGGCCCTCGTCAAGAACACAGACGCAGTGAAGGGAAAAGAAAGGAAAGAAAAAAAAGGAAGAGAAGAAGAAGAAGAAGAAAAAGAAGAAAGAAGAAGAAGGGAGGAGGCAGTGGCCTGGGGGAGGTTGTCGTGAACTGGAGCGCAGGACTCAATGAGTTGAGGGAGATAAGCGTTGAATATAGAGAGGAGGAAGTTTCTAGATGTTTTGGGGTCGAACCGGTTCGATTCGATTCGATTCGGCCCAAACTTTGGTTTTTCAACTGGTTTTCCGGCTTTTCAATCGATTTTCGGTTCGGTTTTCTCACATATTCGCACTAAAATAATAATTATTAATTTGCCAAGCTGTCGTTCAAATTAAATTTAATTGGGATAATGTTTGAAATAAAAATTCAGGTATTACAATACTCCCCCCTTAAGAACAATTCGTCCTCGAATTGGATCTAAATGGGAAGAATAAGAAGGACGCATGGAAAAAATTGTAAAGTTAATAAGGAATTGCTTCCCAATACAATGGAGACAGCTCAAAAACGAAAATACAGGTCAAGGGAATAAAGTGGAGTGGGGTATTCTGTTGTACGTCTCCGCTATAGGAGCTTTAA